CTCTCTCCCTCTCCCTCTCTCTCTCCTCAGTGGTGTGTACGCCATGGTACAAGCGTTCACATGCTCACGGTATCTGTGATCCATCATTGAGTGTCGATTCTCCTGCGCTACTCCCCTCCTCTTTCGAAGCCCCAAGGGAAAAAAAAAAAAAAGAAACAGCATCGTTTCCCCTCCCCCGGGTCTCCTTTTCCATCCGATTCTAGCAAACAGACAGGCCGAATACACGGCGGTTTCTCACACGGTCATCTCGAACTGCCTCGGTCGGATTTCCATGCTTCAATATTCTGGCCGATAAAGGGCGCGGCAAGCAAGTGCTTGCTGCTGGAGTCGACACGGAAGGTGGGTGGTTACAGTTACACACAAATGCAAGACAAGATCGCAGAGGCCCGCTCTAGGACGGATTCTCGTAGATCAGGATTTCTAGATGGAACGCGTGGAGTTGCTTGGTTCGCTGGCTAACCCGGAGGCTCGCCTGTCACCGCTAGATCTAGCCCCGTCTACGTCTTCCGTCAATTTGGCGTCTTCGTCGCCGCCGCTTCCCCCCGTCGACCTGCGCAGTATCCGCGACGACTCCTCTCATCTGCTGGCGGTCTCGTCTACCTTGCGTTCCCCTACCCAGGGAGAGTCGAGTCTCTCGGCGGCTGGTTCACCGGGCCAAGTGCCTCCTCCGCTGGGAATCCAGCAGCAGAGTCCGTCTCCGAACCCTCAATCGCTGCCGTCTATTCAACACGACGCCCCCTCCGAGTCGCTGACCTCGTCCCCGGACAACAGGCGGGAGGAGAGCAGCGTCTACTACACCACCGCTTGGGGCTCGCCGTATGCCGCCCCCAGTCCTCGCCGCCTCTCCTGGTCTCTGAGTCAGTACGCCGGTGTAGGTCGTGAGTCCGGAGAAGACGGCTCGCCCGTCTCCACGCGAGGCGACTACCTGCCCTCCGAAGCCAAGAATTCGGACTTTCTCAAGCCCACCGGAGGCAACACCACCTCCTCTTCCTCCTCTTCCCGACGCTTGAACAGCAGCCTGCTGCGTTCCCCGGGCAAGAGAAGCGGCAAGTCCATCAAAGACTTCACCCAGGATTGGATCAACCAGTATCTATCAGGCCAGCCCAGGACCGAGCGCAGCAACTGGTTGAGTGACGATTCCGGAAGCGAGGCCCCCTCCTTCATCACCGCGCGCAACCATTTTGCAGAGGACCTGTCCGACGACTGGCTCGGCTTGGACGACGGCCCCCGCGAGGACGATATCCTGAGAACACCCACCCTCGCCGACTTTTCCGCTCGCCGGTTAGCTCCTACTACCAACGGTAAAAACCCGACTACCAACGGCCTCGGCGAGGGCAGTAGTGCTCTGAGAATCAAGGAAAATCCTCACAAGCGGACAGATACTCTGCGACAGGAGGATTTCTGGGGCTTTGCCTACGACAAGGATCCCCCTTCTTCTTCTTCGCGGAGCAACAATTACAAGATGGCAGATTCCACCTCCAAATATCCGATCCACCCAGTGGCCGAAATGGGAGGAGCTCCTCCTAGAATAGTTTCCCCCATCGAAAAACCGCTTCCCCCGGCTCCCAAAGACCTGCCAACCGCCGCCGCCGCCGCCGCCGCCGCCGCCGCCGCCGCCGAGCAGCCGCCGTCTGCTTCCATCTCGATAACCAGCCCGCCCAGGGTGAAGGTGTCCTCCTCCTCCTCCTCCTCCTCCACCCCGGTATTACGGACCAGGAAGAAGATCATCTGGCGCGGCAAGGCATGCATGATCGCTCTGCCACTGGACGATAAGCGAGGCACCGATGAGGCGGCATACCGTCTCCTGACCCGTGCCGACGTGGACCAACGATTGAAATATTGGGAGCAACAAGGATACGACATCCACGGCTTCAACATCGAATCCCCCGAGGACATCACAGCCGGATTGGGCAGCCTAAGTCGAGCTCTCTTCCCTGATCCCGTCGAGGCATTGGAGGAACACAAATCGTCGTCGTCGTCGACCAAGTATACCGTCCGCGTGCCAAACAGGGCCGAATGGGACGCCTACGTCCAGTTCCTCCAGGAAGAAAAGCTTCGGGCCCTCGGTGTCTCATTGGGCGACGATGAACCGCAGCCGTCAATCTCTCCGGCCTCCATGGGGCAGGGGACCCCCTTCACCGGCTTCATTGCCTCGCCCCCGATTCCGACAACGTCCGCTGCTGGTAACCCGCTTCTTCCAGGCATGCCGTTCTCCCCCCATTTCAACCAATCGACAAATGTCACCCCGGGGATCGGCTCGCTGGCCTCCCCCGTCTCGCAGTTTGGTGCCCAGACGCCGTTCATGGCAGGCGATCAGAATGGTATTCCCGGTTTTCCTCTCCCGTACCAGCCAACTCCTCCGGCGCAGGGCACCTTTACCCCACAGGGCTTTTACAACCCTCGGCCGGTTGGAATCTCGGCCACTCTCGCCGGTACTCTACCGAATTTGACGTCCATCCTGTCACCGATTTCCCCTATGAACATGGAGCACGGCGCCTTTCATCCGGGCTTCAGCAGCGATCTGGACGCCTCCAAAGAAGCCTCCATGGATCCCAACAATGATGGGTTGGAAGAGTACAGGGTGCAAACCCCGGTCGACAACATTCCGGACAATTTCCACGCGTCACACGTGGAGATCGCGCAACCCACTCCGCGCGGCCACAGCCACAATCTCAGCGAAACGCTCCAGAAGGGTCTTGACCAGTACGCGCAACACGACTACCACCTGGAGGAATCGATTGACCGGCAACTGGACGAGGATGACAATCTCCCCCCCAACCATGTGTTCAACGAGCCTGCGCTGTTCAAGTCTCGCTGGGCAATGCCTGGGCAGGAATTCCAGCCGCTTCATGCAAATCCAGGACCAGCCCTTCAACACCAGACTCCTCACTTGTATGGTGGTGAGCAGTATACTGCCGATGACGCAGGCCACGACGGTTCAGATTTTGATACCAACCCCAGTCTGTCTGGCACTCCCCAGGTCCATCATCATAATCACCATCAAGCCCACTCTAGCCGTGGTATATGGCACGACCACAAGCGCAGCACTGCCTCCTTCGCTTCCGGTCACGGCTCCAAGTCTTCTCTGTCAAAACTTAACGTCGAGGCCAAGGAATTTGATCCAACAAAGTCGTTTTCGTCTCAGAATCCCGTCTTTCAGGCTGGCAACTTCCAAATCCCGGGCGCTCCGCTTGCCTTTGGTGGATTTGGCCAGCCTTTCAGCCCTGCTGCAATGCCTCCTCCTCCTCCTCCTCCTCCTCCCCCTCTTCCCGCCAACGCTTTCAATGTAGGTGCAGTGGAGTTTGCGCCCTCGCCGGTCACCAACGGGACCAATGGGGGGTTCTCATCCGGATTCAAATTCTCGGCCGCCTCTTTCAATGTCGATGCTCCAGCCTTTGATCCGGACGGTGCCGCCAAGCCTTTTGTTGCACCGGCCGGTGAGCCGACGACGACCCAGACCAAGATCTTTGATATCGATATCTCGGAGATGTCAAAACCCACGAAGAAATCGAAAGCAATCCCCATCGTCCGACCAGATGACATCGAGGGTGACCAGAAGAAGGTTGATGCGGCGGAACGTGACAATGACCGACCTGTGCCCCCGGATCGCCACAAGCGCGCTCGTCGGCACGACGAGCAAGCGGAGGGCGAAGCCCAGTTCAGTACTTCCAGCCACCCTCTTGCGGAAGCTGGCAATATTCAATCCACCTTTGTTCCCTCGTCTGCTCAGCTGCCGGCCGAAGGCAAGGAGAATGCAGTCCCGTCCGATGATGCCGATAGCCTGATCACTGAGAAGCCATCCACCGTTGCGAATGACAAGGCCCTGGACTCGCTTGGTACACCGATCAGCGAGGCCACGACATGGACTCCCTATGAGTTCAAGAATGAAGCCGATGTGGCTGCGTTCAGTGCAGCATCACCTGACCTACCCGGGCAGCACCAGAGGCAGATTTCAACGGTCGAAGAAGTCTTGTTTGACGGAACGTTACCAGTCGAGCTGTCTGATGAGATGAAGGAAGAGCCTGAACCGGAGTCACCGAATGATAAGAGCTCTTTGCTGTCGCCCGCTGCAAAGCCCTTTCAGTTCAAGGCTGTTGTGCCCGACTTTGTACCGATCACAACCAACACTTCTGAAGAGATCCAGGAGGAGGTCAAGCCAGAGAAAAAATCCGGCCTCATGGCCTCCCGCTACGCGGTTCCTACTGTGCCCGTTCCTCAGGAAGATGTGCCACAACAACAACCACAAATGCAGGAGCAGATCGATTCCACAACTGACATAGACGATCATGCAACGCAGCATGCTGTCGTCCCTCGAATTGAGCAGCGCATCCACCAGGACTCGGACGATGAATCACCCGACGAGGAGGAGCTGAACGCCATCATGGAACAGCTCAACGAGGACTCGGATGTTGGAATCGAAAGACTAAACTCTCCCCTTCCCACTTTTGAACAGACTCCTGAACCCAACACCGAGGATCTCGGTGCGGATATCCACCACCTCCTACCTGTCAAAACAAGAAGCGATGCACCGAGTCCCAGCCCCAGCAGAGCTCATCACAAATTCATCCTGGACGTCCCGAAGCTTGGCTCAGATATTGAGTTCCAGTCACAGGCAGCCCTGTCGTCCAACCGTGGCCTGCTCTCTGGTCTGCAATCACCTGTTCGCCAACTGATCAGCCATGATGATCACATTAGCGACTGGGACGATGTCATATCGTCAGGTGAGGAAGAGAAGCTAGCTAACCGCAGTCGTTTCTTCGATCGTCGGATCAACGACATTGTAGGCGCTGCCATTGAAGACCGTCTCTTCCCTCTGGAGCGTGCACTGGATGTGATCCAGCAATCGGTCGCGTCCGTCGTGGACAGGACGAATAATGGCCGAAGGACCCTAGGAAGCACGTCTGCCGAAATCGAGAACAGTGACGCCGACGACGAGGATGGATTCGAGGAAGAAGACGTCTCGTACCGGACGAAATCGTCGTTCACAAAGCGGGACCGCAAACACGATCGGTTGAGAAACATCATCTTCGAGGCGATGTCCAACCAAGATATGATCAAAGCCGAGGCCGCCGAGGCTTCTGCGGTCGAGCTGGCGCAGCTCCGCGAGAGCATCGCCGAGTTGAAGGAGGCGACCACCGAGAAACTGTCGCAGGACTCATCGTCCAACCTGAGACTCATGATCGAGGAGGTCGTTTCGAGCCAGTTCAACCAACACAACACGCCCAAGTCCGATGCCGAGGAGATTGGTGCCGACAGCCTGATGCTTCAGATTAGCGGTCTCAAGAGCATGCTGCGGCTGGCCGACGACCGCGCAGAACAGGAGTTCAAGGCTCGCAAGGATGCCCAGGACTCGGTTGCCGAGCTTCAACGGCTCCTTAAGTTTGCCGAGGAAGACGCTTCCCGGCACCGGGACGCCGCCGAAGCCGCCGAAGCCCGTCTGCTCCGGTTCAAGGAGGAGAAACTGCCCTATTTCGAGGAGGTGCAGTTCCGCTCGGAGAAGCTCACACAGCAGCACGAGACGCTGGAGATCACGCTCGCCGAGATTTCTGCCAAGAACATTGCCCTGGAGGGCACGCTGGACGAGTACCGCGTGTCGAGCGACCACTGGCGGCGCGAGATCGACGAGGTCAAGACGGAGAACAAGGAGCTCCGCACCACCGTCAGCCACCTGAAGGGACGACTCGAAGACAGCCTGAACACCCGGAAGAGTCTTGGCGAGAAGTTCGATCGCCTACAGGATGATATGGCGTCTGCGACGCGCGACATCGCTCGCGACCAGGCGTCCTGGCGCAAGCGGGAAGAGGACCAGACAGCCCGGTACAACTCGCTACGCGCGGCGTACGACCGCGAGGTCAAGCTCCGCGAAAAGCTTGAATACGACATCAATGGATTGGAGCAGCAGGAGCGCGAGGCGGCCAAACTGCGGTTCATCTTTGGACAGTCTCAGCAGGAGAATGCCCGACTGGAGGAACTGGTGGCCAATCTACGACTCGAAAACCATGATCTACAGGGTAAAGCCGCGCGCTTCGAGCGCGAGTTCAACGAGGCCCGGGAGAGCAGCCGGGTCGAGATCCAGCGCACGAGAACGTCGCTCGAGGCCGACCTCGACGCCGCCAACAGTCAAGTAAATATCGTGCGTGCCGAGCTAGAGGCGCAGATCATCCGTCTGCAGAGCCAGCTGGACAACGTCCGGCTGGACGCCGATACGAGTCGCGAAAAGTACGAGTTACTCCTGGAGGAGGCCAGCGAGGCCAAGGCCAATGCGCTTGTCGCGGCGGTCGAGTCCAGGGAGATGGCGCTGGACGATCTGCGCAAGATGCACGAGCGGGTGCTGAACGACCTGTGTGAGCGACAGGCGCATGCCTTGGAGACCTCCTCCGAGGACCGGCAGCAGGCGGAGGCCCACTTGAGGGAACGCTTGGCCCTATCAAACGACAAGGCCGAGCACCTGCAAGATCGCATCAGCCATCTGGAAGAGAAGCTCGAGCTGGCCAAGTCCGCTGCCCGTGCCGCCGCTCAGGCTGCGCAGAGCGCCAAGGCAGTAGCAGCAGCGACCGCTTCCCCCCCCACCGGCTCGCATTCCACTTCGCCATCCATGTCCTTCAGCAAGGGCACCATGATTCCCGAGAAGATCTCCCCGCAGGCGCTGCGCGAGTCGATCCTCGTCCTCCAGGATCAGTTGCAACAGCGTGAAACCCGGATCGAGCAGCTCGAGCAGGATCTCTCTGCCGTGGACCACGAGGCGCCAAATAAGATCAAGGAGAAGGAGACGGAGATCAGCTGGCTGCGTGAGCTCCTCGGTGTTCGCGTTGATGATCTGCAAGACATAATCAATACCCTCTCACAACCGTCCTTTGATCACCAGTCGGTCCGCGACGCCGCCATCCGCCTCAAGGCCAACCTGCAGATGCAGCTTCAGGAGCGAGAGCGGTCACCCTCCTCCCCCTCCGGCCAGGGCTTTCCATCTCTGCCCTCATTGTCGACCCTCACCGCGTCCCCACGCACGCTTCCTCTAGCCGCAGCCGCAGCATGGGGCAACTGGCGCAAGGGTAAAGAGAGCAGCGCCACCAACGGCTCAGAGCAGACTCCGTCCAAGGCGACCACCGCGGGCTCATTCCTCTCCGGACTCCTTACCCCCCCAAGCTCGCACGTTCGTCAGCCTGCGCCCTCCAATAACCCATCGTTGGCGGCGTGGCAGCGGTCATACTCGGAAAGCCGCCCGTTAAGGGGCTACCATTCTTCTTCTAGTCAACGGCCCTTGTCTGGACGGCAGATGTCTGCCATGGTTGAGCCTCCGACTACGCCGCCGCTGCTTCGAAAATCAAGCTACGATCATGATGCCGAGCCGGCGAGCTTTGCACAGAGCCTCTTCGGCGAAGAGATGCAAAGCACCCTCGCCAGCGTGGTCTCTGTGTCTCCTAAGGATTCATCATCATCGGATGTACCCTTGTTCGGGCCGCGGATTGTGTGATAAGACACCCTTAGACATCTAGACATCCTCCTCTAGGCATATCTTCCAGAAATATCCTCCATACATATTCTCTCAGATCTGTGATTTTCTTTTAACTCCTATCCCTTTCGTTGACTATTGATTTGAATCTGGCTTCTTTATTTATTTATCTATTCTTTCCTTACAAAACTGTCTATCTTACGGCAAAGCGTTGACGATCTTTTTTCTTCTTTCACTCGATCTTTTGATACCAACTGTCGTGGCCGACCCTGTACAATCTTCCTCTCCCTCATAACTAATACTCCGTCTTGCATTCGTTGTTGATCCTTGAAAGGATATACCCCCTTGATCCGTTGATCACTTTACTTGCCTCTCTTTCCTTACTTCTCTGTACTCCTCTTCAACCTGTTGTGTCATCATACCTCCCTCACCTATCTGCTTACTACTTAGTATATGCATGCTTTCCATTGGAAGGTAATATCTGGGAGGCGTCTATAGAGCTAATGCTTCCAATCATATTCAGTACTTTTAATTCTGTATAATTATTGAAAGAAGGAATAAAACATTAAAAATTAATCTATAGAAATTCATGTCTCACATAAGTCTAATTCTAAGTCTTTGACTACCCAAGTTAAATCCTCCATTGTAGGACGTCCTGCTTCCCCATAGCTGTAACGGTATACCCCCCCGATGGGTCCTTGAAGACCTGGACCTCCTCAACATCCACATCGACGATATCCAACAAAAAAGACCAGGGTTGTATCCTGCAGAGATTGTCGTGGAGGGCGGAGGAGGAATGCGGACAGCTCTCGAGACTGTAGACGTAAAAGGCACCCCCCGTGGCGAAGGAGTAGGCGTGGCCGGCCCCCGGCTCAAACACGACAAACAGCTTTACATCCTCCGAGACGGCGATGAGCGGGGTCAGAGCCCGCGGACAGGGGAGATGGATCTTATGCCAGCGGTGGAGGGCTAGAGAGAGATTTCGAGAGACGGAAGTCGCATCTGCGGAGAGGAGGCCGGATCGCTGCTCTCTTCCGCCGAACGGGGGGGAAGAAGAAGGGATATCTTTCTTTTCATCAAAGTCATCTGTCCAGTGCGTAAAGGTGGGGGATGTTTTTCGGGACAGAAACTCCCGGCAGAGACGGACTTTGGTTCCAAGCGCGGAGACATGGCAGAGAACATACGAGGCCGAGTTGGGCCCGTGGTGCAGCGCGGCGAGGAAGTACCGGCCTTGACGTTGACGGTCTGCAACACATTGGTTGTCGAGAAACCTGAACGATTCCGGGAGGAGACAGATGCCCCTGAAGGTGAAGGTGGAGTTGGTTTCGTCGCTGTAGGCTGCGGCCAGAGCCGTGGAATCAAGGTAGACGTGCTTAATTCCTTCTTTCCAGTACAGGAGGTCGGTGGAAGCACCACCACACTTCTGTCCGTCAGGCCGCCCTAGGTACTGGATCCGGACCGACCGGTTCTTGTCCTCCCTGATCACCACGCGGAGTAAGCTGTCCCTCTCTGTGAACTCGAGGGAGTCGATGATCGCATCGGCGGCGGGGGGGGAGTACGTGCTCTGCGAGAGCTCGTCTAGGAAGCTGCACTGGCTGCCCGCCAGGGAGTACTGGGCAAAGGAGCACCGGCCCTGCTCACTCAGGTCGTAGACGTGGATGGTTTTCCACGCGGCGATGGCGAGGAGGCGTCCGTCGGTGGAGAGGGCGAGCCGGTGCTGGACACCGCCGCTTCTTCCGCTGGACATGCATTGCGATAACGTCCACAGGGAGAAGAGCATTTTGGTATACACGGGTTCGAATTGGAGGCTGCCGTCGCCGTGCTGGCTGTAAGCGTACACTGTTGCCCGTGACCCCTTGAGCGAGACCAGTTTCTCCCTATCGCTCGATAGGGAGTAGACGGTGGATGGGCTGGCATCGCCCGGCCAGACCTGTCGCGAGACCGATTTGACGATCGTCTTCCGTTTGTCGAGCAGGTTCAGGCGTACCGTCTGCGCGAAGAAGGCGTTCCATTCATCCTCGCTCAGTGCGTCCAACGCCGGGACTGCAAAGGGAGTCTCCGTGATGATCTGGCGGAGCAGGAAGGCGTCTGCCGCAGCCTGGTGCCAGCTTGAGCAGACGTGTTGGGCGGAGTAGTACGTCTCTCCGTCGGTCAGAAGGAGGATGGACTGGATAATCTCCGTGGGGAGGTGGGCCATATCAAAGATCGCCTATCAATAGATCTTCTATCAATCGATTTTGTTTGATTTTGGATTCGAAGCATAGATGCCCCCAGGGCGGGTGGCCTATTTAAGTCAGTCATAGACTCTCACAAAACATTCCGGTAGTCTCCTGAGTCGAACGCCTCGCATCGGATGGATCTCCATCGGATCTCGCTATGGCAGCTCTCGAACGCCACTCGGCCCGAGCAGCATCGCCTGAGGAGGGCCTCAGACTTGCCGGTTTGGACGGGCGACCTGGACCCCTTGACGACCCAGGTGGGCTGATTGGGATGTTTGTAGTTTGATAAGCCACGCTGTGGATATTATTTGTCGGGACGTTTAAGAAAACCTGCGTATTATTTGCTGACCGCTCATCATGGCAGGCTTACGCAGGGTAGGGTGTTGTTTCTGGACTGCTCTAGTAAGTGGGTAGCTGCATTCTTCTTTCTCTGTCTCTTTTTTTTTTTTTTTTTTTTCTAACTGATTTCTAGTTGATGTAGATTTCAAGCCCTGGTGGTCCTCGCAGGCTTCGCAGCCCGATATGATGCAATGATCAGCCCACTGTCCTGTGTCACCTTGTTTTCCGACGTGTTTTGCGTGTTTCCTATCGCACTGGTTTCAAGACCTGCGGATGAACCCTTGAGACTCGTCTTTGCGAGAAACATAGGGTTGCAGATATGAAAAATTTGGGTGGAAATCGTCGTGGTGACCTGTGTAGGTAGTAATGATGCCACAACGTCGATACCCATCATAACGAGACCCATGTTTATTCAATGTCGTCGACCAAAACTATTCTTTGGTATTAAGTAGTGTGTGTGTATGTCATATGTTTAGACTCTATTTTTGTCGTCAGGGGTGGTGTAGAAGTTGAAGGTCGTGCCACACAACTCGCTAGGAAATCTAAATGAGAATATTCTTCTCTCGCTTGTAGAGATCCTTGAGCAACTTTAATTTGTTAACCCCCATACTCTGCCGGGGCAGGTTCTTGGGGACATCCACGATCGCCTTCCGGATCAGGGCCAGGCCCATGTGGCCAAAGAAGCCAACAATCCGCTGCGCAGAAGAATGCAGCATGGCGGCCAGCAGAATGATATGGGTCTCCTGCAGTTCGCTGGCAGGGAGCGACAGGATCTTGTGCATAGAATGCCAGAACATGGTGTTGGGGAACGGGTTCTTGCGCGGCGTCTTGCCGAAATTGCGAAGCGTCAGCGCAGCGAATCCAGCGCCCAGAGCTGTCATCCGGTCGGCGTGAGTTTGCTCGGGGACAAAGGGCCCACCGGCCTCCTGGCGCCACCAGCCCAAGGCAGCCTTGCCGTCGGTGGTCTTTTCGTCGCCGTAGAATCCCCAGAGTGCAGGGCAGACGACGCGGTACTTGGCCCAGAGAAGATCGACCAGGTGGCACCCCTTGTAGGTAAATGTGTCCATCGAGAAGATCTGGGCAGCGACAATACCAATCGGTTCTGCATGGCCGAGATTGATTCCCGCCTCGGTGATGAGTGACGCGATAAGGGATTTTGCGAAGATGTTGAGGGTGTAGATCAAGAGCGCCGGCACTTTGTTGTCATCTGAGTTGGCGATGCTCTCTGGGGGGAAGGCAAAGAATTGACGGATGCCCACCGATGGCTCTGGAATGCTTAGAGCTTTCTCTAGAGTGGTGCGAATCTCCTGAAGCTAAAAAAAAAAAAGGCGGGTGAGCTCTCGTCTAGAGTGCAGTGTAAATCGGACGGGAGAATACCATACCTGCCCCTTGTTCGCTCCTTTGCCCTCTCGCAGCTGGCCAACACATTTTTTGATTGACCGACGCAAGTCTCCCATGTTCTGCTTGACGACCGGGTTGTTCTTGGACTCGTCGCGCAACCATTTCCGGAACTTCTTCAGGTGCTGATGGAGTTCCACGTAACGCAAGTGTATCCTTGTCTCCTCCTGGGACAGATTGCTGGCCCCTATCTTCTTCTGCTGTTCGATCTGGGCTTTTTTCGATGCCTCTGCCTCGCGCTGCAGCGCTTCCTTCTCGGCCTTTTGTTGCTCGGCGATGCGTTTCTGCGTTTCTTGCTCTGCTTTTTCGCGCTCTTTGCGTTCCTTTTCTTCCTGCTCCGCCTTCCTCGCCTTCTCGGCCTCCTCCGCGGCCTTTCTCCGCGCCTCCTCCTGAGCCTTGCGTTCCGCTTCGAGACGTGCAGCCTCCTCCTGCGCCTGCCGTAGCTTCTCTGCTTTCTCCCGTTCAACACGCTCGCGTTCCTTGCGGGCCTCCTCTTCTTTACGTAGACGCTCCTGTTCCACCTGCCAGAGATGTTCCTTCAGCACCCCTTCCGCCTCCTCTCGTACCTTGTCATGGAGCTCTGCGACCTTGTCGAGAGCAGCGTTGTGCTCCGCCGCTCGTTCACGGTCGATCCGATCGAGTTTCTCGTAGAAGGACCGTCGTTCGTATGCTTTGACTTTCTTCACTTCGACGTTGTGAAGCCGAACCTGCTCGAGTTCTCTCGCCAGATCCCAGACCAGCTGCCGTGAGGGGCTGTCCAACCGTGACGCAAGTCCTGAGCGTCCCATTTTGTAATTGATCGATCGACAGAGGTGTTGGTGAAAAGTAATTCGAAGAAGAGAGAGCTGCAGTGGTATCGAATCCGGGAGGTGGAAAGAAGGTGGTTCTCTGACAGAAGAGCAAAATCAAATGAGCGAGAAGAGGATTTCTAAGCGAAGACCATATCGAGAGACCACACAGCTGTCTCAATACCGACCACCCCTCTCAATCCGTCTATTGTGTGCCAAATATCGTCTATTGTCCTGCGACTGAATAGCGGGCAGAGCTCGAAGAGTGTCGTCCAATGCCCAACAATAGTCTGATTCCGGCACAATGATCCACGTCAATCAAAGCTTAAAAACGAGAGATGAACACTGAAAGAGCGGACCGATGCAACAGTCTCCAAGAAAAAAACCCCTCTCAATTCAATCCTGAGGCTCTCCCCCAAACGTTCCTTGTTGTTGAGCCGACCGGGCTTCCCTGCACCGGACGGAAGTCCCAGAGCTCTCGTGAAAGGCGGTACCCGAAACGGCTAGCCCCGACACCTCAGGCCGATCAGCTCTAGGCAAGGCGATTCTCTGGTTCAGGGATGCGCAAAGTTTGGAACTTGCATCATCGTGAGCAGCATCCGACGGAGCTTCTCTCAGAGCTGCTGGAGCTCGCAGCAGATGCCCAGCGAGGGTTCTGGGAGCTCTTTTTGAGGCTGTCCGCCTGTCCAACCGCACACTGCACACTGCACAGGGACCGCCGGCGTAAGAGCAAAAAAAAGGCGAGCCCCTCCCCCCTGGGGCGTCCAGCAGTGCTTAGTACCTACTGCTCATAGGCCCAAGGGACTGAGCTGGCGTGGAGAGCACCGCCTGCTCAGACCGCCACGATTGGGCCAGGTTTCGACTTGTTGCTGTCACTTCTAACGACCGACTACCGAGTTAAGAGGCCCCTACAGCGTACGGCGTATCGCTTTCCTTCCCGGAAACCAGACTAGGAGGACGGAAGACCGAGTGTTCCCTACTACATACGGAGTAGCTAGACGCAAGGAGATGCAGACGGGAGGTTATAGCGACGACAACGACATCACCACTCGACAAAGAAGCTCGGGGTGGATCAGAGAGGATCTCTCGTTGACTACTGCTAACTACTCGACGTGCTCCGTAGTGGTCCTTTAGTGAGTAGTAGTAGGAGGGGGCGCCCTCAATAATAAAACCGTTGAACCACAACACAATAGGGAAAAAGATGGAAAAAATCATGAAGGGGGGGGGGCAGATAGGGAAAAAAATTAATAGTAGATGGGTAATAATAATAATAATCTTGATACCTAGCTAGTTAAGGCAATAAATCAGTGTTCATCTGGCTCTTCTCTCCCCACACCTTTGTGTTCTCTTAGTACTCCGTAACGTTAGCTGTTCACTCACTCTTATTGCTCCCCCCCATCACTGTCTTCCTCCTCTTCTTCTTCCCTCCCACCTCCTTTCCCTTTGACTTCCCCTCTCTCTTTCTCTCTCTCCGCGCAAAAACCCCCCCCTCCCTCCCTCTTTGATCTATCATCTATCATTCCTTCAGAATTGATTATTTCTATAGTCATTCTCTCGCCCGTGAGCCTTCGCGGAGCATCCCGGAGTCCTGCTTCGCTGGAATATCTCCCATCACTGCTTCCACCCCCCTCAGGGCACCTTTTCTCCCCCCGTCTCCTATCGGGGCACCCTATCCTATCACAACAGGCCAGCTCAACTGTCTGCCTCGTTCCCTGATCGTTATCTATTTGCCCGCGAGACAATAAAAACAATTGGAAAGAGTCGGACCGTGCACTCTGGTTTGGTAGTTGCCGCTGCCTGCCGTCGTCGACAGTGTCATCATCGGTCTTTCCCCCCCCCCCTCCTCCTCCCGTCGATCACAGCGTCGTCCTCTCTTTCCCACACCAAATCCATCCGATCTGGTTCCAGTCTTTCTATCTGGAAACCTTGAAACAAAAAAAGGATCCTTGCTATCGCTTGGGGAGTAGATCGTCATCTACTCGGCTTCTGCGTCTGCTTCGTTTCTTGCACTGCTAGCGAGTGTTCTTTTGATTGTCTCTTTTTTTTTTTAAAGAAAAAAAACCTTTGCCAGCGTTGCTGTTTTTTTTTTTTTTCTTTTGGCTCGTCTTTGAAGTATCAGACTGCTTGCCACACACTACCAGCGTCCTTCTGGCCTGTCATTTGAATGTGAGTATCCTGTCTTTGTGTCGTCTGCTCGGTGGAGAAGCAGCTGCCGTGGATAGCTACCATCTAGAGGTCGCTCTTTCAGAGGTGCTAATCACTCCCCAGATCTTACAGATAAATTCCATCGTCTTGTCGTCATCATACATTGCGGTGAGGGGTGGTTTTTCAGTCAGTCGGTGCTTCCGAGTATAAACCTCCTCTTCTCTCCTCTCCGACGAGGTGTCCTCGATCCGCTTCCCTCGCTCCTCGCCGATTATAGTACTTATACGTTGCTCTTTTCCACCCTTCCCCATCTGCTTCTTGCAGAATTCATAAAAGATGGATCAGCAAGGACAGTCAGGGGTTCCAGGCCCTGCCGGCCGTAAGCTTCATATAGCTCACAGGAGAAGTCCTTCAGAGCTGACTCCCCTAATGAGTGAGTCTCTTGTCCTCCTTTTCTCTTCTCCGATAATCCTGCTGACCAACGGGCCTGCCAGTGGAACAACTCGCTATTCAACAACAGATCGAACTGCTTCAGCAGCAACAGCAACAGATTGCAGCTACACACCAACAGTACGTCAACATGGGTCTCCTGCAACCTCAACAACTTGGCCAGGTCTCCGCCTTTTCTCCCTCGCTTCAAGGCGGTGCCTCCATGGCCGGTGTCTCCCCTCAGATCAGCGCTTTTCAGTTTCCCCAGCTGGCCCAGCAACAGCAACAGCAGGGACAGCAGCAGGGGCTCGGTGTTCCCATGAATGCCCCTCCTCAGCACTCGCACCGTCGCAACCAGTCTGCTCTCCCTGGCCTGGCTATGGGCCCTCCTCCCGCCCCCTCCTCGGGCGCTTCGGGCTATAATGATTATAGCCAACAACTCCAGAAGAATGACAACGGAACTCAAGGCGGTCGCGGCCGTGGTGGTCCCCCCGGCGGCGGTCACCAACGCCGTCACTCCCTCGCTCTGCCCGAAGCGAAGAAGGCTGCCGAGCTGGCCCAGCAGAAGCGAACCGCCTCGGGTTTCCAGTTCCCTGCTGCTCCCGCGCCCGGTGAGACCTCGTCGGCCTCCGACGACAAGTCCGCCTCGGCTACCACTCAGATGCCTCAGGGGCTAGGTCTGCAACGAGCCGGTAACGTCCGGGTAGGCTCTCACGGACGTAGTCAGTCCATGGCCGTCGGAAACAACCGCGGATCCCTCCCGGGTCGTGGCGCTGGTGGTTTCCAGTTCCCCCAGATCAGCGAAAATGCCCCAGATACCACCCAGAGACGGGGCAGTCAGCCCGGTCATGCCCGCACCTCCTCCCGAAACTTTGAAGGCAATTGGCGTCAGCCCAACAACCAGAACCAGAACCAGGATCAGCCCAAGACTGGCAACGGCGGGTTTGGACAACAGAGCGGTGGCTTCCAACCCGGTCACCGCGTAAGAGCATCAATGAACCAGTCAATCGGCACCCTGGGCTCTTTCCAATATCCCGGGCAACCCCAACTTATCCAGCTTCCCCAGGGTCAAGTCGTCATGGCTCAGCCGCAGATGTTTGGCGGCCAACAGCTGAACCCCCTGCAGCTAGCCCAGCTACAGGCCCTGCAGCAGCAGAGTGGACAGCCGCTCGGTCTCCAAGCTAGTCAGCATGCCCCGCCGCAGCTGTCGGTTCAGCAGCAGCAGCAGCAACAGCAGCAACAGCGCAAGACGCTCTTCACCCCTTATCTTCCCCAGGCGAATCTTCCTGCGCTCCTGAGCAACGGTCAGCTTGTAGCTGGCGTTCTACGCGTGAACAAGAAGAACCGTTCGGATGCCTACGTTACTTGTGCGGAGCTGGATGCCGATATCTTCATTTGCGGCAGCAAAGACCGTAACCGTGCACTCGAGGGTGATCTCGTGGCCGTGGAGCTGCTGGATGTCGATGAAGTGTGGGGTCAGAAGAGGGAAAAGGAAGAGAAGAAGAAGCGCAAAGACATTACCGACACTCGCTCAAACAGCACTGCCGGCAACGAAAAGCTGTCCCGGTCCGACTCCAATGGGGATCGTCAGGAGATTGGCCCCGATGGTAGCATCCGCCGTCGCGGCAGTCTTCGCCAACGTCCCACTCAGAAAAAGAATGACGACGTTGAAGTGGAGGGACAGAGTCTGTTGCTGGTCGAGGAGGATGAAATTAGCGACGAACAGAAGCCACTGTACGCCGGCCACGTCGTGGCTGTGATTGAACGCATTGCGGGACAGATGTTTTCTGGTACCCTTGGTCTCCTGCGTCCCAGTAGCCAGGCGACGAAGGAGAAACAAGAGGCTGAACGGATGGCCAGAGATGGCGGCCACAGCCGTCCCCAACAGGACCGTCAGCAAGACAAGCCCAAGATCGTGTGGTTCAAACCCACAGACAAGCGTGTGCCCCTCATTGCCATCCCCACCGAACAAGCACCTCGTGACTTTGTGGAGAAGCATCAGGATTACGCCAATCGCATCTTCGTGGCCTGCATTAAACGGTGGCCCATTACCTCTCTCCACCCCTTTGGTACGCTTGTGGAACAGCTGGGTGAGATGGGCGATCTCAAGGTCGAGACCGATGCGCTTCTCCGTGACAACAATTTTGCTTCGGACGAATTCTCCGACGCGGTGCTGAAGAGCATCGGCTGGGAGGATTGGTCTGTTGCCAATGAAGCGGAGGCCCTGTTGGCCTCCCGCCGTGATTTCCGGGACGAGACCACCTTCACCATCGACCCCAGCGGAACAAAGGCCCTGGACGATGCCATTCATGTCAAGAAGCTTGCAGACGGAAAGGTCGAAGTGGGTATCCATGTCGCCGATGTCTCCCACTTTGTCAAAGCCAACTCCCTAGTCGATCGAGAGGCGAAGAAACGGGGCACTGCTGTGTACCTGATTGATCACGTTGTGAACCTGCTGCCCCATCGGGTTGCGAATGAATTGTGCTCCTTGCTTCCCGGAGAGGATCGCCTGACTGTCAGTGTCGTCTTCACCGTGGACCCCACCTCCGGAGCTGTCGATGATGATGATGTATGGATCGGCAAGAGCATCATCAAGAGTTCTGGAAAATTGACTTTTGACGATGTCAATGCCATGATTGCTGGAACCTCTGGGGTTTCCACCGGCAGCGTGTCCCCTGACGATATACTGACTCTAAATGTGGGTTTAATCCAACTCGAGTTCAAATTATTGGTTCTCTCTTCCATTTATACTAATCTCTGTGTTTTTTCTTCTTATAATATACAGGCCATTGCAACCAAGTTCCGTGAATCGAGACTTGGAAACCGTGTTTCCAACATCCCTCCCCTCCGTTTACTCTACCAGCTTGATGATGAAAATGTACCTGTGGAGCGCAATATCTTTGATTCGTCTTCTGCCCACGACATTGTTGAGGAGCTTAGCCACAAGGCCAACACATTTGTTGCCCGCAAAATTTTCAGTGCCATGCCTGACAAGGCCTTCTTACGTCGCCAACCATCTCCCAACTTCCGCCGCCTTCAGACATTCGTTGAGAGGATGAATCGACTTGGATACAATATCGACCCATCCAGCAGTGGTAGTCTTCAGAGCAGCCTTTGCAAAGTCCAAGACTCTGATATTCGCAAAGTTTGTTTCATCCTTTCTTCTTTTTTTTTCTCTTCTCCAATTTGGGGGGGGGGATTCTTTTTTCCTTGCCCAGCACCACTAACCATCAAATAGGGAATGGAAACGTTACTTGTCAAGGCGATGCAACGTGCCAAATATTACGTGGCAGGCAACGCTCAGGATGAACAGCGTCAACACTATAGTCTCAACCTGCCTCTATACACCCATTTCACTAACCCCAGTCGCCGCTATTCGGATATCATTGTGCACCGCCAGCTGGAGTCAATCCTATCCAATGGTGCTATCGAGTTCACCGATGACCTTGAGACCCTGAACAAGACCGCAGATCTTTGCAACAACAAGAAGGACTCGGCCCACAACGCTCAGGAACAGAGCGTTCACATTGCGGCTTGCCGGAATATGGACAAGCATCGCGAAGAGGTTGGTGGCGACTTGATCAGCGAGGGTATTGTTCTCTGCGTCTACGAGTCGGCCTTTGATGTCCTCATTCCCGAGTATGGGTTTGAGAAGCGCGTCCACTGTGATCAGCTACCGTTGAAGAAGGCCGAGTACCGCAAGGATACCCGTGTCCTGGAGCTTTACTGGGAGAAGGGTGTCCCCTCGTCTGCCTACATCCCCGAAGACGAACGCCCCAAGCCTGCTAGTTCGCGTGCCGCCCAGGCGGCTGCTGCCGCACGTGAGGCGGAGGCGGCTCGAGAGCGTGCCAGAGAACGAGAAGAAGCGATGCGGAAGCAAACCGAGACCGGTACCATGTCTGCCGATGACGTTGACGCCCTCTTTGACGACGATGATGACATCTCCGAAGTCACTGAGATGGCTGCTGGTGTGTCGTTGAACTCGCCCGTCGATCGTTCCACTCAGAGCATGCCACCATCTCCGACTCGCAATGGTCACCTTGCGCAGGCTCCTCACCGGACTCGGTCCGACCCGAAGATTGCGTCAGTCTCTGCTGATGCTCCTGAGGCCAAGTTGACGAACAAAGAGAAGTATCTGAAGCTCTTCGCGCTGAGAGAGGAAGATGGAGAGTACATCCAGGATGTGACCGAGATGACCCGGGTTCCCATCATCCTAAAGACCGATCTATCCAAGAGCCCTCCGTAAGTTCCCCTCTCAAGGTTTTTTTTCTTCTTCTCGACCTGTTCTGACAATACACACTTTAGCTGCCTTACCATCCGGTCTGTCAACCCCTATGCTCTGTAAAACCTCCGAGCACTTGATGTTGCTTTGAACGCTCTCGTCCTACGGTCTCACTCGACAGTCTGCGAATCGAACGTATTCTTACCAGATGATCTTTACGCCTTTCCGACAATGTGCCTTGCAGGAATCTCCTCCCTTTTCTTATTATCTCACAGTTCCAGTGATCTTAAATCGACATATTTATGTTAGCCTCAGCGGGAAAGGGTTAAAAAAAAAGTCCATTGTGGAACAGGATTATATACTTTACACATGGCTCAAGATGGCAACGTGGACGATGGTCTATGAATAGTCGATTCCTCGGCCTTGGACAATAGTCCTGTGACCTTTGGGAGGGATCGAACAAAAGTATCAGTTGAATCCCTTTTTCATTCAAGGTGGCCTAGCCTGGCCAATGTACCATCGAATGCGATGGTCGCGCCCAGCTAACCCTTGGCTGGATGAGAAATGGTGCCTTGGTCGATCAAGATGGAAGGCACCTCGGTTGAAAATTTGTTGTTGAATCTTTAGATATGCGCATAGTTTTATCGAGCGGTTTCGGATAGCTAGCTACCTATACTTAGTTTGTTGAATGTTTGACTAGTCTTTAGCCATAGTAATTACGGAGTTGGCCTATCGAGTCATTAATATATTCAATTCTATACTTTGTTCTCTCCGGTGTATTGTCCTTCTAACGTTGTGTAGAATCTAGATGTATTGAGGAAAGCGACGAGATGGATGTAAACCGAGTCGATGAATGTATGGATGGGTACTATGCTATGTATACCGTATTCTCTAGAGAAAAAAAACCAGTATATGTATCAAGAACCAGACGGGGCAAAAGAACCGCTTTCGATATGCTGGTGTTCCGGCCTACCAACAAACGCCTACCCTGTGCTATCCTGAGGTAACGCCTTTGCTCGAATGTTGAAAAGAAAACCCCCCTCCAAAAAATAAAAGAAGCGTGAGTGAAGTTGGTTTCCAAGCTAAAGTCGGCGTAGACCGATGCGAGGCTTTGTCTTGGAAGACGAGACCTTACGGGAACCCGTGGGGACGGATTTGGGGACCATCAAGGCGGAGGAGGGTGCGGAGAGCGATGACGGGGCGGGCAAGGTGGGAGGGTGGATTTGGTTAGGGGCGTCCGGGCTGTGATTGATCGGGGGTAATTGTGAGGAAGGAGATTCCTTTGTGTTGTGGTTTTCCTTGCCCTCGCCGCTGCTTTGGCGGCGGGGGTCAGTGGATGTATCGGTGCAGTCCTCGTAGATGTGGAGATCGTGCCAGATCTGGCCTGAGGATGAAGATGAGGATGAGGATGACGTGGAATTAGTGATAGTGATGGAAGAATGAGAGGTGTTGACACTTGTGTTCAGCATGGAGAGCTTCGGCGATTTGCGTTGAGGCGAGTAGTCGCGCTCTGTTGAAGACGAGAAGGGGGGTAGGTCATTGGCAGCGATGTTCTTCTCCGAAGCCGTCATGGTATCTTCATCTCCTTCCGGCGAGGTAGGGACGGAGTCGAGGGGGATACTGAGCACAGAGAGCGGGCGTTTCCCGTGGGCGTTCTTCCTAGGGCTTGGTGGTGCCAGTCTGACCGGGGTGGGCGATAAGGAGGGATCGTTCTCCTTGGACGCAACGGCCAGGTCATCGGGTTCATCGGTGAGGTTGTCCGGTTCTTGGACAACGCCGCTGCGAGAAGACGACGACGACGACGACGACGGCTTCTTCTTCATCGTTAACGAGTGGACACGGGTCCCTGTGCGAGTTCGGATCGGGTGGCATTCTTCCCTTTGCTCGTGGAGGACAGTGCCGGCATCCTCGCCTCTGAGCTTGGCTTCGAGGGTGGCGTCTTTCATGGCTGGCGGGATCGGAGCGTGGATCGATGTCATGAGCTTAGCTTGACGGGCGAATGCGTCGTAGTCCTCCTGGAGCATTGCGCCGGCTGTCGAGTTGAGAGCCGAATCGGGGTTAGGATGGATGAGAAGACAGGAGATTGTCTATAGAAATGAGTCAGTTTAGGTGCCCTGGAAGATGGCTCATTGCTTTTACGGTGATATCAAAGCAAGACTCACGATCAACACATCTCGGAGGGTCAAGCTAGACGTCCAGTCTCGCTTCAGGGTATCGACGCAGACCGCGCCTGTCAACTCCTCGACGTTCGGATGCCATATGCGGGTTCGGAAGGCGGCCTTGGGCGGGCTTTTCGGGTAATCCTCCGGCATCTTCAGGTGAAGCCGCCACAGGCCCTGCGCGTAGGGTGTGCCCTGTGGGCCTGTAAGAAAGATGCTAAGCTGGGTGAGGTCATCGGAGAGGGCATCGTGGTCGGGCGAAAAGAAGTAGTGTGGAGGGAGCTCGTCGTGTAAGGCGGCATGGTCCGCTGCCAGACGTCGGAGACCGGAGACCTGCACCCAGATTTGATTCGCTTAGCTTTCTTTGTTCTGTAGAATCGGATTTTTAGAATCTTCGGACAGTTTGGGGTACATACCATGGTGTTTTTTCTTCCTTGGAGGAGAGCTGTTGTGAATGAAGGGTAGGTAACAGACAGAACACTGTAATATCATATGAGTGAGAGGCCGAATCCAACAGGTAACACCTCTACACAAAATGATGCCTCTTTGCCCCGGAGTATTCCAGCGCGATCGAGCTATGGCGTCACGACGATCCAGCTCTTGGACAGAATCCGGTTGCCCCAGAATCCTCTCTTTGTTTTGGTGGTTGGACACGACAGGTGTGCGCTAGACCAAACTAGGATATATTGCGACGCGTTGTGTGTCACGTGTCTGACGCGTCTCGCGTCTGCCAAAACGGGCCATTTGGCATTGACCCGTGACCATCACATGGTTTCTGCAGTGAAACATGCCATGTCTAAGGTTGCTATTGAAGACGTACGAGTACCTGTACGCCTTAACTATTGGATTTGGTGCTACAGGGTACATTGCTACTATTGATTTACTTTAACTATGGAGTCATCACAGTATAACCTATTTACTGATTATTACTAACTAGTTACCTAAGTGGCCACTGGAAAATGAATCGCATAGAAAAACAAGGCCAAATGCACTAGCAAGAAGAGAGAAACAATTAAAATGCCGGTTCCATAATCTTCGTATCGTGTTCATCTCAATGACAGTTGATCGGCCGATCAGAAAGCCAGTGTGACGAGAGATCAGAACGACTTCGACATACCAGTGTTACTGACAGCACAATTCAACTGTCCCTCTTCCCACACCCCCTGTTTTACAGGAAAGCGACGACAGCGGCGCCCGCAAGACCCAGCCCCAGACCCAAAGGCCCGACAGTAGCCATGGCGGCGCTACCGGTGGAGGAAGAGGAAGCGGCCGAAGCGCTGCTGCTGCCGGAGGCAGAGGAGCCCGAGGTTGAGCTGGAGCCTGAGGTGCCTGTCGAGGAAGCACCAGACTTGGTGGTCTTGGTAGTCTTGGTGGCCGATGAGACGACGGTCGTGAGGGAAGAGGAAGCGACCGAGGCGGAGCTGTTCGGGGGCACAATGGCGCTGGTCACACCGGCCGGGGTCGAGGCAACGGCCGGTTCACTGGTCACAACGGCCGGCTGGCTGGTCACCACGGCAGGCTCGCTGGTCACAACAGAAGGCTGGCCAGTCACGGCGCCGTCAGCGTTGGTTTCGGTAAGGTAGCTGGTCTCCGGGTTGCCCTAAGAAAAAATCGGTGTTAGCTATGCGTTATGAACAGGATGGATACATGACAATCTCTCTACTAGACTCCCCAGGTGATACTTACAGCGGCAGCGGCAGCACTGGACTCAGCGGCGACGAAAGCCGACAAGGCCACGACGAGGAGGGCAGTAACACGCATTCTGGAGGTGAATTAATGCTTATCGATTAGATAGCGACGGTGGGCGTGGAGACTGGATACTAAATAGTCCGTAAGGTAGATCGCTTGTGTAAAGAATGTGAAGATGAGAAAGAAGAAGAGGAAGAGGAAGAGGAAGAGGAAGAGAAACGAGTGCGAGTCCAAAAAGAAATACGACTTGATGGATAGACTGCTTGGTTGTCAAGGAAACAAAATCACCAGCCAGACGTGCATACGGTGTTTGATGAGCTTTATAGGGAGACGAAGGGACTGTAACCATACAAACATACAAAACACCCATACGGCCACGGACCACGCCACGGACCCTCAGCCTTGCTGCATCAAGCTCTTCCTCGTATATTCCAATACTACTACTACTCTGTATTTCCCCCTCCCCAGAATAAGATCCACTCTTGCCAAGCAAGACAACGACACGCCACGGATGAATCAAATGCGACGGAGGCGGCGAAACAGGGTGTTGTTTTGCGGTGGCAACAAGTGGATACACGCGCTGGCGGACGATCGTGCCCTGCGACTGGATTGCGACCTGTGACAAAAGGAGAGCACGTCTGCGTCAGCACTATTATTGCTGCCGTGTTTTGGAGGTGAGAGAATACGTAAGAAGGCAATAACGAGGTATAGTGATTCTGGAAAGGGATCGTGTACGACGTGTACGGAGAGGTACTAAATGTGGCAGGAAATTGATTGCATGCTGTCCACCAAGTACCACGTTATGTAGTGTAAGCAGCCGCCCGATAATACATCGAAGCTGCAGTCAACAGGTCGTTCTCTTACTTTGACAGAAGATGCTAGACTGTTGAAAGTCCTAGGTAACCCAACTAGTTAACCAGTTACCAGGAAGTAAGTTAGGTACCTAAACGTACTCCGTACCTTGATTAGGTACTTACAATGCCTGCTCTCCGTCTTGGCTGCCGCGTATATCCTCGTCAGCAGTAACCCCGTGAATATTGGAATAGTGCTATTAATATTCAAACGCAGGTCAAATGACTGCATCTGACTGCTGATGCCTCGCTCCCTTTGTAGTCTAGACCTCTCGGTGGTGTCCTCTGTAAGCTGGGGCTGTACAGTGTACACTGTTGATCCGTTCTGTATACCGGCCGATCAGTGTATTTTACATGCAAGGCAAACATGCTCCAAAAATAGCATGTAGTAAGTACTATTGGGATGAGACAAGCTCAACGCCACAGCTCATTCCAATGGAGCCATGGGTCGAATCTGGTAACTATTGATGAGGAGAAGAGGGGAAACAGGGTCAGTCATATGTTTCCTTCAGGATTAGTTTCAGATACCCTGTAGCTAGTAGCCACCGTTAATTATGGAGTACCTACGGAGTAACTGGTTATGTAGTAATAACCGAGTTTGGAGTGTTAGACGGCGTACTATTCGTACTCTGTACACTGTAATAAATTAATGAGTGGATGCAGATACGAATTACCACATATGGAGGAGTTGCTTCGCATGATATTGAAGTTTCACCTCATTGTTCATATCACATTATGCAGCTATTCATAATTCGGATTAGGCAGGCCGAGAACCTGCAGGATTGGCACTGCATTTCAGCCTCTAATCACTCGGTCAGCCATCGGAAGATCACCTCGACGCATTGTACGCAATATGAGGTTCAGGGGAGTTTTGGGTGTCCATAGCTGTCCTCCCTACCTGCACCCAGTCTTAGTTATCATCTAACAAAGATATCTTCGTATTCGACGAGCTGCTAGATTGCCATGTCGAGGACCTGGTATCAGATGCCTGTCGAGCCTGAGCTTCTCATCTCTGAAGCTGCAACGGGCGATGCTCTGCAAGATGAGTGGTTCTTCTTCCATAAGACACCGCTTGAATAGACCGATGATATAGAGATTATCAAGGCTGCATTGAAATTGTCACTCCAGTGGCCGCAACTTGCAATTTGTTTGACCAGATTTCATTCTTTTGTGGTATATAAACAAACAGCTTGACGTACAGCAACATCACCACACTCGCTTCACCCTTTCGTCACTTGGCCGGCACATCCTGGTTGCGAATCCAGTCCGCGAATTCCTTCCGTTTAGCCTAAAAAGTTAGTATGATAGAACAAAAGAGAGTATCTTAGAGTAAGATCTTGACATACCCGAATGTCCCAAAAGCTATACCGCTCCTCGAGCCGCCGGTACGGGTTCCGCGCACCACCCTCCTTCTCGATCTGCCCCGCCCACACACTCCAACTGACGGGCTTCAGCTTCTCAGCACCGAGGACCAGGCCCAACGAGATGATAACCAGCGAGACCAGGGCTTCGATCACGATGTCCAGGGGGAGGGCGGGTGAGGCGGTCAGCCGGGCATTGCTGCTCAGAACGGTGTGTTCATGTGCGGAGAATCCACTATAAAAGAAAAGCCGCCCCCAGAATTGTAAGTCAATTGATTTGATTTGGTCTGGAGATTGGGCTTGATTCATTCTGTGGTGGAAGACTCACGCATGGCCGAGCAGGACGAGGCCGAATAATGTGATCAGACGCGAGAAGAACCCCATGTTGATATCCACTCGTCAGAAAAGGAATTATCTGGACTACTAATGATAAGTTAGAAATGGGAGATAGCCTCCGGGATAAGTGATTCACTTGCTGACCTTTTCTGGATAACACTACTGTCAAATGTCGAGGCTCAAATGATGCTGTCAGCGACTTGACGTTGCGCTAGCTTGTTTACACTGTTTGTCTGTTCCGGGAGAGTTTTAACGCCAAAAACGCAAGAAGAACCCCGCTTGGGCCACAACTATTGCAAATACTTCTAGGTAGGATACGACCCAGGGAGGGAGGGATACAATATATACTTTTTTTTAGATTCTATGGGCAATTGATTTTGCCATGGGTTTTATTTTCATCATACGACCGGCAACTGCACCCAGGTCGTAGCAGTCATAAATGACTTTCAGGCTTCGTGACTCTTTAGAATTATTCAATCAAAACGTCAAAATCCGTCATCACTCCATCGTTCATAAATGGGCATTCAAATTACAGCTTCTGCATGGCGGCCTGCGGAAAGAAAGTTAGCATCAATAAACATGATAAAAGAGAAAAGAAAACTTACAATATCGGTGGACTGGACGTGGTCCTCGTCCTCCTCAATGCGCTGCTGGAGCTCATCCGTGGAGACCTTCAGGTCCTCGACGACCAGGTTGATCTGAAGCTTCTTGATACCGAAGCCAACGGCAACGAGCTTGGAGGCACCCCAAACCAGACCGTCCATCTCGATGGCGCGGACGTTCTCCTCCATCTCCTTCAGGTCGGTCTCATCATCTGTTGGCACATTTGTTAGACATGTTTCATCGTAAGGTTGACGGCTAGAAAATACATACCCCAGGGCTTGACCTCCAGGGTCACGAGGGACTTGGCGACAGGCTTGGGCTTGGCCTCCTTCTTCTTTCTGTACTCAGCAAGACGAGCCTCACGCTCCTTGACAATCTCGGGGTCCTCCTCCTCGGAGTCGCTGCCGAAGAGATCATCATCCTCTTCCTCGGCCTCGGGCTTGTCCTTGGGGTTCACCGGCAGCTCGGTGGTCTCGGGGCCGTAGGCAGTGAAGGCCTTGGAGGCGTCACCCGGGAAAGTGGGGAACTCAGCCTCGAAAGAGGCAATGTGCTTGTACCAGCGAGCAACATGGGGGTACTTGGCAGCGTCAGGAGCGCTGGTGAAGGCCTTGAAGGTCACAACATCGGCCTGGGAGGGTGCATAGCTAGAAGCACATTAGCCACTTTTCTCTCTCTCTTCGTTAATGGTACTGGCAGTGTAATGTGCTGTGGTAAATGCAAAGAATACATGTGCAACTCTCTCCAAGATCAGAAACGCGATTGCTCGCAATTGTTGTGTAGTCATACAGCGGGGTCTTAATCCGCCTCCTAAACACGGACCAATTTATTTTCATCATAAAGGGAGCAAGATGTACAACTGGATGGGGGGAAAGGGGAAGAAATTTTTTTGCCTTACCCAACGATGTAGCTGCGGGTGGCCAGGTACTGGTTGGCAACTGAGGAGGGGTGTTAGACATGGTGAAAAAGGAAAAGAATACATGATAAGTCAGGAAAAGGGCTTACTCGTAAGGCCAGCATCAGAGACGAAGTCGGTGAAACCCATTGTGAAGAATGTGTAAGAGAATGTTTTTTCGGAAAGGAGGGGTAGAGAGGATGAGGTGTCCAGAAGTTTTTAAGGAGAGGCCAGGAAATTGGGAGAGAATTTTCTGAGGGCGCCAAAAAGCCCCTCTATGGGGCCGCTCACGTGATCTCAGGAGCTTGGGTCGAGGTTCTGGGAGCTTCCGCCACTCAAAGACGGTTCTGGGGGCAAGTGGACCATTCGAGAAGCGACGCTGCCTGAAGGCGAGCTATATATGACCAGGAAGCACTCGGATGCACGTCTGTTGCTGCTGAAGGTTGATTTTGACTGAGATTGTATTCTCTCTCTGATTTATTTGTCAACTACCGCCATGGCGTCTAGGCTGCAGCTCACTCGGAGCCGGCTGCTTCGATCGCCAGCCACCCAAGTCCCAACCCGATCACTGTATTTCACACCGCGGTTACGTCCGCTTCCTCTTACACGTACTCTGCCATCGCTGCAATCGAAGCTCGGTCCGGTATATCACTCGGTCCGTACGTACGCTAATGGTCGACCACATCCCCCGGGCGGTACACACCGCATGAATCTGGGCGGCGAACCTGAGAAGTCAGCATTGGAGCAGTATGGCGTTGATCTGACGGCCAAAGCGCAATCGGGGAAACTAGATCCGGTCATTGGTCGAGACGCGGAGATTCACCGGACCATTCAAGTGCTGTCAAGACGGACGAAGAACAATCCGGTTCTCATCGGAGCTGCGGGCACTGGCAAGACTGCGATCTTGGAGGGTCTAGCCCAGAGGATTGTGCAGGGCGACGTTCCGGAGAGCATCAAGAACAAGCGTGTGATCTCGTTGGATCTCGGCTCTCTCATTGCCGGCGCGAAGTTTCGAGGTGATTTCGAGGAGCGTCTGAAGTCGGTTTTGAAAGAGGTGGAAGATGCCCATGGCGGCGTGATTCTTTTCATCGACGAGCTTCATACCCTTCTTGGCTTGGGAAAAGCGGAAGGCAGCATTGATGCTAGCAATCTTCTAAAGCCGGCTCTTTCCAGAGGCGAGCTCCAATGCTGCGGCGCAACCACCCTCAACGAGTATCGACTCATCGAGAAGGATGTCGCACTGGCCAGACGATTCCAGCCCATTCAAGTGGGCGAGCCCTCAGTTGCATCAACCATTTCCATCTTACGTGGTATCAAGGACAAGTATGAAGTGCACCACGGTGTCAGAATCACCGACGGTGCTCTTGTGGCCGCCGCGACGTACAGCAACCGATACATCACGGATCGATTTTTGCCCGATAAAGCCATTGATCTGGTAGACGAGGCTGCTTCAGCCCTCCGTTTGCAGCAAGAGTCAAAGCCAGATGCGATCAGAGAATTAGATCGTGATATCACAACCATTCAGATCGAACTTGAATCACTTCGCAAGGAAACTGATGTCAGCAGCCGCGAGCGCCGAGAAAAACTGCAAGAAATTTTGAAAACCAAACAAGAAGAAGCCGGAAAGTTGACCGAAGTATGGGAAAAGGAGAAGGCAGAAATTGAAACGATCAAGCGAACCAAAGAGGAACTGGAGCGTGCTCGATTTGAGCTGGAACAGGCTCAACGAGAAGGCAATTTCGCAAAGGCTGGGGAGCTCAGATACTCTAGGATTCCCAGCCTTGAGGCCAAATTACCTGAAGAAGGGGTGGAAAATAATCCCAACGGCGACTCTTTGATCCACGACTCTGTCACGCCAGATGACATTGCCAATGTTGTTTCTCGAACGACTGGTATTCCAGTCAACAAACTGATGGCCGGGGAGGTTGAGAAATTGATTCACATGGAAGATACACTGCGGCAATCAGTTCGTGGACAAGATCAAGCCCTCGAAGCAGTCGCCAATGCTGTCCGGATGCAGAGAGCTGGTCTTAGTGGAGAGAATCGACCCCTGGCATCATTCATGTTCCTGGGCCCGACGGGTGTGGGAAAGACTGAATTATGCAAAAAGATGGCTGAGTTCTTGTTCTCCACTGAGACCGCTGTTGTGAGATTCGACATGAGCGAGTTCCAGGAGAAGCATACCATCAGTCGTTTAATCGGATCGCCAGCGGGTTACGTTGGATATGACGATGCAGGCCAGCTTACTGAAGCTGTCAGACGCAAGCCTTACGCAGTGTTGCTTTTCGACGAATTTGAAAAGGCCCATCGCGATATTTCTGCCCTCCTTCTACAGGTTCTCGACGAGGGCTTCCTTACCGATTCTCAAGGACACAAAGTCGATTTCAGAAACACTCTTATTGTTCTTACTTCCAACCTTGGTGCTGACATCCTCGTGGGTGCCGATCCATTGCATTCATTCAAAGACTATGGCAATGAAGAACTATCCCCAGAAATTAAAACTGCAGTGATGGATGTCGTTCAATCGTCATACCCACCTGAGTTCCTCAACAGAATTGACGAATTTATCATTTTCAAGCGATTGTCTCGCGAGGCACTCCGGGATATTGTCGACATCCGACTCAAAGAGCTCCAGTCCAGGCTTGATGACCGACGCATGACCTTGAAGGTAGACGGCGACGTCAAGAGCTGGCTCTGTGAGAAGGGCTACGATCCTAGATATGGGGCTCGACCATTGAACCGTCTCATTGCCAAAGAGGTTGGAAACAAGCTCGCCGATAAAATCATCCGCGGTCAGATCGTTTCAGGACAGACCGTTCATGTCACAATCAATGCTGACAAGAGCGGTCTTGAAGTCTCCGCCGAAACTTGAAAATTCTTGGCTTTTCAGTCATTTTTGCCACTATGTGTATGTGTCTATGTACAGTATCTATTTAGTTTTGTTAGGTGTTTGGGGTGTACTACTGGAGGTCGGCTCCAAGAGCGTTCTGTTTATAATATCCCCACTCTTTGTGTACTATAGCATATCACGAAAGTTCTATCTAACGAGAAATATATACCCATGGTCACTTGTTCACACTAAAATACTAGACTTGGTTCCTAGTAGGGTCATTCTGTAAGAGGGGCTCAGTTGTGTTGAGCTGGATGGAGATCACCCCCCCAGGCAGTTGCCGTCTTTCTCCCAGCTCCCCAGTCTACCTCCATCAACGTCTCAACTCTTCTCTCTACATATTATCGTCGAAGCGCCACCATGTACCGTTCTTCTAAAAGAAGAAGGCTTGCTCCTTCATCAAGTTTTCACTCTCTTAGGCACTCTTCAAAAGCAAATACCGCCCGAAGCACGCCTCATCCCCCCCAACAGCCCCAGGCCTCGCGAGAGACAGCCTTCAATTTTCGAGACTCGTCAACGTCTAGACAATCGCGGCTTGATATCAGAAGCGAGGTTTCTCGCAGTGACAGATTCGAACAATTTGCTGATGACAATTTGGACCAGGTGATAGCAGCCTTTGATGTGAAAGATTCTGGAAAGCTTGGCTGTTCCTATTTTTGTGCCCAAGAAGAGAGGTTATACTTGCTGGGAGACATGCGGTCTGCTGATAGAGACCTCATCAACACCTGTCCGTTTGTCTTGATCTCTTGAATACGCCGCTGCGAACATGCTGATTCAGTTGTTCAGTGACCCTCCAAATTAAGCCTACCTTAGTTCTGACATCTGCTCGCGTGGATGATATCTGTGGGTGGACTGGTCAGGACTATAAACCGGACGGTGTGCTTATTGTTTTGATAATTGCAGTCGAATTTATCTCTAACCTTCGAAAGGTTCTCAGTCGTACCTACCCTTTCAAGTTGATATCCGCCCATCTCAAGAATTTAACTACTCGGATGCAAGAAATAAGCTTGTAGCCCTCGATGTCTCATCTCAGGACCGACGCATTCAGTTCCTTGTGCCTCAGGATGGGGTGGCAGTCAACGACCAGCTCCGCATGGAGGACACTGGATATACTGCGCATGAAGGGAGGCTACTACATATGTCAGGTTCTATTGACATGGATAACAAAGTCACGATTTCCTGCGCCGGTGCTATACTTACTCACATTCAGAGGCGAATAATTGCAGGCTCGGTCTCTAGTGCTGAAGGCGAGTTTACCTTCAGGGTGGACTCAATTGAAATGTCTAGTCTACATGGGACGATGTGAGTTTATGATATTGCTTTGAGATCAAGCCAACCCTCTCATAAAATTTGCAGGTCGCTAAGCGCAAATACTCTATTATGTCTTCAAATATTACACTCCGAATCACAACCTAATATGCCCAACCAAGGCTCAAAGAAAAGTGAACCGTCTTCCAAAGAAGGACTGTCAGTATACGGCATTTTCAAGCGTTTCGCTTATACCCCACAGGGAAAGATTCGGCTCAGACAGCATTTCCTCAGACCAAGTATTGATAAAGACGTCATACACAGGCGACACGGCTTCATTGAAGTGTTCCTCAAACCAGGAAATCTTTCGCCCTTGGAAAAATTGACAAAGAGTTTGAAACACATCAAGAACCTTCGTTCAGTGATGGTCAACATACGAAAAGGAGTCACCGCAGGAAGTGGTAATATCATCGGTTTCAAAACCACCGTCTGGGCAACCCTACTGGCTGTATGTTCCTGGGCGATCTTGCAACAAGAGATGTACTCATACCAAGATTCCAGTTTGCGTTCTACGGGATCGATATTCAACATGCCTTAAAGGAGGTATCGGGTGGAGACAGACTACCCTTGTGCAAGAAGGTGGGTACTAGTATTCCCATCCTGGCATACGCTGAAATACGAAAGGCACTGGAGTTACTTGAAGCGGCGCAGCTTTATAGGGTTGGTAGGATGATCCAAGAAATAGTATTCCCATCCTCGGAACTTCCAATCCTTCGAACCTTGACTGACAGGTGCAGATTGACGTTGATGAAACGGAAGAGCAAGGAAGAACAATCGTGAAACCAGGAGTTGATAAGAACCTCGATGAGTTAAAAGATAAATACGACGGCCTCGGTGATCTATTGAAGAAAGTCGCACTAGAAATTGCAACGATGATTCCAGATAGCCTCGATGTCGACGTGAATGTTGTTTATTTTCCTCAGTTAGGGTTCAATATTGCGATCCCCGTGGATAACAACGGGCAAGCAACATTTAATGGCAGTGACGATGGCTGGGACATGATTTTTGTTACTGAAAATCGAGCATATTTCAAAGATTTTCGAATGAAAGAGATGGATGACTGCCTAGGTGATATATATGCATTGATTTGTGGTGAGTCTAGAGTTAGCCGACTAGCTCGGCCCAAGTCACTAACTTGACTAGAAAAGGAGATAGAAATTGTCCATCTCCTTGCCCAGAAGTTACTTCAATTTGAAAAGGTACTTCTCGAGGCATCTGATATTTGTGGTGAGCTTGATTGGTAAGGATCCAATATGCCGTTCGAAGCGATGTACTTATCTTCACGCAGTCTTCTCGCAATGGTTCATGCAGCAAGCCTGTACAATTTAGTTCGTCCGCAGATGACAGACGAGGCTATTCTTGATATCAAAGGAGGCCGGTACGTGGATTACTCAAGACTCTTAAGACACCTCCTCTAAACGATTTGAAGTCATCTTCTCCAGGAAATGACAGTCTCATCTTACATTCCAAACGATACCCTACTTGTGGGAGGTGCAGCCGAGTCAAGTCCCATGCCTATATATCTCGGAACACCCCAAAATACCTCAGACCTTCCCGGCTTGTCTGATCGCCCAAGCATGCTCTTGCTCACAGGTCCAAACTTTTCCGGAAAGAGTGTATACATGAAACAGGTCAATAATCGGTATCCATTTTAGTATATTTGGAGATCAAAGGAATTGACTAGAGCCTAGGTTGCCTTAATCCTTTTTCTTGCGCAGGTCGGAAGGTTAGTAGTAGTGGGCAGGCCTACTTCTGGCAAGGACTCACTGTGTTCGCAGCTTCGTTCCTGCGGAAAATGCAACTTTGGGTATTGCGGACAAAATCTTGACAAGGATAAATACACCTGAGAGTGTGACAAAGGTACCGATATCAATGCCACACCCAAGCATCTTCACCTATTCTATCTAGCTCATATGGCTTTAGGCTCAGAGCACCTTTATGAATGATCTACAGCAGATATCCCTTGATCTAAAACTTGCAACCAGTCGCAGTTTGGTCATCATTGATGAGTTTGGCAAAGGGACTAACAAAAGTGGTATATAAAGACCTTTTGTACCCCCTCCCTCAGCAATTTTTTATGAATAAAGCTGACACGTCGAGTATAGACGGGATTGGGCTAGCATGTGGTATACTCGAACATCTGCTCCGTCTCGAAGTCTCACCGAGAGTCATTGCAGCAACTCATTTCCATGAAATCTTCGAACATGGGCTCCTTGAATCTCGACCAAGACTTCAGTTAGGCTTCATGGAAGTTCAAGTCTGCGAAGACTCCGAGGATGTCAACGATCAGATTACCTACCTCTATAAGTTCGCATCCAATAGTTGACTAGCAACCGTCAAATCAAAGCTCTGATTCCTTTTGAAATAGTTTCCGTTTGGGTCGGAGCAACAAGAGTTACGGCACAATGTAGGTGATTCTCACAGAAAATCCAGAGACTTCTCTCACCCGTTCAACAGGTGTGCAGCTATAAATGGCATCAGCCCCGTCATTGTAGCTCGGGCGAATGATCTTGCTCTCTGTGCTGCCCGGAATCAAAATATGGGTACTGCTTGTGCCAAATTATCTGCTGCAGAGACAAAATTACTAGCGGAGGCAGTATGAAACACAAGAAGGATATTCTGTCGATATATAGTACTAACACAAGCCAACAGGAAACTCTTGCGAGGAACTTTCTCGAAATGGACTTTTCAGAAGACACTGAGGATACGGCTGTTAGGGATATGTTGGAAACTCTCTTGAAGACTCCAGGCTCCATCATAGACGACGAATCTCAACAAGAAGTCTCGCAATAGACTAATGATGCTCATTGACAGGAAGACATCAAAGCAATTACTAAGGGGTTTGCCTCATCCACTGCTTTTTTATCTATTATTCCAAATGCCTGTGATGAATAGGTCCAAGAGAAACAACCATATCCTTGTACTAATTATATACATAGCTCTGAAGAATGTTATGCAGTGAATGCCGAGGCGAATATGCATCCAAATAGATTTATCAGGAACATGAAAGTTATCCAAGCTTGACACTCTTGACCAGGTTGGTCTTGATACCAGTAAGTTCGCCACCATAACCTCCTCGGCCTTCTCCACCCTTGTAGACCTGGCGGATACTGGCCAACTTCTTCTTCTTCTCCTCGTATCGCTTCCTCTTCTTGACACGCGGGTTGCGAGAGTCCTTATTACGCTTGGGCGTGAGACCCTTGTTCTTCTCGATCTGGTACGAAATGGCTCGCTTGCCGTCCGGTCCGACCTCCTCCTGCACCTCGACTCGTCCGCCTTCCCGGGCGGCCGCGGCGTGAGCATCTGCGCGCGCTTTCTTCTCGGCCTTGCGCTGCTTCGAGCGTGCTGCCACCATGTCATAGTACTCATCTTCATCAGTGCCGGCACCATCGCCCCGGACCTGGCCGGCAACGCGGTGATCGTCGTCATCGCTGTCTCCGCCAAGCTCCTCCATCTTGCTGGGCTGCTTTTTACCACGCTTCTCGGCCTCGGCATTCAGACGGGCTTGGCGATCCTTCAAGCGCTCCCGGTAAGGCAGGTCAGCATCACCACCGGCATCGCGGCCGGCAGCAGTACGTTTGTTGGCCTTTTGTGCAATCTGGGAGGTGTAGAAGCGTAGGGAGCGCTTCTGCTTGGCCTTTTCTTCGGCCTCTTTGGAGGTGAGAGCGTCCTCGTCCCCAAAGTCGGAGTTGTCACCATCTGCGTTTGTGATCTTCGACTTCTTGAGCGCCTTTCGTTTCCTGGCCGTATCTGTTGCGAGAGTTGACAGATCAGCAAGACCCGCCTCGGTCTCACGCATCCTTTCGGCTTTCTGCGCCTCTGCTGCCGCTTGTGCCGCCGCGGCAGCCCGCTGTGCCTTGGTCAACTTCTTCTTCGGCTGCGAGGGCTTGGACTTATTGGCTTCCGTCTTCTTGGCAGGTTTGTCTGCTTTGGATGGGAGAGATATATCCAACTCTTCATCTTCCTCCTCATCGTCAGAAGCCTCGACGTTGCTGAGGTCCTTGACTGTCTCCCAAAGCTTTTTGAATTTGACCAAAGACCCCATAACTGGGTGATCTCGTAATTGAGCAGGGGCTAGAGGCATCGGTTTCTCGCTAGCACCTTGGGAAGGAGAGGCGAGAAGCATGAAATACATGCTAATTGTACCGAGATAGGCCGCCAGTGCGCGTAGCTTAATGACGGCTGTTGGCGCTGGTTCTGATGGATCAGTGACACTTCCGGCGGCCTTGGCTGCCTGTTCGAGATCCCGATAAGTCGCTTGGAAATCAACAAAATCCTTTGCTAATGGTTCGAATTCGGGATATCTTGACTTTAGGATCTTGAGCTGTTCATCAGTGCTCATGTCGTCCGTGATTTCCATTTGTGGGAGCACTTCAGTCACGGCTTCGGCTTCATCTTCCTCGTCTTGTCCTTTCCCAGCATCTGCCCATTCACTTTCGTCAAAGCCGAAATCTTCTTCGTTCATTGCCTGCAAGTGCTTTTGCTGAAGTCTCTTGGCTTCTTCCTCCTCCTCCATGGCATCGATCTCTGTCTCGATCTGGTCTGCATTGTAGAGGTCCTTTTTCGAGGAACCCCAGGCGGCAATACCATCCTCGTCACCGTCTTCGGAGCCGCTGGCCGAGCCGCGGCGCATTTTCTTTTTGCTCTTCGAGTCCAGTTCCATATCGTCTTCATCGTAGTCATCTTCATCTTCGACGTCGTCCTCATCCACTGACTCGTAACCCATAACTTCCTCGTCAGAGGGCTGGAAATACTCATCTGGAGAAAACGAGTCAGAAAAAACACTATATCCCAACTCAAGAGAGGCTCCAAACCTTGCTCTGCCAATCGTCGTCTTCTTTTTGCCTCTGGGGCTTCATCAAGCAGAATCTGATCGCGGCCCGCTTGGAACTCGTCTTCAGAATCATCAAATCGTTCTTCGAGAGCAAACTTGGAGTTCATTGAGGCTTGCTCTTCCGTAGAAGACACTCCGGAGGAGCGGCCCCCGGCCTTTCTCTTTCTGCCCATGGTCGTCTTCTGTAGAAACTGTTTGCGCTCCTTCTAAACCTCTCTGCAGAATGTTTCGGCGATAAAGTCGATAAAAATTTGGGGCGCTTCACCGCCCGCAAAGCTTCAGACCAGAAGAGGTATGTTTGCATGGTTTGTCTAAAGTTTTTTTTGCAAACGGTATTTCTTTTGTAATAATCTGTGTCAATACCATGAAAGTTACAGTCCTCGGTTTGTTTTGTACAACATTGCATTGATACACCTTCTCAGCCACAGATCAAGTCAGCTTACGATGATCAGGTCAGCTTACTTCTTACCATTATTGAAACCCTACGGTTGACTCCTTTACTTTTCTGTTATATCTAGATAATCATCGATTATCTTTTACTCTATCCCTATGAGCTATGATCTTCGGAGCATAGGAATCTCTGCAATTTGCTGCAGTATCCTCGCGTACATCATAGCCAAAATGTTCGGGTTTGGCTCTCGGAACGAATTCCACGTTGATGGCAAGGTAAAAAGCAAAGCCTAGTTGGCATATATTTTACTAATAATTTTTCTTCGAACTTAGACTGTCCTCATCACTGGCGGCTCGGAGGGAATGGGCAGAGAGGCTGCTGTTCAATTAGCAGGGAAAGGAGCGAATGTCGTGATAGTTGCGCGCACTGTCAAGAAACTTGAGAATGCCTTGGAAGTTATCAAGGTGTGCCTACTCCATTCACTCATTACGAAGGCCGTTCAAATTGACTCTTATCTCTTTGGTAAAACAGGCCGCTGCCGCATCCCCCGAAAAACAACGATTTCACTACATTAGTGCCGACCTCACCAACCCAACCGAATGCGAGCGAATCCTCGACGAAGTGACTCAATGGAATAATGGTGTTGCACCTGATGTTGTATGGTGTTGTGCGGGGTTTTCTCATCCTGGTTTATTCGTAGACACGGGTATACAAACGCTAAGGGATCAGATGGATACCATATATTGGACTGCCGCGTATACCGCTCATGCGACGTTGAGGAAATGGCTTGCTCCAGTGACTCAAGATGGGCAGTCGAAGAGTTCGAGACGACACCTGATATTCACTTCCTCTACACTTGCTTTTTTTCCTATTGCGGGCTATGGGCCTTATTCTCCGGCAAAGGCCGCCATACGCTCCTTGGCAGACACTCTATCCCAGGAAATCGAGATGTACAATGGCGCACGCTCCAACAAAGCTAACGCTACAGCTCCTTATGCCGATGTCAAAATCCACGCCGTCTTTCCTATGGGTATCCTGACTGGCGGCTATGAAAACGAACAGAAGTCGAAGCCGAAGCTGACCCAAAAGTTAGAAGAGGCCGACAAGCCGCAAACACCAGAGGAAGTCGCGCGCATCTCGATCCAGGCATTGGAACGCGGCGAATATCTCATCACAACGATGCTCGTCGGACATCTCATGAAAGGCACGGCTCTCGGTCCAAGTCCGAAAAATAATGTCATTGTTGACACCTTACTCGGTTGGCTTAGCAGCCTGGTATTCTTATATGTTATCCCTGACCTCAGGAAGATAACATGGAACTGGGGAAAGAAGAACGGCGTGACAAGCCCGGCTTCCTAGCCCAGTCCCTTGAGTCATTCATGTATCAAATTCTTTGTCACTAGGATACCCTGTTAGTATAATCAGCAAAGAACATCTTGGTTTATATTGGCGAATGTAGATAGATAGATTGACTGTGCCGAGTAATGACTCTATGATTCTATTATATTTTCTATATTTTTTAATCTTTCTAAATATTGGGATCCAGAGATGATATACTAGGGACCTATTCAATAACTATTGATTGTGTTGTGTTGTAAGGCACGGCACCAAACTCCCTGGTTTCTATACAATGTTCGACGCCGCAGTGACGTAAACAGCACCGCCTCGACAACTTCCTTTGATGCCCCCCGGCTTCCTTCTCACCACCATATTTCCTTTGTCTCTTTGAACCGTCATGGTATGTAAAAATAGCTGGCGACTATCTATATAGACTGCAGATGCCTCGCTTTTGCAGCTATGACTTGAGCAATCAACGATAATCAGTACTAACTACTGCTCCAACAAGAAGGCCTATATAATGGATGCGCTCTTCTCACTACCAGTGCTTTCCGTGCTATTGATACCGACTCTCTCAACGTACAGCACGACTCTGAACCTGGTTTTCTTCTATGTGACATGGACGACTCTTGTGCTGTCGCATTCGGCTTTGCGCGTCGAGTTGTTCGGCACCATCGCTGTGCGCCTCCTCTTCTACGTCTTTCCGTCAGTTATCTTCTTTCTCTTTGACATCCTGACGCCATCTGCGGCCGTTATTTTCAAAGCGCAAGGGGAGCACGGATTGCCGAGTGGCAAGAAGCGTGGGAAGATCCGACTCAGGGAATTCAAGGTTGCAGGATGGGCACTGTTCAATATCGCCCTGGGCATTGCCGTGCAGACGGGTATCGAACATCTTCTCATGCGGGAACTGAAATTGCGAAGCGCCCTGAAAGTGTCGATCAAGTTGCCTATGCCTTGGGAAATCGGAAAGGACATCACTCGTGGGATGGTGGTCCGAGAGGTGAGTAACAATATACTGCCCCTTGATAAAATATAATATATATGTCGAGAGCTCACATCAACCAGATCCTGACGTATGTCATACACCGATATGCCTTGCACCCAAAAAGACGTCGCACGATTGTAAACAGGTATCATAACAACTGGTATCATACGCTGGTCTCGCCGTACCCTCTTACTGCGCATTACGACCACCCGCTGGTATACCTGCTGAAGACGTTTGCCCCTACCTACGGACCAGCCGTGCTGTTCCGGTTCCACCTGCTAACGTACCTGGTTTACTTGATCATCATTTCGATCGAAGAGACGTTCGCCTACTCCGGGTACACAATCATGCCGACTCGGTTCTTCCTCTTCGGGATTGCGCGCCGGGTTGACGACCATATGATAAGTGGCGGCTCCGGTAATTACGGCACCTGGGGGATCCTGGACTGGATCTGCGGGACATCACTTGGGGTAGATGATGATGATGACGGTGCCAGCGAGAGTGCGAGACGAGCCGCTGAGAAGGCAAGACGGAACGCGCGCATGAAGAGATGAAATGGACGAGGAGCTCACTTTGTATGATTTTTGGGGGTTTTTCCTTCCTGGTACGGTCTGTATTATAGGTAGTATATGTAGTAGCTCTCTGTTTTCACCTATGTAGTATGGTATCCGCATAGATGGCTCTGTTTCAGGATACTAGGTTAGATAAGTAATGAACCACTTGTATATCCCCCTTATTCCTATCATGACTCAAGCTCTTCATGATCAGCATTATCGATTTGTATCACAGGGGAGAGAGTGTTTCATGCCTATTAGCGTTTGATATCATCTAAAAGCGAGGTTCTTGGCAGTGGCAACAACTCGACTACATCTCGCTGTCGGCGCGAATTAAGCACAATGGGACGAGAGGCAAGAACAAGGTAATTTCCCAATTTTTTAGAATTTCCGCCTTGAATTTGGAAATCGGAGATGTATCATACTGAACATGAAAGAATTTCCAGCCTCACGAATTGGGATATGCAGGACAGCTGGAAATATAAATTTTTTTGATCACATTTTTTTTTTGTTTGGCCTTTCTTTTCTTTAAAAAAAAAAAGACTTGCAAGATCGGCGACGCTGGAGGGAACACAGTTCGTGAAACAAGAAAACAACAACCGGGTTTTTTTCCGAATTACCGTAAGCCTAAGCAAAAGCGGACACCGCATCGAGTTACATATTTCATGAGCTGTTCCTCCTGCGCTGCAAAAGAGATATGCAATTCATCTCTCCCCCCAAACCCACGGGGACGGAGACCACGATGGGGGAGATAAAAGAGAGAGAGAGAGCCTTTTTTTTTTTTTGCAAGCTAGCCAAACCCCTCGTGAAATCCCTCCACACATATTACCGAACCCGCGGCCGCCGCGTCGCACATCTACCACTTCATCTCGTGGGGCTTGTCGCCGTTCCGGAGGCTGAAAGTGGCAGCGAGGTAGCTATCGAGGAAGGTCTCCTTCTTGATGCTGGCCAGGATGGTCTGGTCGATAGCCTTCTGGTCGGTGGCACGAGCGCTGGTAACCTTCTTCTTCTGTAGATATTGAATTAGCACCCTTGATACCCCAGGCGCCATTTGGAACAATATTCCAGTATAGACATGATATATATATATATATATATATATCCAAACGTACCTCGGGCTTCTCGCCCTGCTTGAAGAAAGCCTCCTCGGTCTTCTTCTCCTTGCTCTTCTCCTTGGTGAAGTACTCGGGGACGGAGGCCTTCTCCAGGACGGTCTGGTCAACCGAGCTGATATCCACACGCTTGCTAGTGGCGATCACGTAGCGAGCGTTCACCCGTCGGAGAGGGACACCGTTGATCTTGAAGGGACCGGTGACGAGGAGAACACCCTGGTCGAGGTGCTTGAGGAGGATGACACGCTTGCCACGGAAGCGACCGGCGAGGAGGATGAGGATGGTGCCGGGCTGGAGGCTCTCCCGAACCTTCGTGGGACGAATAGTCTTGCGAACCTGTTCAAACGAAATGTTAGACAATGTTGACTTCAACCAAACCCGAGTCTTGGCTTGTTTTTTTTGAGCATATCAGAGAGAAAGATCGAAAGAAAGCGATGCGATTCCGTTATCAACGTATGATTAACCCTCCACACAGACACTGGCGCAGACGGGAGGGAGAAAAAAGGACCACGATATGATCATTTCTTTTCCCGACAGGAAAACAATGGTGTCGCAGCGCACGTAGAAAACACATCTCATCGCCTCTTCTCTCTTCTTTTCTGCTCAGGGTGTACTGACTTTCTTGGGCTGCGACTCGTCATCCACGGGGTACCATTTCTGGGCCTTCTGGGCCGGAACGGTCCTCTGGCCCTTTCCAAACTGCTTCGTCTGGCCAACAGTAGAGTCCGACATATTGGCTGCTGGGGACGAAGATTGTAGGGAGGTGAAGGTGGTTGTCGACGGCGGGTGGTTGTCGAATTGATGTGTGACTGACTACTGGGGCTCCGGAGCGGGAAATCCAGAGTGTTTGTGGGAACACGAGCCCTATCAGTTAGCCGAAAGGCGCTAGTGCCGATTTGGGGCCGGCCGATGTTCTACGGCAGCCCACAGCGACCACTTGCGCAGACGGGAAGCTGCTGAGCAAAACATCGCGGACTGACGTATCTTTTTGAGTTAGTCTGACTGGCTCTGGGCTTAACCAGAACCAACTCACTTGGGGCGACCTTACCTTCCCTCTTCTCTTGAAGCAAAATAGACAGTCCATTCTTCGAATCAAAACAGACGGTCCATATCAACTCTCCATCATGTCTATGATTCCTATTATCACGTTCAAAGCAGGCATCTGTGATCTGGAGGTGAGTGAGGCGGAGGAGCTGAGAGCTGCCTTCCCTTCCCCAAGAGAAGAGAGCAGCTTTGACTGACGGAAACCCCTGTGGATAGACCTCGAGGTCACCTCCGGTGGTGAAACCTAAGCCTGAGCCGGGCTACATCTACCTCTATTCTGAAGATGACCTGATCCATTTCTGCTGGCGGCCACGAGACGTACCGCTGACCGAGCCCGAGGTGGACCTGGTCATGGTTCCGAGTGACGGGAGCTTTACGCCCTATAAGCCTGCCGGCAAGGATGCTCCTACAGATGGCCGGATCTTTGTCCTCAAGTTCTCGTCCAGCTCCCAGCGCTACCTCTTCTGGCTGCAGTCGAAAAGCCAACACGAGCAGGGCAACCCCAACTGGTTCAGCCCGAGGGATTTGAAGCTTGGAGACATCGTCAACGCCCTATTGCAGGGTGAAGATGTGGACGTCGAGACCGAAATTGCTCTGCTTCCCAGGGGCCCCATGGGGGGTGACGACAACGACGACGAGACGATGGAGGATGTTGAAGGCGTTGACCATGACCCCAGCCACAACCACGGAGGGAGCAGTGGCGGTGCAGGCCCCGATGCGACGGGAGGGGATATCAGAGAAGAGGGGGAACAGTCTAGAGAAGGCGGCGCGGATGGCGGAAGAGCGTAGGTACAACTCTCCAGATCCCAATATATCAATTGGTGATTTTGAGCTATCCTATATTCTTTCCTGTTCTGCCTGTTCTACACATGAAATGATTTACGGTTGTCTTGTTTCTTCCCCCCCCCCCCCCCCACTTTTTTTATCCATGTCTCTGTGCGACTGTTTAGCTTCTTTCGATTGTTGCAAATCTTCTTTTTCTTCTTCTGCCACGCTCCAAGTGTATTTTGCATAGGCTTACGGATTTCCTTTTCTGCCTTGCAGGGCGGCTGGTTCGTCAAACCCGTCGGATGTGGTGCAGGATTTCCTGCGGTCCCTCCAAGGCAACCGAGCTCAAAGCCAAGAAAAGCCATTCACAACCCTGCAAGATCTGCTTTCCCCGTCGTCGACGTTGCCGTTCATCGAGTCTGCCGACACCGAGACTGTTGACCATCTGCTGGGCTTCCTGCCGTCCAGCCTTGTGTTGCTGGCGCAGGAGATTGAGGACGTGGACGCCACCGAGACGAACGCGGAGCTCGCCGAAGCCATCATGCAATCCCTCGACATCTCGCAGAAGAAGGATATCCTACGACGAGTCCTGCGCTCCCCGCAATTTACCCAGAGTCTGGCGAGCCTGACTGTAGCCCTACGTGAGGGAGGGTTGCCCAGCATTAGCGAGGCCCTCAAGGTGCCCGTGGCGAACGGAGGGTTCATGCGTCATGGGGGAGTCCCGCTCGGCGGCGGTGATGCAGTCGAAGCCTTTGTGGAGGGCGTCCGGGCCCAGGTGAAGGGCCAGGATGCGGATGAGCATCACATGGAAACGGACTGATCACCTTATCAATCCTCGACAATTAGTTACCAGTTATTATTAGCGAACATGAAACCAACATGCTGGAACCGAGCGTTATCGTAGATTCGTAGTCTGCCTTGTTTATTTTTGGAACAGCGGGGCTGCAGAAATGACATCGAACAGTTAGTAACTAGTATTTACTACAGTTAGTTATGTGTACGTACTTCATGTCATTCTATCTACTGTAGTAGTTATGTTATTATACAGTGCTATACTAAACGCAGTGTAGACGTACGTACTCATATTAAAATCCGACAATAACCTCATTTCCACTCTATTCACCACCACCACCCATTAGCTTCAGTCTAACTGTGGCTGACGCTCCTGTCTCACGCTTCTTCTGTTTAAGGGGCATGGCTCAGCCTACTCCTCCCTGTAGCGAAGAGCTGCATTGACCAGCCAGAAGTCGCCGTCATGTCTTGACAACCAAAGAAAGCCCCAGTTGGTGGCTGATCCGGTCCAAGCTCTGCCGCGCCAAAAGCATCCGTGGACGAAGGTCTAGGCAAGAAAAAGGTGTCCAGTTGTTAGGTAACTTGTCTGAGGAAGTGGTCTCTGCGTGAACTATGTACTACTAATTCCAATGCTTTCGATAACTGCTTCCCTTCGCCATCCTTGCGTTCCTACCGCGACTGCGACCACTCCCCGTCCTGTTCCTGTTCTTGTTCCTGTTCCTGGCCTCTGGTTTTCTCCACCCTGACGAGTACTTACGACGACGCATACCGACAAGGATTTTTTATTTTAATTATTTTCAGTTTCAAAATAATCATTGCAAAAAAAAAAAAAAAAAACCAACAACAACCACCTATCTCCCCGACAATCCCCGATTTTCTCCTGCGATGCCTGCGATCGGATAGACACCCGCAACCCAGCTGCCTACGATGGCGTCGTCGAACCACGGGGGTCGCGAGAACAGAGACGACCAGCCGTCGGGGGTGCAGCCCATCCCGCTGCAGGATCTGTCGCGACCGGCCGATGCAGGGGAGCGTGGCCGGCGGCGGACGAGCAGCGCGGCGAGCCGGTTTCTATCTCGACGCTCGCTGGTGGGAGGAGCGTCGTTTAGGAATTACGAGAGGATCTCCGATGCGTCGCCCATTGTCGATGGAAGGGTTGAGGTCGACTTCCCGGACGCCAACGCCCGTGCCTCGCCCTACGTGGACACAACAGCAGAGAACCCTCAGCAGAATGATCATCATAATAACAATACGCATGCGGTGGACGATCTGGGGGGATTTGCACGGGCGATGTCCTCGGTTGGACTCAGTTTCGAGAGCCCGCAGCAGCGTACAACCCCGCTGTCAAGATTCCCGTCCGGCTCCTACAATCACGACGACGACATGGATACAGTCCCTCTCGATACCTACACCACCTTCGATGAGTCGGACCAGTCGTTCCCAGCGGCCGACACGAACGAGGACACTGCTCCCTTGACCGATCGAAGATACCTGCAGCCGATCAGTGGCGCGGCGGCAGCGGCGCATGCAGACCTCATGGGAGATGACCGAAGCGACCGGACGGGATCCCGGCTGGGAGATGACTTGCCGCACTTGGAGAGTGGTTTGGGTGGGAGACGTCGGGGGAGTGCCAGTACAGGCGATCGGTCTCGCTCGCTGTCGCCGTCAGCGGCATCGGCGTCCGGGGCTATTCACCGAGCGAGCTCCATGATGAAGTCCATGTCCCAACGAATCGTCAATCTGAGTAACGAACCAGAGGTGGTGGAACAGTCTATTATACGGGAGGAACAATGGAAGAACTCGCGCCTCGATGCGCCACCGTCGCTCCCCGCCATGTCCGAATACGCTCATGACTCGCTGCACGGTGGCGGGATATTCACCTCCCGCAGCTCTGCTGAGAAACGATCAACGGGGACAGCATGGAGGATCCGGAACAACCCGCTGAGAGGGAAGTCGCTCGGGATCCTGTCTCCCACCAACCCGATCCGAACACGGCTATGTGATGTGCTGGTTCATCCCTTCACCGAACCCTTCATCCTCGTCGTCATCTTCATCCAAACCATCCTGCTAGCAATCGAATCAAGCAAATCAGTCTGGGCCAGCTCGCGCTCAACCCGCTGGGGAGAGGCTCCCATGGATTATGTCTTTTGCGCCATCTTCATCATCTATACCCTCGAAATTGTCGCAAAGGTGTTGGTCTCCGGCTTCGTCATCAACCCTAGAGAATATAGTACGTTGAATCGATCCCTCGGGCTCAGGAAAGCCATGACGGAAAGAGGGAAAGCCATCATCACTCCGCAGAGGCAGCTGTCCACCAAAAGGCCGACCACGGCTGCCCCGGATCCTCAGGCTTCTATATTACGTACCTTCACCGGATTGAACCAATACGAGGAAGAGGTGATGATTAACGATCCTCTCCACAAACGACGGGTTCGACTGGCTCATCGCGCTTTCCTGCGGCATTCCTTCAACCGTGTCGACTTTGTCGCTCTGGTCTCGTACTGGATCTCATTCTGGCTTTCCTTGGAGGGATTGGAGTCTCGGAATCAACTTTATGTGTTCCGGATGCTGAGCTGTCTGCGGATCTTGCGTCTTCTTTCCCTGACGAATGGCACGTCAGTCATCATCCGAAGTCTTAAGAAAGCAGCTCCATTGCTGGGACATGTGGCTTTTCTTATTTCCTTCTTCTGGCTCCTTTTCGCAATCGTAGGGGTCCAGAGCTTCAAGTCCAGTCTGCGGCGGACCTGTGTCTGGGTTGATCCTGAGGGGCAAAGCAATTTCACGCTGAACGATCCATACAATGTTCTCCAATTCTGTGGCGGATATTTGAATGCAAGTACTGGGGCGGGGATGCAGTGGCTGAAGGCCGATGGCTCGGCTTCAGGATATGGACCCAAAGGATATCTCTGTCCTCAAGGCTCCCTCTGTGTGGAAGGCGACAACCCCTACAACGCTACCATGAGCTTCGACAATATTGCCAATTCACTAGAGCTCGTCTTCGTCGTCATGAGCTCAAACACCTTTACGGATATTCTGTATTATACCACAGACAGCGACTACCTCGCGTCTGCCTTGTTCTTCGCCCTGGGCATCGTGATCCTCGGCCTGTGGCTGGTCAATTTGTTGGTCGCGGTCATTACGCACTCCTTTCAGGTCATCCGTGAGGAAAGCAAACGGAGCGCCTTTGCTGTGAAAAACATCGACAATGTCGACGAGGAGGACCTGTCCTCGCGCAAGGTCAGCACCCTCAAACGCGTGTACGACAGGACCGAGTTTTTCTGGGTCTGCCTCATTACCTTTGACCTTGTGGTGCAGGCTATGCGGAGCGCGTCCATGGGAAATGATCGCACGCAGTTCATCGAAAACACTGAGATCGTCGTCACTCTAGGCCTACTGCTCGAAATCATCATTCGTTTTGTCTCCGACTGGCGTGCATTCCACACGAAGCGCCGTAATTGGGTCGATCTAGGGCTCGTGGTGGTCACTTGCATCATCCAGGTCCCTGCTATCAAGAACCACCAGGGCCCGTATGCTGTCCTCACGCTTTTCCAGATTCTCCGAGTGTACCGGGTTGTCCTCGCGATCCCAGTGACAAGGAACCTTATCCTTGTTGTGTTCAGCAACACGGTAGGTTTGCTCAACCTCATCGTTTTCGTGTTCTTGATCACTTTCCTCGCGGCCATCTTTGCGTCTCAGCTGTTCCGTGGGCAAATTCCAGAGTACGACCCAAGCGGCAACCTCATCGAGATGGATTTTTCCGACATTTATCTCTCCTTCCTGGGAATGTACCAATTGTTGTCAAGCGAGAATTGGACAACTATTCTGTACAATGCGACAGCGTATACCACGCACTTCAAGACAGCTTGGATTTCGGCAATCTTCTTCATCCTGTGGTTCATCGTCGCCAACTTCATCGTCCTCAACATGTTCATTGCTGTCATCCAGGAGAGTTTTGATGTGTCAGAGGATGAAAAACGACTCCACCAGGTTAAAGCGTTCTTGGAGCAGAAACAAGTCAGTTCATCGTCTCAGGGTAACCTTTCGCTCTCGACGATTTTGAAGCTGGGTCGCGACTCGAGCCGATATAAAGACCCGCTGGATCATGCACCGGCGGCCCTGGAGATGCTTCTCAAAGATGCCGTGGTCCGCGAATTCCTTGATGAAGACGATAATAAACAAGAAACGCCGTCCAACAACCGTCGTGCAGACACGCTTGCGGCGGAGACGGCCACCTATGACGCTGTGCAGCCGGGCGTCCTCTCGCAATTCTGGACAAAGATCAGCACATCAATCATGCGCCGTGAGCCGAATCCATTCTATTCGAAGCTCAAATTCTCCCGGGCCTATGAGGAACTCGATCCAAAAGCCATGGCCCGAGAAGTCGTTTCCGCTGCAGAGCAACGAAAGCGGGCGCAGCGCGAGTACCTTCTCAAGCACCCCAGCTACAACAAGTCTCTCTTCATCTTCGCCCCGGGCAATCCTATCCGCAAACTGTGTCAACGGATCGTCGGGCCTGGGCGCGGGAACCAGCGTGCGGAAGGGGTGGACCCCTACAAGCCCGTCTGGTACACCTTTTCGGCTTTTATCTATGCAGCCATTGTTTCGATGGTGCTGCTTGCCTGCATTACGACCCCGATCTATCAACGGAATCATTTTGCGAACAGCAAAAACTGGTTCGTCTACACCGATCTGGGCTTTGCGGTTGTCTTCACGGTCGAAGCAATCATCAAGGTGATTGCGGATGGCTTCTTCTGGACGCCCAACGCGTACTTCCGGGGATCGTGGGGGTTCATCGACGGAATCGTCTTGATTACACTGTGGATTAGCGTCGTCGGCTCCCTCTATTCCGACTGGAATGTTTCTCGGGCCATCGGAGCCTTCAAGGCTCTCAGGGCGTTGAGGCTGCTGAACCTCAGCGACAGTGCAAAGGACACCTTCCACTCTGTGATCATTGTCGGGGGGTGGAAAGTCATTGCCACTGCTGCCGTATCCATGAGCTTTCTGGTCCCCTTTGCGATCTACGCCGTCAACCTGTTCAACGGACAGCTTATGGAGTGTAATGACGGGAATGTCAGTGGCAGCCTCGATGCCTGCGTGGACGAGTACGCCAGCTCACCCTACAACTGGAACGTCTGGGCGCCACGCGTGGCCGCGAATCCATATTATGATTTCGACAACTTTGGCAACTCGTTGTTCATCCTCTTCCAGATTGTATCCCAAGAAGGCTGGATCGATGTCCAACAGAGCGCCATGAGCATCACAGGCGTGGACGTACAGCCACAAGATAATGCATCCCCGGCCAATGGTCTTTTCTTCGTGGTCTTCAACCTTCTCGGCGCCGTCTTCGTGTTGACCCTGTTTGTGTCTGTGTTTATGCGCAACTACACGGAACAGACTGGCGTGGCGTTCCTGACTGCCGAACAACGCTCGTGGCTGGAATTGCGGAAACTCCTGCGGCAGATCTCACCGTCGAAACGCTCCCTTGACCAAAAGAGCAAGCAGTGGCAAATACGGTGCTACAAGATCGCCGTCAAGAAACATGGGCGGTGGGCGAAATTCGTCACCGGGGTTCTGATGCTGCATCTGTTACTCCTCGTGCTTGAGTTCTATCCGGAGGTGAAGATGTGGGACTACATTCGAGGAGCCCTCTTCTTCCTGTTCACCTTTGTCTACTTGGCGAACGTGATCATTCGGGTCATCGGATTAGGCTGGCAGCGGTTCACCAGAAGTTCCTGGGACCTGTACTCCATGGTCGCCGTGCCGGGCACCTTCACGACCACCATTCTGAACCTGATCTCCTCCAACCAGGCGATATTGATCCTGAACAAGCTCTTCCTCGTCTCCATCGCGCTCATGCTCATACCCCGGAACAACCAGCTCGACCAGCTGTTCAAGACGGCAGCCGCCAGTTTCACGGCGATCGGCAACCTGCTGGCCACGTGGTTTGTCCTGTTCCTGGTCTTCGCAATCGCCCTGAACCAAACGTTCGGCCTCACCAAGTTTGGGGAGAACGAGACCAACAACCTCAACTTCCGCGATGTTCCCAAGGCCCTCATCTTCCTGTTCCGAACCAGTTGCGGCGAAGGATGGAACCAGCTTATGGAGGACTTTGCCGGGCTCGAGACTCCGTTTTGCACGTATAGCGACAACTTTCTCGACAACGACTGCGGCAGTGCGGTCTGGGCCCGAACGCTCTTTATTGCCTGGAACATCATCAGCATGTATATTTTTGTATCCTTGTTTGTCTCGCTCATCTTCGAAAGCTTTTCCTATGTCTATCAGCGGAGCAGCGGCCTGTATGTCATCAGTCGGGAGGAAATCCGTCGCTTCAAACAGGCCTGGGCCACCTTTGACCCGGACGGCGTGGGATACATTTCCAAGGAGCAGTTTCCCAGACTACTGGGGGTAAGCCTTCTTTTTTTCTTTCGTTTCTTCTTTCATTTTCTGACCTCGATACAGGAACTCTCTGGAATCTTTGCAATGCGCATATATGAAGGCGAGTTTACGATTGGGAGTATACTGGAACAATGTACGGTCACCCGGCGCGACTCTCTAGTGCCCGGTATGAGGTCTGTCGACGGCGTGGATCTAGACAAACTGTCGGAGATTGTGCAGCGGCTTCCTGTCGAGACGATCCGAAAACGACGACAGCGACTCAACATCTTTTACGAGGAGGTGCTGGTGTCTGCGGATCCCGTGCGCGGCATCTCCTTCCACTCGTGTCTCATGATCTTGGCGCATTACAATGTCATCAGCGACAGCAAGAGTCTGCGACTCGAGGAGTTTCTGCGTCGTCGGGCCCGGCTGCAGCGCGTTGAAGAGGCGGTCCGTCGCAACACGGTCATCGGCTTCTTCGACACGCTGTACTGGTCTCGCGAGTTTCGTCGCCGGATCAAGGCCAAGCAGGCCTCCCGGATGGCCGATGTGCCGCAGTTTTCCGTCCCGGAGATCTTTGTGGACCAGCCAGAGCAGAGCAATAACGAGAACCACGGAGATCATCATCACCATGTGGATGGGGGGGATTCAACTTCCGCGGGCCAGACGACCACCACCACCACCACCACCACCACCACCGACGAACCCATGCAGCCGATGCTGTCCCCGACGTCGCCGCTCAGTGGAACCAGTAGCAGCCCCCGGTTCGGGGTGCTGCCCAAGATCGACACCAACCTGGGAAGCCTCAGCTCACCGACGGAGTGGTCGAGCATCAGCCCATCCCTGTCGCCACGCCGCATGACGGACGAGCCGACAACAGCATACTATGGCACCGACGTGCCGGCCAGCCCGCACACGGCGACGGAACGGTCGCGCGCCAACAGCGCCGTGAGTGTGCAAGACGTGATGGAATCGCTGGGCAATTCCGCCTGGGGCGAGAGTATCCGCCGCAGTTTCACGCAGCGCCGATCCGGAGGATCCAAATAAATTTTCACCTTCTTCTTCTTCTTCTTCTTCTTCTTCTTCTTTTTTTTCTTCCCTTCCTGCCTAGATGGTTTTTTTTTTTTTTTTTTTTTTTTTCCTCATCGTGGTATGAGGTGACGGGCGATGATTATATCCGAGACCAAGAGCCACGAGATCTGGTGTGGTGGATGTTTGTTTATATCTAGACTTGTGTTTTTTTTTTACGTCTGCTTCTATACCTGCTAGCAAGCAGGTAGCTACTCCGTACCAAGGATTTGCATAGCAATGGCGTGGATGGCTTCTTGGTTGCCACTTGTATATACTAATACACTGATTACGATTCAGCATACAGTAGTACGGAGTGAATCTCTAACTATACTGTAGGATGACACTAATATCATGAATCAATAGTTTATTAAATATACTAGAATACTTAAGATGAAACCAGCTGGAATGTGGCATTCCAATGCAAGCAGGAGGAGTAATTAGGAGTATACCTAAAAGTACTCGCCTACTCCGTCAACCCTTAATAACGTCAGTGGCCACGGGAGAGTCGACAGATCCTTGTATTGTTTTGTATTACGAATAATCCTGTGAATAGTGACTGGTAACTCCGTACTATCAGTCACTAACTTTCAGTGGCGTGGACCGAGTACACAATTAATCAAGTACTATCACTACTCTGTACTGACTAGACTCAGTGACTGACTAGAGACTGTAGGTAGAGTAATTAAGATATAAACTGATCCCAGTGAAAAAGAAAGAAACATGTAGTTGGTAGAAGATTCCCGTTTTCGTTGACGTCGGCAGGCACGGATACGGTCAAGGCTGCGGTCGGCCGCCTTCATCCGGCCCAAAGTTGGTTGCGACGCTTTTTTGTCTCAGCAGGGGAGGGAGCCTGGATTAAATAACTCTCTTTCCTTGCAGACCAGAGTCAGTCCTCTTACTTGTACTATCTCACTAACAAACTGCCTGTCCCTTCACAAGGATCTAGGGAGAGTTCAACCTTCCTGGTTATACTGATTACCTGGTCTCCCTCTGCTAAGCGTACAGAACAACTGTACACTGACACTGACAGCTCCAACGCTCCTATGGCGATCTTTTGCAGCTCGTCTGCTTCCTCGACCATCTGATTATTCCTTCAGAAGACGATTATACTCTGTATCATTCGAGATACTCTCTCTCTCTCTCTCTCTCTCTCTCTATCACTCGAGATACACACACTCTCTCACTATGCAGCATACCGATTCCAACCCCCGAATCCTCTCACCCTCGCCGTTCGGCCTGTCGCTTCATACTTCCTTCTCCGCAACAACAACCACCACCACCACCCCTTTTCATGGCCGTGCGGGCAGCGATTGCTCCGTCAGCCCGCTCAGCTCGACCACCGCCAGCCCGACCTCGTCGCCCACCTCGCCCTTCCGTCGCATGTATCGCAGCCATGCCCTGTCCGCCGGCTCCTCCTCCTCCGAACCGCGCAGCCGCAGCCAGAGTCCCTTCAGCCTGCACTCCATCATCCTCCGCCGTCGACCATCGCTGGTCCTCCTCCGCCGTCGTCCCTCTGCCGTCGACATGGCCTTGAGCGAGGAACGCTCCCGCTGCGACGAGGACTCGGTGGAACGTCAGGGCCTCAACATGATGGAACCCCGTCCCGTCGACCCGGTCTCCATCCCCATGGACCTCAACGCGCACATCTTCGAGGGCCCCGTCGAGAACTGCGCTTCCTTGGGCCCCTCCTCGTCGAAACCACAGCACCCGCGTTTCGTCATGGGCGGCATCTTCGAGATCATGGAGGGGCGTGCGTAGCCTCCTCCTCCTCCTCCTCCTCCTCCTCCTCCTCCTTCCTTCCTTCTCTTCTGCCTCTTCTTCATCACTACTACATTTATTTACTATTTTTTTTTTCTTTTTCTTTCCGGTCTACTGCCACCCCAACGGCGCATACGGATGGGGGAATGATGATTGCTTTTTTTATTTTTTTCCGGCTTTTGCTAGCGGTGTATGGAGTTTGATATTGAGGTCTGGGGATCTTTATTTCGAGTTTTTTTTTTTTTTTTTTTTATTTTATTTAAACCCTTTCCCAATATTGTACTAGAACTCACCTAGTACACAAGTTACATACCCAAATCAAGATACCAATATGAATAACCTTTCTGTCTACTACCTAGTAACCGCTCTCTACGATAACAAGCCGTGTCTCACTCCACCTCCACCATCTAACTATCTAGTAACTACTAGTTAATCCTAATTATGGAATTCAATAGTTATACAAGCTTATCTAGATATGGTTAGAGCTACTGGCTATCTACTCCATATGAAGTATACTCCGTATACTCCGTATAGTAGATCTAGGAGTCAGTCATCCACGTGAGTCCCTTACGTCGGGATTTTCTACCTGTTACACCAAGCGTATCAAATAGCACCAAGTAGTACAGCATTACTTTAGATCAAGTACAGTACTTAGTCAAGTACAGAGTAGTTATTAAGTAAAGTACTTTAGAAGTATACTCAAAGTACTCTGTAGCTGTATAATCACTACTATAGCCCGCGTCATCATAGGGATAAATGTCAAGTTTATACTCTACTTTATTCTGTTAATACTAAATATGTTTTAAGTTAATAATAACAAGTAATCCTTTAGAATAGTAATAGCCTAATAGGTGCATGTTCATCACGTGATATGAAAGAAGCCCTACTTACCTACTTAATACTAGATTATCATTTCTAAAGACTTCCTGTTACTAAACGGCTAGTCTGTCAGGCTGTCCTTGAAAATTGAAACATTCCTGCATGGCTTGTTTCATAACCGCTAGTTAGACACCGAGTGATATGATCTGAAACCATCACCATGTAGACAGGATCTGATAGAGGGTAAACAGTCTGAGTCCACAGCATAATTATCCTGGGTAGAAACATGAAATGCGAACAAGAAAGGTGAAAAATCGCTGGATCTAGATGATTGTTTGGAAATGTAATTTCAGTGCGAAAAAGGGTATCTCTTTTTTGTTTTGAAAAAACCGAGCTTCGAGGGAAAAAAAGCGGAAGCCGTGTAGGAAATGCTGACATGCAGTGGAAGATCGGTAGAAGTATGTGCTTGGATCGCCTATTTCGTTCCTTTGCGTTGATTTGGCCAGAGCTGGCCACGACACTGGAGTTCGCCACAGAGACACTTGACGGCATTCGGGTCGACCTTGGTCGTTTTCGAATGCTCCCAGTTGGGGTTGTAGTCAAAGGTTAATTCTTGGAGTTGGGGGATGTCGCGAAGGGCAAAGAAAGCAAGGTTGTAGAGCCGGTCATCCCCCTGGCTGCTGGCTACAGGGAACATCTTGCAGGTTGGGTTGCAGGAATGGTTCATGAAGCGGGCAGGGGAGCCAAGCCTCTGCCCGTCAACGACGTAGATCCCCTCGTCATCGTGAAAGAAGTCCAAGCCGAACAGATAGGAGTGGCCGTTCTGGGATGCAGCCAATTCCTCCCGCCGGTCTGCCTTGTTCTTGGGGATGACCTCCCCCAGATACAGATCGATGAATTGGCCGGCGATGATTTGATCTGGTGATCGGAGGCCTTTTAGATCTTAGCATACAGCCTATGAAACATTCTCAATTGAACGATTTTTGCCAGAACATACCAAACCCTCTGTTGCCCGTATCGAAGATCTGCAAGCGAATCGTCCGGCCCCGCTGCACGACACGGTTCCAGCAGGTCTCCTTGCAGCCGCAGTTGGCGTTACACTCGTATATCATGGATGTCCGCTGGAGAAAATCCGGCGCGAGGACGTGTGTACCGTTGACTTCCTTGTAGGGCACGATCCTGTTATTCGACTTTTCATCCAGGGAAAGACACAGACAGGTGGCAGGGTCACACGAGCCCGAGCAGGAGCACCCAAAGTTGAACGCCTCGTCTACTTTGGTGACTCCGCGCTGGATCTTGTAAGAATTAATAAACTCAAAGCCCATGATGGGCCCGGCCAGCTTCGGGGCAACACCTGGTGCCAGATCAACTCTTGGGCCCTTGATGGACGCGATCTTCTGGTGCAGCGTGTGGACGAGCGGGTCGCCATCGCCCCCCTGCACCGTGGCACAGAGAAAAGGGCCTTGGTGGCCGCGACGGGGACGGAGACGAAGACTGGGGGCGAGAATCGGTTGCTTGGCTGGCGGATACACCGCGCGAGAAGCCTTCTTCCTCTCCTGTTCATCGACGGGGTAATACCGTTGCGAGAGCCCCATCAAGGGGGTAGTGTCATAATCTCCGCTGCTGAAGCTGGACTCCGTGCTGCCCCTCAGCCTGGGCTGCCGGGGATGCCGTCGTCTCTCATACTCGATTTTCTGCTGCAGAGCACGAGAGGGAGACGGCACCACAACGCTAAAGGTGACTTCCTCTAGGGCCGGCGTTGTCCTAGATGTGCCTCCGGCCGAAACGATCGACGACGACTCGTCGTCATCAGACCCTCTGCTCTTCCTTTTTAGAGGAAGTTGCAGAGATGATATTGTCCGATGGGGCAGAGTTGAGATGATGGAACTCAAGGCCTTTATTGCCTTGTTAGTGTGAATAAGAAGGAGAGAAAGACGCGTCTAGAGACTAGACAGACGCGTACAAAGAACATCCAAGTTTAAACATACCTTGTTCTGGGGCTCCTCTGGGTCAGAGTCCTGGGTCAGATCAATCACCATGGTCATAGCAGAGAAGAGGACATCAAGAATGGAAATATCAGGTTCAATTTTCAAATACTGTGTTTTGCAAAAAGACAGGCCCAGGTACGGAGTACCAACCAATTTGTCCAGGTTGATGCTGTTGAGCAGCTTAGGTGATGTTAAATTAGAGGCCAGCAGGTCATGTGATTCGCATGGACTAGCGTCTAGATTAATTTATTCAATTGGTTCAATTTTAGTCAGAAATGAGTAATCAGTTATTTATTTAATTATCAATATTAAAAGACTCAATTCACTAGATATAGCCTAAAGGTATCAGTTCCTAGTACTATAATATTAATATTCCTATAGATTCATAAATATGGATTAATTCTTTTAGAAATAAATATTACATATAATTCAACATTTGTCGACATTTGACTGTTTTGATTCTCCAGAGTAGAAGAAGATGATTGTTGTTGCTAATTAAGCAGCGGGAGGGACGGAATAAGGCAAAGTTAAAGCGGATTTCAAGAAACAGAATCAACAACTGAAAGCGGCGTTCCCATCCAAGGATTTGGTAAATTTCTTAGAAAACGTCCTCGGAGGCTTCATACCAGCTGTTTAATCTATATTTCTAGAAAAAAAATAAGACCCCCATCTCTCATTTGTGGCTATTTTCAATCGCATTCCTTTTCCTTTGCTCGAGTCGCCCTTATATGCTGACTAAGTGGATTGACAACTGGCGAGCATCAACGAGTATTGATTACTACTTGCTCTTAAGAGCCAATTATTCTTGTGGTCTGATACAGGATTATTTGATAGACTGAAGTACAATATGAATCTATGGTCTTCATATAAATGGGCTATACATGGTAGAAGATCCTATATCAATATTAAACCTAAGGACATGATGCTTGCTGCTGGATGGCTCTATTATACATCATGAACAGGGGATGGGGAAGAAGCATACATCTAAGTAATGAGCCAGCTCACATATAAAATGCAGTCTCATTACAGATACAAAAATGGCATAAAAAGAGGAATAAGAAAGGAAAAAAGAACAAAAAGAAAAAGAAAAAGAAAAGGGGGGAGAGGCTATAAGAGACAAATAACATAGAAAGGGTGCATAATGTCATGTCCATAATATGCTCATCAACCAAAAAGAAAAGAAAAAAAAAAAAAAAAAGAGTCGGCTGGCTTTTGATGTCTCTCTCTCTCTCTCTCTCTCTCTCTCTCTCTTACAGCCGCAATGCATCAAGGATCTTCTTAGCCATCTCCCGGTACTGCCACATACCACCTGACACCTTTTTGAATTGGATTCCATGCAGAGAGAAGAGCGGGACCTTGACGATCAGGATCTCGAACCGGAGGATCAGATTTTCTCCCGTGTCACTCTGGACACGGGTGGTGGTCTCGCCCATGACCCGCTCCCCGTTGTTCTCGCGGGGCGATACGTATTCGTCAGAGCCCTCCGAGTTGGTCACGAAGCTCCGATCGGGGGCCCGGCGCTGGGGCCGTGGGGGCCTGGCATCTTCCCGGGGGTCATCGTGGGCGAGTAGACCCCCAAAGCTGATCCGACGCCGGTGACTCGAGACGTGACCCTGGCGTTCAGGACTCGGCGGGCAGACGTCGACCACTTTCTCGAGATCGATGCTGGGCGCATGTCGGCAGCTAAAGCCACCTTTGATTTCCACATAGTCTACGGACAACTGCTTGAGTACGCGCATGATGTCCGCCCGAATGACCGAAAGGGGCTTGCTGCTCGTGGTTGAAACACTGAACAGACCCTTGAGGTAGACGGGTTTGGACAGATCTTCCCCTTCGTTGGCACTTTCTAGCGCGTTGCCAGCACCCGAGATGTCAGCGTCCGTCTCCTCGGGGACGTTGGCCTCCCGCACAGCCTCCCGTCGGGCCCGTCTAGCTTGGATGCTCTCACGTCGAGCATGGCCAAGCGACATAGTTCGAGAGGTATGTGTGCGGCTCCCTCCTCCCATCGAAGGCCGAGAATCTCTGGAGGAGGAGGCCAGATGGTCAGACCCGCTGGTCGGCGGGGGCTGCTGGTGGTGGTGGTGGTGATGATGATGATGATGCGAGGTGGTAGTGGCGGTGGTGGCCGTTGTCGTCGTCGTAGCGGCGGATATTGTCGGATCCCCGGCGTCTGGCTCGCCTCTGCGTAGGGTTCGTCGTGACCGATAATCGGCCGAGTTGACGCTGGTGGAGCGCTCCAGGTACTTGTTGGATCGTGAGGCCGGCTCGGCCGATCCTGGAGCCTTCAACAGATCCTGGTGTTGGGGCTGGCTGCCTCCCGATGGGATGGCGGATGGCGATTGTTCCGCGCGCCGAGCCCGTCTCATACTAAACCCTCGGTGAAGTGGTGACGCCGAATCGACGGGAGGCTGAACATTTAGAGCGGGCGTTTGAGGGCTGTTTGGAACCTTTTCCCGCTCCATCTCGCGCCCACGGTCCTTGACTCGACGAGTGCTGAAACGTCTCAGTATGCCGGCCGCAGTGCTCTCCTTCTTGATAGGAGTCTCGGGTTGAGGGGTCAGAGGAGCCTGGGGCACCGCTCCTGCCTGCGGAGCGAGGTTCAGATTCTTGACTTCGTTGGAGAGATCATCGTCCCCATGGGTTCTCGCACGGGGACGCGAGCGCTGTCCTCCCGTAGTCGTGACCGTATCCTTTTCTCCGGGGACTTGGTACTGGTTCGTATGAGCAGCCTGAGGTACCGGCAGGTCAGGCATCTGGAGCATCGCCTCCCCAGAGGGGCGAGGCATACTCGCGGCGCCCGGGTTAGTCTCAGCTCTTTCCCGGTCCAGCTTTTCTTTCACCAGTTGGTACACGGAGATCAGAGGACTGTAGGCATTCAAAGGATCGTTGCCCAGGGGGACCGTCTCCGCCGAAGGGGCTGACAGGGTGTCTCGACTCGCCGAGTTCCGGCGCTTGTAAAAATCGAATACGCCGCGTTTCTTCTCCGACAGGTTGGGGGCTGATTGTTCACGTAAATTTGTTTGTACTGCATGCTGGTAGTCGTCCGAGTCCAGAACCTTGGTGAGCTGAGCGGTAATGTATTCGGGAGGACCAAAATCGAAGCCCGTCATCTTCTCCACAACCTCTGGATCTAACGGAAGCTGCAGTGGCTCTCTGGAAGGTAGATAGTTCTCGGGAGGGCCATGGTATCCCTTGTTCATCCAGGGATGAGCCATGATCTCTGCGAGACTGGCGCGCTGTTTGGGATCCGTGACCAACATGCGCGAAATGATATGGCGACATTCTAGGCATATATTAGCAAAATAATTTTTTGGGGGGTTAAAAAAAAAGAAGGGGGTACCTGAACTAAGTCCTTGAGGATATTCGACGACACCCTTTTTGATTTTGGCATGGAGTTGTGGCATGCTTTGATCATCAAAAGGGACTTTGCCGCAGACCAAAACATACAAGACGATGCCAAAACTCCAGACGTCTACTTCTGGGCCGGTGTACTGTCTTGCTTGAAGCAGCTCCGGGGCTGCAAAGTAGAGACTGCCACAGAAGGTTTTGAGGAGACTCCGGGGCGAGAACAGGTTGCTGAGACCAAAGTCGATGATCTTGATGTCACCAGTCTTGCTGATCAGGATGTTCTCAATCTTCAGGTCGCGGTGGACGATGCTGTTGCGGTGGCAGTAGTCTAACGCGCTGGCAATCTGGCGAGCAAACTTCCTGGCTTGCTTCTCCTTGAGCTTCCCATGGGAAATGATATAGTCCAACATCTGACCTCCATTGACGTATTCAAACACCATGTACCAGTGGTATGTGGTACGTACGAAATCTCGCATGCCGCAGATGTACGGATGATGAACCAGACTGACGATGGCCGCCTCACGAGCAGTACGAATTTCCTTGGAGCGATCGGCGCGCTCGGCGTCTCGGCTGTTGCGGTGCTCCTCGGACGATGACTGTCGGGGAACGATCTTAATAGCGACCTATAGAGGAAGGTTAGCCTATGTTAATCTGAAGGGGAGAGAGAGAGGGGGGGGGGGGGGGGGTCATACCTGCTCGCCGGTCTCTAGGCTTTTGGCCAATTTGACCTTACCCATGCTCCCGGCACCGATTGTTTTCCCCAGGGCCCATTGGCCGGTGGGGGTGGTGATGGTGGTGCGACGCTTTGCTTGAGTAGAATTGGAGGGATGCAAATAGGAAGTGCCGGATGTAGTAGCATTGGGCGTAGGAGCGGCGGCGACAGCGACAGCGTCCGACATGACGGGCCCTGCCGCAGCCGGGTCGGCGCTATCTCGATGGTAACTGTGGGTCGAGGGAGTTTTATGATGCCTCCTGATGGATTCGGTGCGGTACGCGGTGGAAGGACGCTCTTCGGAGAGATCCCTGGATGGATCGCGACGCGACGAGGCCGACCGGGAATTTCTGGCGGCGTCAAAGTCTCTATGGGCAGCGTGGTTGGAAGGCGGGCGGTGGTCATGGGGCTGGGTAGCCGATTTTGCGTGAGAGGAAGCAGCAGCAACAGTAGTAGTAACAGCAGCAGCGGCGGTAGAAGCAGCAGTAGCAGCAGCAGCAGCGGTGGAGGGCCTCACAGCCACACTGCGCGTGCGGTGAGGCAGTTCCGACGAGGGCGGCCGGTAGGAGTGCGACCGGGAGGAGGTCGAATGGCTGCGCACAACCGTGGGCGAGGCAGACGAGGGGGCAGTGGCGGGCATGTCGACGAGGGAAAGGACTCTCCGGAGCTAAGGAGAAATAAGGACAGGCAAGCCAAGCCAAAACACCAAACGGTGGTTCACGCTGGAGCCGCTTCGCCCACGATAGTGGGCACTGGGAAGTAGGTAACTACTAAGTAGGAAGTACTCCGTAGGAACAGTTGTGGACAAGGCCGGAGCGGGCGGGGGAAGATCGTTCGCTGACAGGCGGCTGGGTTGAAACGTCTAGCTCGAAAGCAGCTAGCGACGCCCACATGGAAGAGAAGAGAAAGACTGGATTAAAGAGAGAGAGAGAGAGAGAGATGGAGAGAGAGAGATGGAGAGAGATGGAGGAAGAGATGGAGGGGGGAAGGCAAGAGATGGAGGGGAAGAAGGAGAGTAAATGACTAATACGTAGTCCGTCAGGCTGCGAGCTGAGCTGAGAGGGAGAGGCTGAGAGGCTGAGAGGGAGAGGAGGGAGAGGAGGAGAGGGAGAGGAGGAGTTGCGATGGATGCGGCGTGGAGGAAACGGTTCGGTCCAGGGGCCGCAAGCAGAGGGAGTTATTTGTATGCGTAATTCCAGTGGCAGGGAACAACAAATATTAATAGTAAATAATCACAAATAAACAGAAATCCTACCTAATAATTATATGTAGTATTTTCTATGGAAATTATTTTATCTATTGAACCAGCTGAATTGATACTGGTCGAGCATTCTGGTACTGCACCTATACCCGACATAATAGAAAATGACATATCAGCCATTTCAGCGCTCAAGGATTGACTACCTAGGGTACGTGGTTAATACCCTATCAATTGATGGGTTCCTAGGGTGTATTTCGTAATGTTGTACTCCGTGGTTAGTTATGTAGTAGTTGGTCTCAAGCTATTATTAATATTATTGTTTCTTCGACAGGTCAGTTAATCACTCATTTGGATGCCTGGTCGGTGCCTTATCAGGTCTGCTGGATTTACGGCAATACTGCGATGTACTTAATAAGAAGAAGAATAAATAATAACAAGCAGGTTTACCCTCCCTTCGCTCATAATAATAATATTGTCATTATTCTTTACTAATGCTATTTTATTATATTGATATAATATCTATCTTCTACTTCCCTCACATTGATGATGATGAGGCATAGCATACTATAGGAGGTACCAGATATCTACCAGATCAGTACTAGGTACTTAGGTACTTATGTGGTTATGTAGTAGTTAACTAACTGAGTACTGACTGTCTATTAGGACAATGTAATAGACTAGGATTATAACAGGCCAAAGCTGTCTAAATCACTCACTTTTGCTGACTCCTTCATAAGACTGTTATATATATTATCTGGTAACCCTGATGACGGCAAAAGTGCAGACTAGTATAATACAGACAAATTGCTTAATACTCTATCTAGTTCTATCTACAACCTAGAAATTAATGATGAAATAGAACATATCATATAGTCTAGATATACATATGGAGTACAGTCGAGAGCTCAGGATTGGAGGACGCCTTGCTGCCTTAGGCAACAAGAGCATGTGACTAGACTAGCCGCTTCTGGATATGACGGCATATGACATCACGTGAGATGCGCCAAGGCCCAGACCCTGTAAAGTACAGTATTACAAATACGAGGCTCTAGTATTTACGAGGTTGTTACTCCGTAGTATCTTTATTCCTAGCTCCCATCCTCATCAGTTGTCTCTTCGTTTCTTTCTCCCACCTCAGTGGATGCCAGATGGTCTGCCTGTCAGAAATGGCAGGCAAGCGGAATCGGACGGCCTTCGAGGCTGACCTTCAAGCCCATCAGTCTCCCTACGCCCTATACGGAACCCCTCTCCCGCCACTGGATGCGGGAGTGCGCGATGATGGCTCCTACGTGCCCATCTGGAAGCAGGAGGTGACGGACGATCGAGGCAGGAAGCGCCTGCACGGGGCTTTTACAGGCGGTTTCAGCGCCGGGTGAGCTCATGGTTCCCCGCGGCGCTCTGGACAGCATGACTAAAATCTTTTTTTTCTCTCTCCTGTTGATAGATACTTCAACACCGTCGGTTCTAAGGAAGGCTGGACGCCCGCCACTTTTGTCTCGACGCGGCAGAACCGTGCCAAAGATGCAAAGGAACAACGCCTGCAGCGACCGGAGGATTTCATGGACGAGGAGGACATTCGCGAGGCCGAGGAATCGAAGCATCTGCATACCACAGAGGGATTTGCCGGGTTTGGGTCGACCGAGCTTGATTCCTCGCGCCGATTCGGACTCATGGATCTGTTCAAATCTACGGGCGGTGAAACCATGGGAGCCAAATTGCTCAAGAAGATGGGTTGGCGAGACGGCCAGGGGATCGGGCCGAAAGTCCGCCGCCGAGCTCATGTCGAGGATCACGATGGGGAGGGAACAGGCGAGAAAACGCACCTCTTCGCCCCGAAGAACCCGCCGATGGTTGCCTTTATCCGCAAAACAGATCATAAAGGGTTGGGATTTAAAGGCGAAACACGATTAGTCGCGGGGTCTCATGGGAATGGCCCGGAGGACTCTGGTGATGAGGAAGGACCCGGCTCCTCGTTGTTTGATCAGCGATTCACCATCCAGAAAGACCGGAAACCACCGAAAGAGAAGGAGAAACGACGGGGCGGGTTCGGTGTAGGTGTGCTGAACGATACTGGCTCCGACGATGAAGACCCTTATTCCCTGGGGCCCTCGATCTCATACAATCGCGTTATTGGCGGTGACAAGAAGAAAAAGAAGGCGACCAAGCCGGCGATATCGTCGGCGAATCCTCTTCTCGCTGCCAAGCCTGTTTTCATGTCGAAAAAGACCATTGCTGCTAGGACTTCTTCGACGGGCTTCCGGAAATGCCATGACGGCCGTCTTCCGCTGGATGGATTTGTCCTTGCTGACGGCATCTCAACTCTCTCGATCTCATCGCAAGAGAAGAAATACGCCCCCCCGGATATTCCAACAGACTGGAAGTCTCTCAAGACACCGGTCACTGAGCGGGATGTGACCAACTACGTCTCTACGGCCGAAGCTGCCAAGGCATCCACTCTAGACCCTACATCCCGGGCAGCGCTTCTGGGCGAAACCGTGCTCCCTGGAAAATCCATCTTCGACTGGATGACGCCAGCAGCCCGGGAGAAGATTATGAAACTTACCGGCAAAACGGACCTTCCTCCAGCGCTAGGGGAGAAAGCCCCCCGCGGATACGAGATGACCGAATCCCAGCGACGGAGAGACCTGTGGGATCTGGTCCCGAAACTGGACAAGCAGCTTGCTGTGCAGGCTCTGACCCGCGCTGTCAGCGGCTGGATGCCTTACTCCGAAGATGAGGCCAAGCGTGCGCGGTATCGGACCTTCCTCGAGGTCAGAGCCGGTCTGCGGGATACCCTTCCCGACCGGGCTCCCAACTCGACGACGGACGACTGGGTCACTGAGCTCAACGAGTTCACTCGCGCCGCCGAGGTGTTCAAGCCGATGTCTTCCATCATGGCCTCACGTTTCACCTCGGCCTCAACCGCTCCCAAGACCGCGTCGTCGGATCAGCCTGACGCGCCGGACTCGCTACTCAGTAAACCAGCCGAAAAGCCCGAAGACCCGGCCGAAGCAGCCGCCAAGATCGGCATGTTTGGCCCGGTGACCCGCAGTACCATTTCTTTCTATCCCTCCCGGCTGCTCTGCAAACGATTCAACGTGAAGCCGCCGGACCATGCCCAGATGGACACGGGAGAGCAGCCCGGAGCCGTCGACTCTTCCGGCAGCAGGTACTATCACCAGCAGCAGCCGAAGAAGACCCTGGTCTCGAGGGAGGTGATGAACGAACTGCTCCTCGAGTCGCAGGGTAATAATAATAACAACAACAATACTTCTGGCCTAGCTGGACCTTCGGTGACCACAGTCGAGGTGGTGAAACCGCCCGCCGTCATCGAGCCGGAGCGTAACGATGCTCTCGAGGGCGACCGGCCGGGCGAAGCAGTCTTCAAGGCGATCTTTGGTAGCGACGACGAAGATGAGAGTGACTAGGGATATCTTAGCGAGATGATCATACGATTCTTTTACCTTGACCAGCCAATACAAGTGATTCCATTACAAAAGAAGGTTAAGGTTGAACAGCGTTCAAAGCCCACTACATACACATACAATACTCGTCACTTAATTAGAAAAAAAAAAGAGTCTAGCTATGATGTAGAAGACTACCTAGTAGCTAAGCATTGCAGTAAGTACTACTGGTCTATTAACCAGATCGTACCACCCTGTCAGAATAATCCCTGTTGTGCCTTGGGCCGTCACACCAACCAAGCTTTCGTCCAACGTCACCCCGAGGAACGGGTTGTCTTGTCCTCCCTTGCTGGCTGTCTTCGACCCTGCGCATCTTTCGGTCTGGACCAGCCACGGTTCTTGATTTCTGTTTTACTTTTTCGAGCGGCTGCAGAGCCAGAGACTCACTAGTCCTTTGTTCTATCGCACACAAGGTCTCTATTGGTACCTTTTCTAACCCCTCACTCGCATCCCCTCAGTCATGCGATTGTCAGTCGGGCGCGACTCAACCCTCGTGCCTGCTCATCAGTAGTTTTGGCGGACGTGTTTCTTCCGTATTTATTCTTTGTCTTCGTTTGGATAATTCCATCTGCCCTTCGAGCTTGCTATATGTATGGCCTTGTGGGGGATTGCGGTACACTATGGTACGTTGACTACTTATCTCCTTGACCGCCACAATCATGATGATCACGATATAACAAACTCCATACTCTATACTCCTATCGCTAACAGTTGAGTACAGGGCTGTCTCTTTTCTCTACTGTCGCGTGATGGCAGTCTCACGACAGAGACAAGAGAAGAGGATCACACCGAGGAATCTCACACGACCACTGCGTCAACCCAACAACAACAACAGCAGCAGCAGCAGCAGCAGCAGCAACACGCCTCTGCCGTGCTGCGTCCCATCGAAGGAACCCCACGTGGACTTCGTACTGCCCACCGGGCTTCGATTCCGATTAATCTCCCTCTAGGTGAACACTACAACCAGCCGATCCGCCCACACGTGTGGAAGAGCAAGCGACGACTATGGTCGACCGCCCAGCTGGCACGCGAACGAAAGGAGTTCTTCGAGACCCGCGTCACGGGGCGGGCGGAGGTCTGGGCTGCGTTGGCGACGGCGACGGCGCTGCTGCGCACGGGGGATCTTCGCACGGCACAGAGCATCATCGACGCGGCGGGCGTCACAGTCCCGACGGGGGACATGTGCGAAGGCTGCTACGACGAACAAGGGGGATTGTATAGACTGCCGCAGTGTATCGTTGGTGATCCGGAGAATATCATTGATTCTTCAACCGCCTCTTCTCCTGATACTGCTTCCGCTACTGCGAAGATCGGGTCTCATGCTAGGACAAGCAGTCTGGTCCATAAAGATGACTACAATGACTACGATGACGATGACGATGACGATGGTGATGATGATGATGATGATGATGATGATGGCAAGCAGGGGGTCTCCGGGGAGACTTCCGGTGACGAGTTGATCGCCAGCGACGCGGAACTCCGCCGAGACGAAAAGGGCAAAACCCGTGAGCGCGATCTCATCAGAGTCCACGCCCGGCTGAGTGATCGCGGCGGACCGGACGTGGTAGTCTGTGTGGGAAAGACGCAGAGCGTGGGCTTTATCGCTCGCAAGGTGCACCATGAGGCGAGAGTGAGTTTTTTCAATTCTGTCTTCTTTTATATACTCTTTTCTGACTTTCAGGTCACTGGCCATCAGCGAGTCCGGATCGCTTATCTGGGCAAGATGCTCAAAGAACATGAATCGTTACCCGACCAGGGATGGCAAGTTGGCCATGTCGTCAATGCGTTGGTCGTTGCCCATGCTTCATGACCTCATCGTCTACCACATCATCTATGCTTAATCTCACCTACTTATGCTTCATGATCTATCTACGGCGTCGGCTCCCTTCCTGCACAATACCCCTCTGTATGGTTTGTCATTGAATTTCTATTCTGCTATCCTTTCTAATCTTCAGTGATGTTTCTCCTCCTGCACTATTGTCAGCGCTTTCGAATCAGAATTAATTAATCATTAAATAATATTATTACCATTACCTGCTCAAACAGTAAATAAATACAAGTACTATTGGTATGGTAGAATGACTAATTAAGCTTGACAAACAATGCAAACACGACCCGCAAAAAAAGATATCGATATCGCAGAATTTCCGCTGAACATGCTCAATCTTCGACCAGTTTAATCCAGAGCAATGGCAGATATCCAGAAGACTCCCTTTGTAAGGGAGCTTGCGTCAAGTGGTACGCTTTCAATGCACCTTTAATTTCCCGCTTTTATTCCGTGTTTCTAATCTGGTAGACCGCAAAACCCGCGACAAGGCCGTCGAGTCGTTGACGCTGTTCCTCCGCTCTCGCACCGATCTGTCTCTGCTTGAGCTCTTGAAGCTGTGGAAGGGACTGTTTTTCTGTAATTTTTTTTCCCTAATTCCCTATGACACGAGTTTCATAATGTTTATATACTAATTCTTTAGGCTTCTATCACTCCGACCGCCCGCTCACTCAGCAATCTCTCGCCCGCTCACTGTCGTACTCGCTGGTCCCGACACTTCCTCGCGCGACGCTTCACCGGTTCCTGCGCGCCTTCTGGATCACCATCGGGCGCGATTACCATGCTCTCGACCGGCTCCGGCTGGATAAGTATCTGCTCCTGATCCGATGTTATGTCGGGGTAGCCTTTGAGGTGTTTCTGAAGGACGGGGGGAGTGTAGAGACGGGGAAGAAGAGGAAGAGGAACGGAAAGATGGGGAATGAGAAGAAGAAGCGGACAAAGACACAAAAAGAGGGGCGTGGATCATCTGAGGGCCAGGAGGAAAAAGAGGAAAAAGAGGAGGAAGAGAAATGGTCGGATCTCTCTTCTTACCTCTCCATTCTAGAGGAAGGACCGCTCTGCCCCGTCAATTTTGACCCGGAGGCCCCCAAGGTTTCTTCCGAAGAGGAGGGATTGTCGATTGCCATGCCCCACGGCCCAGACGGCCTCCGGTACCATATCCTGGACATCTGGTTGGACGAGCTGGAGAAGGTGCTCGAGTTCGAGGAAGACCCGGAGACGGGCCGGAAGGCTATCAAAGGCGGTATACCCATGGAGCTCCTTCTGCGGCCTGTCGAGAAGCTCGTGCGGGAGAGCCCGTATAAGCCTGTGCGGACGAGGGCGGCGGAGACGCTAGAGGACGAGCGATTGGTCGAGTGGGGGGTGAGAGAGAAGAAGGAGTCCCAGAGCGAGGAGGAGGAGGAGGAGAGTGAAGAAGAATGGGGTGGATTCGACTAGACAATATACATGTACAGTAGCTTGTGGAACTGGTCTTTTTTTTAAAAATTAAAAGGGCGATCTAGGTATATACAACTATACAAAGATAGACAATCACTTCGGCCCGTCTACTTCGTAGAGATGGCCCGATTTCGAAAGCACCGTGCCTAGTCCCTTGTGCACTTCGGCCTGGAGGGGCTCAAAGGGGACCCGCTCGCCGTCGATGCTGATATAGCCCTCTTTGTCTCGCGGGGAGAGCCGGTAGGCAGACACCTTGCGGACGTGCACGTCCGGCATGTCGAAGAACTCACCCGAGGCGACCGAGGTCATCATCTGCAGCGAGGTGAGGCGGCTGACCGTGCCGTCGATGGTGACCAGGTCCATCAGGCCGTCGTGCGGCAACGAGGCGGGGAAAAAATTGGTGTCCTTGGTCATGATGGCCATCTTGCCCGCGTAGAAGTTGCCCATCTGTTCGCCCGGGATGACCTCCCAGTCCGGAGGCAGTTTATCCTGCACCGTTCCGTATCTGAGCGGGGGCAGGCCCTCCTCGCTGTCGTCTCCCAGGGCGGCGAGGTCGTTGGATTCCCGTTTCAGCGACGGCCCGCGGGCCGCATACGCCCGGTAGTGGTCTTTGATCGCCTGCTTGTCGGCTATCTCGGTCTTGACAGCCACCTCGCACGGCCACACTGTGTTGCGTAACAGCCGCTTGAGGAAGCCATACGTGAAGCGGTGCGCCCCCATCCAGCGGATGTCGTCCGTGCCCAGATCGGCCTCGGCCACGATGCCAAACGACTGCGAGAGAAAGGACAGGGTGCGCGTGTTGCCCTGCGTCACCGAGACCAGGTCAAAGGGGGTCCGAAGACCCTTGACGATCGCCAGCGCCGCCACGGAGACGCTGCCCGTCCCGCACAGGTTCCACGCCATCGCATTTCCCGATCCGCCGGGGATCATGGCCACCGCGATCTTCTCCAGCGCCTGCCGGGCGTTCGGCTTCTGCGCCAGGCCGTTGAATACCTCGTACGGCAGACCGTCGCCGGAACAGCAGACGATCGCGTCGTAGGAATCCACGTCGATCTGCGCCGCGATCTCCCGGGCATGCCCGCTATACTGCGTCACCTCCTGGTCGATATGGCAGCGCGCCGCGGTAAGAATCGGCTCCGCGTACCGTGTGTACAGCGACTTGATGGTGCCCTTGCCGCTGGCAGGGCTGATCAGGACCTTGAGTCGCTTGTGCCGTTGCGCCTCGCCGTATGCCAGCGAGAGCAGTCGTCCAACCCAGCCCTCGACCTTGGGTTGCTCCCGTGCCTCTACCGAGTAGTCCAGGTACGCCACCGCCACATCCTCCTTGGAAGCCGGCTTCGCGTAGGTGATTCTGAGCCCCTGCGGCGAGCACGTAGCGTCGAGAACATTGTACAAGGCGATCGCATGCGTGGTCTTTGTATCTGCAGACGTCAGCTTCACCGGAAATCCCGCAGGCAGTTCGGAATGATAAAAAAAATGAGGAGATGGCGACATACTTGATCTCAGAATATGGCAACAGTTCCGATCGTGTTTTTTCGAAACGCGTTCGTCTGTAGAAGAAACCCTTTGTCAGTATGGACTATCCTAGCTCTGCAGCATATGCGGAAGCTACGGACCAAGAATCAGCAGCGAGTCGCTTCCCAACGTCAGCGAGACGTCCTCCTCAGGGACCAGGGTCATGTCATTGTCCAGCAATGGCGAGTCAGACTGGCCCACGGCGTCTGACGACGCGGTGAAGTCCGTGACGCGAGCGGTATCGGTATCAGTATCAGTATCAGCCATGCTGCTTCTCTGCTGCTAGTCGTAGATACCTCGCCCCGGCATTCCAGAGGAGAAGAGCGGTGGAAGGATTCGGCTGCAGAATACAGACTATAAAAAAAGAATATTCCGTAACAATAGTTCCTTCGCGGTTGGGCCACAGGCAACAACCAGGGGAGAGGATAAAAAGGAGAATTTCCCTGGTCAAGGCGAAGCTTGGGGCGGTTTCTTGCGCGTGAGTTTCCAGCTGATTAAATTATTAGCCTCGGAGGCCTGCGGCAACTCCTAATCTGCCTAGGTAAATAGTATATTAAATTATTAATGTCAGCAGTGTGCTGGAAGATACGAGCTTACATGTGTTGTAAGGATAATAATTAAAGCATCGAGATGTCGTTATTCTACTCTGTGGCAAGGTAGGCTCCGGGTGGAGTATCTCATCTATTCTTTTTGGTAAACCACCACCACCCAAAACCTACAATGATTACATGCGAGAAAAGGGGGGAAAGTCATTGAAGGAGAAAGGGAGGGGGGAAAGAGAAGAGAAGAAAAGAAAGAAAAGAAACGGAAGAAGACTTCTTTTCTCCTCTAGGACATCGCGAGAGAGCAAGATCATTCACCAGTGAAAATCGAATTCAAGAGAAAAAAAAGAACATAGATAGATGACTTGGAATGGGTAACAATTGAGTATCAACGCTGACGGAATTAGCAGATTTACGCAGCCGAAGCCTTGAGGCCCTTGAGCGAGCCCAAGCTCAAGGCGAGGCCTTGAGAGCGGCTTCTTATCCGAACAAATCCAGTGATCGGTCCGTCATCGCCTTCCTTCTCGATGCTCAAATTCGCAAGAGCATCCTCGCCTAAGGTTGTTAGAAGGTTAGAAGGGCATTCTTTTCTATAGACAAGAAAGAAAGAAGAAAAAAAACTTACCGAAAACACTCCGAGCGTAGAGGTTCGCACTGAGGAACCGGCAGTCGCCCTTGAGCGAGGCCTCCGGGGTCAAGCAGGCCATGTTGGTGCTCTCCATGAGTTGCTTGAGGAATTCTCGCAGAGTCTTGGCCTTGGAGTTGATGTTGACCTTGTTCTCCCACTCAAACTCGGTCCACATGGTGCGGAACTGGGTCTCGGTGCAGTTCGCTGGTTGGATGTAGTCCATGATGTCGGCATGGATGTCATTGAGAATGACAACATGAGACTCCGTCGAACTGGGCCCATCGTAGACAATGTTGCCAAAGATCACCCCGGTGTCCGTCGACGAAACCTTGATCGTAGCCTGCACGTTCAAGAAATCGCGCGGCCCCAGATTGTGTGTCGAGGGCCGTTCAACCACCTTGAGGTCTCCCAGAGTGGCGAATTCAACAGACAGGTTCTGCAGCGTTTCCGTCGTCTGGTTGACCAGAAGAACGTCCAGCACAATATCAAATTGGTGCACAGTCACGTACGCCTCCGCGTAGACAGGGTCCGAGAAGCCGGTGAGCTGGACAACACGGCTCAGCTTGGAGGAGACGGTTTCCACCGTGGAATCTCCGGCGGTGGCCTTGGCAAGGTCAAGCTCGATCTCCTCCGCGCCCTCGACAGCGTTCTTCTTGGTGAACTGCCGGATGGGGATCGCATCGTCGACCTGGACAGCGCTCTTGGCCTTCTCCACGGCTTCCTTGGCCGCGCGTTTCTTATCCTCGACCAGAACCATAGCACGGAATGCCTTGCGGGTGTCCTCGAGGAAAGTAGTCTCAAGTTCCTTCTTCTCGGAGAACTCGGACAGAGAGCGCACGCAGCACATGATGCGGTCAACCGAATCCTCGTCGATAGGAGCCTTGACAAACTGAGACTGGCCAACGCGGATGATCGAGATCATGATCAGCATAGCCTCTGCACGGAGGGCATTGGTGCGAGCGGCGTCCTGGGAGACCTCGGAGTGGCGCATCACCAACTTGGTCAGGGTCGAAGAGAGAACCGTGGCAAGATAGTAGTCCCCGTCCAGGATGAGCTGACGCAGGGGAGGCTTCTGGGCGGACTTGACGGCTTCCAGTCTTGCAGCGGCGGCCGACTGGCTGGTCAAAGCGCTCTCAGTGGCATAAGTACCGTCGGCCAGAACCTTTCTGGAGCCCGTCGGAGCGGCTGGTTTGGCGTGACCGTTGGTTTGTTCCTTGAGCGCGGCGCTGTCCTCGGGCACTTCATCCAACAAGCGTTGCTCGGATGCGAGAATAGGGATTTCGCCGAGGCTGGCTCTGATCCGTTTCCAGGCCTCGCGGATGTCATTCTCCTCTAGCGAATACTCGCCGACCACCCAAAGTACACCACGATACACCTTGCCAGCACGGACCTCATTCAAAGTAGAGACCAACCGATCGACGATGGATGGCCGGAGGGCGGGGAATTTCTCTACAACCTCCTTCACGAAGGAGATGACATCGACCGCGGAGTTGTTGTTGAAGTCTGCAATGAACTCCATCAGCAGATCGACAACGCTGGCAGCGATTTCCGAGAACTTGATGGCGCAGCTGTGGATCGACTGGATGAGAAGTTGGCGATACTCGCTGTTCTGTAGACGGCCGGTTAGTTGTCGTCCTCTCTCCCAAGCAGAGGTTCCACCAGGTTGCATACCTGCTCATATTGTTCATCGACGGTCTTGGCAAGTTCCTTCTTCAGAAGCATGACAATCTCCTCAACATTCTTGCTGGAGACCATTTCCAAGGCAATGCTGAGGGCTTTGCGGCGGACATCGATATCGGGGCTGGAGAGAACACGCAAAATTTCCATCATCAGATCGTCTAGCACGCCCTCGTTCCGGGTCCGGAGTTGGTCAACGCGGTCCAAAACGATCAGTTTCACGTTGTTGTCTGCCTCCCGGATGCACAGTTCGATCAATTTGCCTGCGGCGGCTTTGACGGCAACGGGGTTACTCGTCAGAGCGGTAAGGGAGGTAGCGGCCTCGTAGATGACGGTGCTGGTGGATGCATCGAGGAGATCAAAGATCAGGCGAAGGTATCGCGCCTAGTTTTTCCATATTAGACATGTAGTGTGCACGGGTAGGCTTGGTGCAGCTCACCTTGTTCTGGGCGTTCTGGACCGCATCCTTTCTGATGAACTCAAGCTCTGCCAATTGCAGAAGCTCATCGGTGTTGGGGATGCTGTCGAAGGTCGAAGCCAGATACTCCAGGGCTCCCTGGTGGCTGATGGACATCAGGGCGGCGAACGCATTGCGCTTGCAGGTGCTGTCAGTTTCCGAGCCGAGGAAGGTCTGGATGAGCTCCGGTGCGTCTGGAATCAGAGACTCTGAGTGCTGGAAGATCGATGCGACTGCCCAAACGGCGTTCTTCCGGACATACGCGTGGCGGTGGTCGAGACACGAGCGGGCCGACGAGAGGAGGGGCTCGATGAGTTCTGGCTCGCGGAGCTTGCACAGATACCGCAGGGTATTGCCGCGAATATACTCATTGGGGTGCTGCAGGTCATTCCGGATCCCGTTGCTACACAAAAACAATTCGTTACCAAAGTGTTCCTTCTTTTTTTTTGGCGATGACGGAGGGGTTGTGTTGTTTTCCTTACCACACCAGGATCATCTCTTGCTTGAGCTTGCCATTTGCATCCAATTTGGGGCAGATCTCGTAGTAGAAATAGAGCAGCTTCTTCAACGACTTGCTTCTGGACGGCATGACAAAGCGAATGATGTGCATCAACAGCTGAGGCATCGGGTCCCCGTTGAGCATGATCGTAATGATCCGCCTCATTGTTTCCAACTTGGTGTCATCAGTGCCTTTCTCTAGTTGCGTTTTGAGCTCCTGGATAGTAGGCTGGTCGGCCGTGTTGTCCATATGGACGAGACTGTACGTATTCTCGAGAAACGACGCCATGGCGAAGAGCGGTTATTGAGGAAACGGCTGGTTGAGAGAGAGAGGGGGGGGGGGGGGAGGAATAAGGAGGGAGGCGCTGGCTGTGGTCAGCGTGTTTTCTTTACGAATTCCATCAGTTTTGCAATAGGCAATTTGGGAATTACCTAGACACGACACCTCGGTGACTCGTAGGAAGCGAAGAGATCGATCAATAGAGCTGAACTCCCCTCACCTGCCTGCATTCATCGGCGCGGCCGTACAATTGCAATCCGGGGTCCTGACAACCAACCTGGCCATTTGCGCGGCGGAGCAAGCTGGTCGGAGTGTGTGGATGACTAAGCTCCGCCTGGGCCAACCACTCCCACTCGCCATGAGGCCTGCTCCGAGGGGCACTCGTTGGCAAGCAGCAGAACTTCGACTCGTGGTCGTCGATCAGAGTCACAAAGGACACGCCAGGCGAGCTTCCCGCGCAGAGACGGTGCCAGAGGGTTCGAAGTCGCCGCGCTCTCGTTTCGGTCCCGCGTGGTCAGGATCGGTCACTCCCAGGAGGGATCACAGCGCAATATGTCGAATCAGAACGAGCCTTTCTACCTCCGATACTAGTAAGCCCTTTTTTTGGTGTTTTTGCCCAGGTTTCCTCAGCTGCTGACAGCCGATGCAGCTCGGGTCACTCTGGGCGGTTTGGACATGAGTTCTTAGGTAGGCGGCGGACCCCCAGCTTTCTCTGCGTCTAGATTTACTGATGGGTATAGAATTCGATCTTCGCACTCTCGGTGATGGACGAAGCGCTGCTGTGAGATATGCGAACAACTCCAACTATCGCAATGACTCGCTCATCCGCAAAGAGAGTAGGTGTTGGATAATATAACCATAACGGGCTACGCTGGGGTGCTGACGACGAGACAGTGTGCATCAGCTCTGCAATGATCCAAGAGGTGAAGCGCATCATCAAAGAAAGTGAAATCATGAAGTACGGACGGCAATTGTCTATAGATATCTCCGCAATATGCTGATTCGCAAAACAGGGAAGATGATTCCAAGTGGCCACAGAAGAACAAGGACGGGCGACAAGAACTGGAGATTAGAATTGGCAACGAGCACATTTCCTTTGAGGTACGTTTGAAGCCACCCTAGACTCTACTGTCCAGAGCACTGATGTTGGTTTTTTTTTTTTTTTCCCTTCAGACGGCCAAGATTGGTTCGTTGGTTGACGTGACCGAGTCTGCAGACCCAGAGGGTCTCCGCGTCTTCTACTACCTCGTCCAGGATCTCAAAGCGCTCATCTTCTCTCTCATCTCTCTCCACTTCAAGGTACGCACCCTCTCTAAAACCGCAGTGTCACCCTCACCGTCTCGGTTGGCTAAGCTTTGGTACCTTTTTTTTTCCCCTACAGATCAAGCCTATCTAATCGCGCATTCTCCGGGGTGAAATGTTGGGGGGAGAGGGGAAATAATGGCGACATGACATTGGCGTTTCCAATTGATCACAATGGGACTTTAGAAAACCAAAATAGCTCTGTAGTTCTTTTACCAGAGACCATCCTTTTCAACTGTATTCTGTCTTCAACGTAATCTACTATAATAACAAGCGCACACCGAGCTCGATGACGCAATAGGCTGGAGGACCGACTCCTTGTCCACGTGCATCTGCTGGCCGCATTAGGCGCGACCGCTGCCATCACAAGTCGGTCAAGGTCAAGACAAAACCACCAGGCAGAGCTTTTGTCGCAGCAACTTGGGTGTTGAGAGGTCCTTTTTGCAGATATTTTCGCCCATCATTCGGGCCCCTGTACCTTTCCTTGGGCTGAGAAGTGCAGCGTATTTTCCTCGTTTGTGTGCCGTAAAAACGTCCTTCATCTTTGCCTCCCCCGCGCGGGCTCGCATGACCACCTGGATCGGCCTATCCCTTTCGGGCAGTGCTTCTTCTCTGCCGAACCTCCCTTGTGTGTTGCCATTCCACAGTCTCTTCCAACCGTGTGTGTTTCCATCGCGTTCTTTGCCCCGAGGCCACTCCCTGTTGGCCCCTTTTCTTCTTGTTGTTCGCTCGGATCCGATGCCCTCGCCTCCCTGAATCCGCCTCAATGCCGACCCCGAGGGATCACCACACGCTACAACTAGCTGCTACACCGACCGCGGAGGACGCATCGACGCGAACCACCTGTCCGCCAGAGACCGATCGCTTTCTGAGCTGGAGAGAGCTCGAGGGCGATGTCGGTATCGGTGCGGCCGCCGATGCTGCCGCCGCTGCTGCTGCTCAGGAGACTGCGCCCTCACCGACTGCCGCCCTGAGTGCATCCGACGATGGGGCTGCCCTTTCCCCCACGCAGTCCTTGGAGGGGAAGCCGGCCAAACCCGCTGCGACACCAGATGAGGAGGCCGTGGCGAGGCGAGCGAGTCCCTCCAATGAATCCTCCCGTTCTCTATCGCCGGCGATCCCTGTCACGGCCCCTTCAACCGCATCGCTGCTCAGCTATGAGTTCTCAAATCTTCGTGTATGTCATCGAATCTATGACTTTATATATATATATATACATATATACTGACCATATAGCTGTTACCAAATCATACGTCGTCGTTCCTTCGAGCCGGTAGTAAGTTTGTCGGCACGCAGCAATCCGACCAGCAAATATACAATGTCAATGTGGATATAAAACATGTTGATATGACAGAGTCATACCTCTGCGGCTATCTGTGCATACAAGGTGTGTGTGTGTGATGGAATCAAGTTCTCCATTCGCTCAGAGCAGAGCAACTGCTAATGGAAACTCTGTCTAGGCCTGACTCAAGACCATCCTACCCTGACCACCTTTTTCGAGGGCGAGATGATCGGCCCGAAATACAACTTTCTTACACGCAATGAATCATGGGGTGCTACGGAGAAGACGGATATGTTGCATTGGGCTAGATTCCCGGCATGGAAGCCGTTGGTGAAACACGCCAAACGGCCGGATTTCACCCATCGCAACTTCGCCCAACGCGATCATATCTTCATGCGATGGAAGGAATACTTCCTCGTCCCTGATCACCGCGTCAAGTCCATCTCTGGCGCAAGCTTCGACGGCTTCTACTACATATGCTTCAATCAAGTCGAGGGAACCGTCAGCGGCATATACTTTCATTCACAGAGCGAGAAGTATGCATCACCATCATCATCATCTCCTTGTCTCTCCCGGTTTATGCTCCGTACTAACTCCGAGATTCTGTAGGTTCCAGCAACTCGAACTCAAGCATGTGAAGGACTGTGGGTGCGCCCCAGCCATGGAGTTCCGCTGATATTTTCCGTGCCCTTCGCCCCGGGATGCAACAGTGCATCTCATATTCTTCTCATATTCGTTGTTTATACCCCATGGCTCCGTCACACTACGCCATTTCACTCAAGATGAACGACCATTCCACTAAGCTTCGATGACAACTCCACTTTCTACAGGGCATCTATTTCATGGTGCCGGGTTGAACCCGCTTCATTCCCCATCAGGATCTGTCCTGGAAAGCCTCTCTATAATATACCACCATCTACTTCTTCTTGATGCCTCACGACTCTCATCTACAAATTGGCGTTTTCTCTATGCGGCCTACAACCGGCCCTTCCTCCCCTCCCCTTCACGGTCTCTTCTTCCTTTCTCCGTTCCTGTCATTACTATGGGAACTCTTCATCTACTTATACAGGCTGCGCCTGATGGAATTTCGGCCGAACAGGATACGGTTCTGTTTTTTCTTCCTTATTTTTGTTATCTTTATCTCTATACTCTGAGCATACAAACAGTATCGATATTCTCTCATCTTTGTTGGTGGGGTAGTGCATGTCTCATCTCATCTATTTCTCGATGTCACTATATGGATCCATCCTAAGTATTTACCTTGTAGCTGCTACTTATCTGCAAACTGAACCAACCAGTCAGTCATGTCATTCTATGCCTACCTTTTGGCCTGCTCTACAACTCATTACAATATCTATCTATACACTCCATAGTATCAAATAATACTCGGCTGTCTACTAGTCAACATGCTATACACGGATGAATTGGGGTTAGTTATCTCTTTACATATTCCTAGAGAACATAACAGATCATCCGACGTTGCACCGAAAATCAAACCAAGGAAAACAGATTTGGCAAGCAGGCGGAGTGGAACAAGGTTGGGTATCATGCAGTTTTTTTTTCAACGGGCGAACTGAACAGATTGCACAGATTGTGTGGGAAAAAGTCAAGTCCCGATAGATAGAAGAAGGATGATATAAAAAAAATAGTGGGCAAAGGATTCAAACTACATGAAAGACGAGTTGTGCCGACTACTCGCCGACGAGCTGCTGGCGATGGTAGCGTTGGTGGTGGAGGTGCTGCCCGCGTCGCTGCTTGGGGTCTGCGGCGGCTCGAGGACGATCTGCTGGCGGATCGAGACGATCCATTCGTGTTGCAGGAGCTCGGCAGCCGTGGGGCGTTTGTTCGGGTCGCATTCGAAGCAGCGGCGTAGAAAGTCGATTCCCACGTCGCTGAGCTGGTCGCGCGCGGGCAGTTGCGGCTGGTTGCCCTGCGCGATGTTGTACATGATGGCCCATTCGTTGTCGAGGGTTGACCAGGGCCGTCGCCCCGTCGCCATCTCCAGGATCACACAGCCCAGCGACCAGATGTCGACGGCCCCTTGCCTGTGCACCGAGGTGGACGAGTCGCCGCGGATCACCTCGGGAGACATGTACATCGGGGTGCCCGTCATGGTCTTCTGGTTCTTCCGCGCGGCGGCGATCTGGCTGTTGTTGTTGTTGGTGTTGTTGGTGATGTCTTTGGTCGGCAGGTCTAGCGGGGCAACTGTCTTGCCCTGGCGCGCGATCACTTTAGCCGCGCCAAAGTCCACGTATTTGATCACCCCGTCGTGGTCGAGGAGGATGTTCTCGGGTTTGATGTCGCGGTGGACGATGCCCGACTGGTGCAGGTACGCCAGACCTTCGAGCAGCTGCAGGGCATAGACCATGATGACCATCTCGTCCTCGATGCGGCCGTGCTCGAGCAGACTGGCCAGCGAGCCGCCAGAACAGTACTCCATGAAGATGTAGACTTTGTCCCGGTGCACCTCGATGCCATGGTACGAGACGATGTTCGGGTGGTCCAGGACCTCGAGCACGCTCATCTCGTCCCGGATCTGCTGCGCAATGGTCGGGATCATCTGGGGATCCTGTAGCCGGATCTCCTTGACGGCCATCAGGTAGTTGCTGTCGAGGTTGATCGCCGCATACACAGACCCAAAGGTCCCGCCTCCGATGAACTGGCCCTGCTGCCACCGGAGAGTCATGTTCGTGGCAGACGCCGACAGCACCGTCAGAGACCGGTCTGCCTCGTTGGATCCTTCCAGGACCCGGCCCAGCGCCTGGCGCTTGGCGTCTTCCTCCACGCGCCTATCTTCGATCTCCATCAGGGCGTACTGCCGTTGCTCACGCACGAGCCTGGTAGCTTCTTGGTCGGTCAGGACTCGGCCTGCACCGATCCTCCACGCCCCGCTGCGCTCCTCGATGCGCTGTTTCTCGGCTTGCGCGGCCAGCGAAGACCGGGCACCCATGATGTCAAAGTGCGAGATAAGCAGGGACATACAGCCGGCCACCTTTAGCCGCAGGCGGCCGAACTGAACATCATCCATGGAGAGGAGATGTCTGCTGGACGTGATGGCCATGGCGAACTCCAGGGCCGCAACTGCCCACTTGAACGTCTTGCGGTCGGCGGCATCGCAGTCGTCACAGATGAACGAGACCCAATCCAGCGACAGTTCCACCAGTCGCGCATTGTTCATCGCACGTCGGTTCGGATCCACGTAGTTTGAGGACCGCTTGCCAAACTCGGTGGCAAAGGCATAGCAGGCTTGGATCAGCTCTTGGTTTTCCACGTCTTTCTCTTTGAGTTGGTTCCGGATCTCCGCCACGCTGTCCATAATGGTCATCGAGAGCTTGAAGGAGATCTTCTTGATCCGGTTGAGCTCCACGTTGACCCGCCCTAGATTCGCGCGTTGTTCAATCGCCATGTCGAGGTGGATGCCGGTCAGCTGTGCCAACTCGTGGCGTGCGTTAGACAGCCGCTGCTGGGTGCCTTCCACCACCAGCCGCAGTTTACCGAGTCGGACATCTGTCGGTTGTTCCAGCACTGCCACCTGCATTTCTTTCCCGGCCCACGCAAGAGGCTTTTCGGGACGAATGACCAGCACATATGGAGCATGAGGGGTATCTTTCGCCACGTCCTCCTCGCGGAAGGAGGTGGCAAGGATCGCCTGGATATCTTCAGGACGGTCCCACAGTGCGTGATGCGCAATCAGGTACACCCCCTTTTGTCCAACCGAGTTGTTTGACCGGACTAAGAAATGGTCTGATACCAGCAGCGCCTCGAAGAAATCGTACGCAATGTCAGCAGTGATGTTGTATTCCGTAGCGTTTTCGAATAATTGGCGAAGGAAGCGCGAAAACCGGTACAGTTTCCGCTGGCGAATGCGGGTAGAGTCCAAAACACTCTTGTATCGCTTATCCATATCGATCGACCCCTCGTTCACGCGTATCGGTAACTCTCGCTCAAAGTGAATCATTAGACGCTGAAGAGACTTGGCTGTCAAGGCACTAATCGAACACGCATGTTAGTTCATTAAAGATACTTATTTCTCAGCCAGGGGGGATTACCTGAATTGTTCGGCGACTTCGATATCTCCGCCCTCAAGCTGGCGGCCGATCTCGTTGGAGAACTCCCACTCTTGTTCGAGGATTTCGGCCTCCTTGAACGTATTTTTGTTGGCATTTAGCTTCCAGTTCAGCAGACGGAAGTAGTACTTCAAAGCGTCCAGGACAACAGAGTCGAAATTCTCGTCAATGCAGGGAGGAAGGTCCCAGCCCGGTTCGGGCCGGGAGATGTCCAGGTAACGCTGTTTGATCTCGACAGCAACGCGCATGAGAATCTGGAACTGATTGATCATCTGGTCGACCAGGATGATGGATTGTTGGGCGGGGTCCTTCATGTTCTTTGCATAGGATAAACGTAGGCGAATGATTTCCTGGATGAGTCGCGAAGGAAAATTGATCAAAGTCAACAGCTCTTCGATATACGGGGGCAGATGGCGTTTGGCAAAGGCCTCTGAATTCTCGATGAGGGTGCTTTTCGCCTTTTTGATGACCTTTTCGTGTGCATTCAGCATATTGTGTCGACCCTGGAGGGTCTTGAGACCGTCCTCCTTCATGATGCGATCGAGGAAGGAGGTCTCATCCGAAAGATCGGACCCAGGACATTTCACGCGGGGCTTGCTGAAGTCGAGCTCCGGGTTCCCCACCCAGCTTTGCAGGATGGCGAGTTCGGTGTTGATGAGGGCGGTGGTGTTGTGCCATGCCACGACCGCTTCGCGGCTGGAACAGAACTCTTCCGACGCGATGCGCGGGTTGGCGATTTCCATCTCCTTGCGCGTCGAGTAGAGGGCCTCGCACCTGCCGATCTTCTCGACGATATCCTCGACTTGCTGGATGGGCGGCTTTCCAATCTCCTTTTCCCCCTTGATCTCGAAGTTGATAATGTCCTCGATCAAGGGGCCGAGACCAGCTCGTGCCTCTTCGATGAGTTTCCGCTGCACGGCAACACTCCGGCCGCAGCATTTCGCACGCACACCCCACCAGATCTCGTTATTCAAAGCAAGAGACCGTTTCGATTCCGTGGTGCCGATGAGTCGTTGTTTCTCCTGCTTCACGACGTCTCCCTTTAGAACGGAGGCCAGCATGGAATGCCACTCCAGTCTCTCTTGGTTCTTCGGGTTCTTGAGCTCCTCGATCGTAGGCTGGTTATCGTCGGCAAGAAACAGCTGGATGTCCGGATCGTACGGATCGTCCTCGAAGGTCATCTCCGAGGAAGGCGAGGGCTCTTCCAGATCCGAATCTCCCACCGTATAAGACTGAGCATCATCGAAATGGCGGTACCACGCCTGCGGGTTTGCCCGGATCCGCTGGACATAGGCCTTTTCCTGCGCTCGGTATTGAGCATTGGGGTCGCGTCTGGTGCCTCGCTTGGTGGATGAGGAGCGCTGCCGGTCGTTCTGGAGGTTGAGGTACTGGGTCGGGCGGCGCTGGGGGGCGTAGGTGTTGGACGGGGTCCTGGCGGGGACGGAGGGCCGTTGCAGCCTCAGGTCGCGGTCAGTCAGCGGGAGACCGTCCAGTGGAGGCACAGTGTCCAACGCTGAGGAGGCCCCGAGACTGGCGCCGCGTGGACGAGTCGTGCCCGCGATGGTGGGCCAGGGAGTCAAGCCGGCGGTATGGGGGGGCGGCGGGGAGGAGGCGACGGTGACCGTCGCCGGGGCCTGGAGCTGGACGTCGAAGCCGTCGTCGAAGCCAAGCGTCGGTCTGGCGACGTACGGCGGCTGGGGCAGGAAGTCGTCGGACGAGCCCGAGCCGTCCGAGTCATGGTTGGCAATGTCAGGGTGCTCCATCTGAAGCACACGTCCAGTGTCCGGTTGCTGCTCCATCGTGGTCGGGGGGATCGGAGGGCCCGAGGCGTGGAGAGGGAGGAGGAGAGAGGGAGCTCAGGCCCAGGGCGATAGGGGGCTGTGGCGGTGCATGTTGGGCTTGGTGAAACATTACGGTATTGTCATTGTTATGTATTATTCAGCATTATTCCAGCTAAGAAATAGAGATCTTACTACTGACTGCTTTTAATTATGAGTATGAAAACCTTTATAAGAAATAAGTAGATTCTATATAACCACATCCAGGTACCTAGTGTGTGTAGAATAACTATTACCTGGGACATTGATAGGTCCAAGTAACTACCATTAAGTACCTTACCTTACTCTGTACTGATGATGTAATTGATACCTCCTTACTTGGACATCAGAAAGAATCTGAAAGTTCAATGATTGTCATTACTAGAAGCTATTGAGATTCTCAATGACTGTATTTAATAATCTGTAGAGTATGCTCTACTACCCTATGCCTGAAATTGTATAGAAGAGGATTGTATACTGCTGTCACTGCATTTCACTGTCATCGACTATCGCTTATTTAAATCCCTTGCTGTGTAGATCTTGTTGATCTCTTGACTAACAAAGTACGGAGTACTCGCGTCTCCATATCTATCTAAAGCAATCTTGTTCCTAGAAGTCAAGTTTTCCGTATTCAGGGGAGTCTTGGCAAGACACCATCGCAACCCAAAGAGAGACAGGAAAGCAATGAAGGGTGGAATATAATGTTGCTGAATCATCAACCCAATTTGGTTAGACCAACACGTGCTCGCAGACGGAGTCCTCCGTAAGCTCTCCTCCGCAACCAATCAAAGCCAATATGGTTATCTTTCCTCAGGAGCTTGGCAGTGCTCCATCTCCATGGAATTCCTTACTTTAGGACCTCGGGAACCTTACACTACTAAGGTAGTCATACTCCTAGAGACCCTCTATCCGTAAGGCCTCCGTGTGGATTCCTAAAGCTACGGCTTGTTCCGGTAGTCTTGGCCAAGTTGGACCACGAGGCACGAATCATTTGGCAGCTGCAGGTAATAATCTTTACGGAGAACACGTTTGATTCTCCGCCCGTTCATAGTAGTACAGAGTACATAAGTACGAGTATTCTCTAGAGTATCTAGGTATCCTCTCCGGAGGGAGTCTTCCGTACTTGATGCTATTATGGTCATTTGCTCATTCCTCACATGGAGTCTATAGAGTAACCAAACTCTAATCTAGGGAGTACTACGAAAGGTACCTATAGTCAATGCCCGCCTGTTAAAGAATAGCTCTCACTTTACTGTAGCATGCATTAGGACAACCTCGAATACGAAGGACTTCAGGTTTGTTGACTGTAGAAGGGCATCATTGGAGAAGACAGCAAAAGAAAATAAGACGCCTACTCTTGGCAGATGATAACAGAAATGAAGGTTTGAAATTTCAATTGCTCACCAAGACAGGATCCATCAGCGCACGATACCCCGGATTGAGTCATGGTCGGGTCATCAAAATGATAATGGACGACGGGCAAACCATGGCACTTGGATATTATATATGATGGTAATAGGAATTGGTGAACAGATGGATATGATAAGAAGCTGGGCACTGCTGATTGGTTTTACCCAGGGAAAGTGGGGCAGATACTGATAAGAGTATCCTAACCCTACCTACTCCGTACTTCTAGTTGCCTTAGTTTAGGTACGTACCTACGTACCTCAGTACCTCACGATGTCCCTAGGTACCTCCTGGTAGGTACGGAGTAAAGTAGCCCGAATTCTCGCTTAAGCACCCTGTAAGCTCTAGCTAAGTAAAGAAACTGGCTCGTGCCTGCCGGTTTTCCCTCCATGCCCCGACAGGTACCTCCCAATCAGGCAGTCGCCGTTCCTGGTAGGCGCTGGTCCGTGCAGACGCTAATCTGGCGATGATTGGTCCTCAGCCCTCGTTTTATCTACAGCCACTCCCGATGGCTGTATTCTGGTTGCCCGCCGTATCTCTGCGGAATTCCTATTAGTTTGGTAGATCTGTCACCAATTCTTAATTGTCAAGGGTCTCAGATATGGTATCTGGTACTATGGAGTACTACATACACTTGGTCTTCTACAATTCTATCAGTATGAAGAGTAAAAACGTCGTACTTTATACTCTGTAGTAGGTACTTAGTAGGTACCTAGTAGGTAGGTACTTTGTAATATGATAGATCAAAAGACACTTGCCAGTGGTCTAGGTACCCAATGCATTGTAGGAAATAGACATTTTACCTAAGCGGGATGCTCCATCGACTTTTATGGGCCAGGCTTGGCGGCTGATAATGAATTATGATTATCTCCTGCACCGGGGGAGAGAGAAACACCCTCTCTCCACGCTAATCGCCTCCTGGATCCCACCATGGTGCGATATCCATGTTCCCTAGCGTCCACGACAGAGTGGATCATGGCGGTGGGTTTCTGGAACGAAAGTCGCGTCTGCAGCGCTCTTACCGCAGCATCTATAAATATTAAGCAGATACCTGCCTGACTTGGTCCATTCTCCTCCCTCATCAATCGGATATTTAGCCTCGGACTTCCCTCCCCCGCGTGGATAGACGTCAACACAATACCCACCAGCCTGGTGCATTGTCCTTTCCACACAGCTCCCTCTCATCCATCTACTTATCCAGTTACTACCTACCTACTCCCTCTGTACGCTCCTCGACAAAGTACACAATGTCGGCATACCCCGTGACCTACAATGGGTCGATGACGGGCAACGGGGGTGACTCCTTGACCGAAGACCTCAACATTTACTACGATGTTTGTCTCTCCCTCTCGCAAGCCAGATCTATCGAATCTATCGAATCCCTTTCCACTAACCGCACATGCTATGACAGGCCGGTGATTTCGCGTGGGTGATTGTCTCTTCAGCCCTGGTGCTGCTCATGATTCCCGGTGTTGGGTAAGAATGATCTCAAAGCTAGTTTGATCTATATTTAATATATCAGGATGGAAAAGCTAATGGAATTTTTTTTCCCCCGCTAGATTCTTCTACTCCGGTCTGGCTCGTCGTAAATCGGCTCTCTCCCTCATATGGCTGTCGGTAATGTCAGTCGGCGTCGTCTCCTTCCAGTGGTTTTTCTGGGGCTACTCTCTGGCCTTCTCCCACACCGGTGGAAAGTACATTGGTGATCTGCGCAACTTTGGCTTCAGGGATGTTCTGGCTGTGCCTTCGGTCGGCAGCAGCAAGGTCCCTGATCTGTTGTTCGCCATTTTCCAGGGAATGTTCGCCTGCATTACGTGAGTTTCCCGCGCCTTATCATCAATTTTCTACCTGACAAACTTGTTGCTTATCGTTCGTCTCTGGATAGTGTCGCTCTTGCTGTCGGTGCTGTCGCCGAGCGTGGTCGCATGCTGCCCTGTGTCATCTTCATGTTCGTCTGGTCTACTGTCATCTATGACCCTATCGCCTGCTGGACGTGGAACAGCTCGGGATGGGTGTTCAAGCTTGGTGGTCTGGACTTTGCCGGTGGTACCCCCGTGCACATTGCCTCTGGATGTGCCGCCTTGGCCTATTCTCTGATGCTTGGAAAGCGTCGTGGTCACGGCACGCACGAGCTCAACTACCGCCCCCACAATGTCACTCATGTGGTCATCGGCACGGTCTTCCTCTGGGTGGGATGGTTTGGCTTCAACGCCGGCTCCGCCCTCGCCGCTAACCTTCGCGCCGTCATGGCTGCCGTCGTCACCAACCTGGCTGCCTCCGTGGGCGGTGTCACTTGGTGTCTGCTCGACTACCGCCTGGAGAAGAAGTGGTCTGCCGTTGGCTTCTGCTCTGGTGTCATCGCCGGTCTCGTCGCTATCACTCCGGGTTCGGGCTTCGTCACCCCCTGGGCTGCCTTTATCTTCGGTGTCGTCGGCGCCATCGCCTGCAACTATGCCACTAAGCTCAAGTATGTCTTGAAGATTGACGATGCTCTGGACATCTTTGCCGTTCACACCGTTGGCGGTCTCGTCGGTAACCTTTTGACTGGTATTTTCGCTGCGTAAGTTTTTTTTTCCATCTTCACTTTTTTTTTTAATGAAACATCACTGATTTTGTCTAGTGACTACATTGCCCACCTCGATGGTTCGACTTCGATCCCCGGTGGCTGGATCAACCACAACTACATCCAGCTCGGCTACCAGCTTGCGGATTCCGTCTCTGGCGGTGCCTACTCTTTCGTCGGCAGCTGCATCATTCTCTTCATCATTAACATGATCCCTGGCCTGAGCCTGCGCGCCAAGGAGGATGACGAGATCATGGGCATTGACGATGCTGAGATCGGCGAGTTTGCTGTATGTTTCCCGAACTTTTTTTTCTTCTCATTCTGAACATTGACTAACTGCTCTAGTACGACTATGTCGAAGTGAGACGCGATGTCATCGCCGGAATCGAGGGCGACAATGTTGATGGTGCCTCGAAGCGCTCTGCCACCCCAACCGAGCCCGCCGATATTACTCTTGATACCAAGGCCTAGACGTTCCTTTGCAAAAAAGGCATACTCGGTGTTTGTTTGAATCATCCATCCTTTTGTCGAGGATTTTTCAACGACTTCAACCAGCATTCTATCGCATGGTGTTGATGGATGGGCTTATGATTCTTTTCCCTTCTTGTTCTTATTTTGCTTCCTTCATTCCCTTCGACCTTTTTTTCCCTTATGTCTACCTAATCTCGGGGTCCAGCGCTCTTCTACCCAGGCGGTTTCAAGAGTGTCCCGCTTCGTTTCCAACCTTTTAGATACCCTGCTTGCAATACATGATTTCATTTAACAGCATAGTAACATTGTAATCAATTCTTCGTGCTTTGTAACTGACTTGAAATTAAGTGATCCTCATCTCGACCCTCAGTAACTACCTCGCTCCTTACAAAGTAACACTACCCTGCCTAGAAATCCAGTAACGTTAACATTGAAATAGACCCTTGTTGTATGAGGTAAGCAGCGGCCAATCATGATGAGCGTCTTCAACAAAGCTTCCGTTCTGGAATCGTCGCCGAAAACCCACCTGGCACTCCCCTTAAACCACATACCACATACATACCCAACGCATTTTTTGTTTACTTGTTTTACCTCACTTCACACTTCTCCTCTTGTAGTTCTGGGGTGTTTTTTTTCTCCCTCCCTAATACTTCTTAATGGCCTCCCACAGTCCCGACGAAGCAGCGTCGCGCAGCTTCCCGCAGGACCCCTCCGAATTCGACAGCGACCCGCGGATCTCCTTCTCAAAGCTCAGCAACAAGTTCATCCTCGAGACGGATGATGGCCAGGAATTCGAGTTCGATTCGGCGCTCAAACGATGGGTCCAGACGGTGTGTGCGCCCTGTCTAGACTGGTTTTGCCATTATACGTGATAAATGGGGAGAAGAGAGAGAGAGAGAGAGAGAGAGAGAGAGAGAAACCTGCATTTTGATGAAAATTGCATTTACCGATTTATGTTCGGTTGCGACTGATCACTGCGCTGTACTCTGCGCCCTGTTTCCAGGTAGATGAAGATTTGCTCCAGCAACAACAGGAAGCGTACAAGGTTGCAGGGGTGGACGAGTCGGAAGAAGTGAACAGGCAGACGTTGAAGAAGAAGCGGAAACAACAGGATGAGGTAAGACTTATTCGATGTTATTTATTCGTTGATGTTATGAGATGTTGATTGTTGTAGAGCCAGCAGAAGCCAAAAAAACAACGCGTCAACACCGCCGTCTTCGTCACCTCCATCCCCCTCGATGCGGACTTTGAAGAGATTCGCGATGTCTTCTCCAAGTGCGGCGTGATAGCCGAGGAAATCGACAGCGGTCGACCGCGCATCAAGATGTACATGGATGACACGGGCGCCTTCAAGGGAGAAGCCCTGGTGGTGTATTTCCGGCCGGAATCGGTCAACCTCGCGGTGCAGATGCTGGACGATTCGGACTTTAGATTAGGCGTCACCGGCCCCTTGGGACCCATGAGAGTGCAAATCGCCGACTTTTCCTTCAAGAGCCAGCAGGAGGCGCCGGCCAAGATCAGCATGAAGGATAAGAAGAAAATCATGCGGAGGACGCAGAAGCTGAACAAGTACGTATTGTTACTACCTGGGGACCTTTTTTTTTCCGGCGATATGGCTTGCATATGCTAAGGGTTGCAGCAAACTCGCTGATTGGGATGACGATGACCCGTCTGCTTTACCGGATACCTCCTCGAGGTGGGAAAGAGTCGTTATACTGAAGCATATGTTTACATTGAAGGAGTTACAGGTATGAAATTCTCTTTTGTCTTTTCATATGTCCAAGCTCACTGGTTTAGGAGGACCCAGCGGCCGTCCTCGATATCAAACAAGATATCCGGGACGAGTGCTCTAGAATCGGCGAGGTGACGAATGTCGTTCTATTTGACAAGGAAGAGGAGGGTGTGGTGAGCGTGCGCTTCACAGACCCCGAAGCTGCAATGCAATGCGTCAAGGTACTTCCCGTTTATCGCAAAGAGAAAAGACAAATACTAATGCTATTAGGTTATGGATGGCCGGTTCTTCGCAGGGACTCGGGTTGAAGCATATATCGCCGATGGGAGCGAGAAATTCAAAAAGACCAACGAGAAACGAGCTGCCCTGGAGGACATGGCCGAGCGAGGCATCTATGCAGAGGACGAGGAAGAGAACCAACGGCTCGACGAGTTTGGCACTTGGCTTGAGAGCGATCGTGTGGTCGAGAACACTGCCAAATAATGACATGGCTCCTCCTCCGAGTACAGGATTGAATTGTATACTAGCCGCTGTACCTATTACCATAATATCTCAACGACAGTTGGAACTGAATGATAGTACTCCATGAGTCTATCTGTACGGAATACTTTATAGCTATTGGATTATTAAGTAGTTACAGGTACTCCGTTGAATCTAAAAGTTCACTGTAGGCAGGTGCTGTATTATTGTCGATATTGTAATATTACCTGAGCCAGATACCTAATCGACAGCCCAACGCTGTCCAACAAGCCACCACTGCACCCGCTGCAGAATTAATCCCTACTCAATTTTCAACCATCATTCATCAAGATAGACCTTCAGAGAAAGCCACCAGGCAAAGGCTTGTAATATGTCTGTAGTAGACTTACCCGACTGTATTGTAGGTATTGATTCAGGTACTGGCCCAAATCTCTCTCAAATGTGGTTCGCACCTGCGCGGAACGGCCTCTGACTGGTCCCGTGATGAGCCGCGCCGGCACCAAACCGCATTTGTTTCGAGCGGCCCCTAATCGTGTCTTGTTGACTTGTTCTTGTTGATCCCCGACGCCCGCACAACGACCAACTCCTTCCCAGGCCTTCACCGCTCAACTCAGCCCATCTTTTACCACTTCTCACTCCATCCGTCTCCCCTTCCTTGGAACTTCTCTCTGTCCTCTTATATCTCATCCTTGTGAACTCATCTTCCCTACTTAATCACCTCCATCCACAATGCGTGAAATCGTACGTTGAGAATTTGATTTCTCTTCCCCCCCCCCTCTCTCTCTCCCCTCTTCAGACGCGTCGGGCCATCCTCTTTCCATGAGGTGTCTCCTGAACCAGACCCCACCCGTTCAGGCAACGCAGACTTGCTGACTTTTTGCTTTTTTTTTCTTTGCTATACAGGTTCACCTCCAGACCGGCCAGTGTGTAAGTGATTACTTGGGATAAATATCATACGAGATCAGGAGATGTGGTGGTGGTGGTGGTGGTGGTGGTGGTGGTGGTGTTTTTTTTCCTCCGTGGACGGCTACTAAAATGTGGTTTCTGGTGTACAGGGTAACCAGATTGGTGCTGCCTTCTGGTACGTGATAATGACTGGTTTGAGAGAAGTTGGTGGATGGTTTTAATGCTGACAATCTTCGTATAGGCAGAACATCTCTGGTGAACACGGTCTCGACGGATCCGGTGTGTAAGTACAACAGGACAAAGAAAGAAAGAAGAGAAAAAAACACAGCGGATCAGGACAACATCTGATGATAGTGCAGTTACAATGGCTCTTCCGACCTCCAACTGGAGCGCATCAACGTCTACTTCAACGAGGTTCGTGAGAGAAACAAAAAAAAAAACACCAGTCGGAGATGGCAGGTCATGGCTGACTCTTTGTGCAGGCTAGCGGCAACAAGTATGTTCCTCGTGCCGTCCTCGTCGATCTGGAGCCCGGTACCATGGACGCTGTCCGTGCCGGTCCCTTCGGCTCGCTCTTCCGCCCCGACAACTTCGTCTTCGGTCAGTCTGGTGCCGGTAACAACTGGGCCAAGGGTCACTACACCGAGGGTGCCGAGCTGGTCGACCAGGTCGTCGATGTCGTCCGTCGCGAGGCTGAGGCCTGCGACTGCCTCCAGGGTTTCCAGATCACCCACTCCCTTGGTGGTGGTACCGGTGCCGGTATGGGTACCCTCCTGATCTCCAAGATCCGTGAGGAGTTCCCCGACCGCATGATGGCCACCTTCTCCGTCGTCCCCTCCCCCAAGGTTTCCGACACCGTTGTTGAGCCTTACAACGCTACCCTCTCCGTTCACCAGCTCGTTGAGCACTCTGACGAGACCTTCTGTATCGATAACGAGGTACGACCTTTTTTTAACCCCCTTGTTTAGAACAAACTGACATTTTTCAAGGCCCTGTACGATATTTGCATGCGTACTCTTAAGCTCGCCAACCCCTCCTACGGTGACCTGAACCACCTCGTCTCCGCGGTCATGTCTGGTGTTTCCACCTCCCTCCGTTTCCCCGGTCAGCTCAACTCCGACCTCCGCAAGCTGGCTGTCAACATGGTTCCCTTCCCTCGTCTCCACTTCTTCATGGTCGGCTTCGCTCCTCTGACCAGCCGTGGCGCCTACTCGTTCCGTGCCGTCACCGTTCCCGAGTTGACCCAGCAGATGTTCGACCCCAAGAACATGATGGCTGCTTCTGACTTCCGTAACGGCCGCTACCTCACCTGCTCCGCCATCTTGTAAGTTTGAATTTGCCGTCTGTATACGCGATTAACGAAACAATGTGCTCACACAAATTTTCCTAGCCGCGGTAAGGTCTCCATGAAGGAGGTTGAGGACCAGATGCGCAACATCCAGAACAAGAACCAGAGCTACTTCGTTGAGTGGATCCCCAACAACGTCCAGACCGCTCTTTGCTCCATTCCTCCCCGTGGCCTCAAGATGTCCGCCACCTTCGTCGGTAACTCGACCTCCATCCAGGAGCTCTTCAAGCGTGTCGGCGACCAGTTCACTGCCATGTTCCGTCGCAAGGCTTTCTTGCACTGGTACACTGGTGAGGGTATGGACGAGATGGAGTTCACTGAGGCTGAGAGCAACATGAACGATCTTGTTTCCGAGTACCAGCAGTACCAGGACGCCTCCATCTCCGAGGGCGAGGAGGAGTAGTAAGTCCACTTTTTTCCCCCCTCCCCCATTTCTAGCTGTGAGCGTGGATTTCTAACCTCTTCTTTTTTAGCGCCGAGGAGGAGCCTCTTGAGGGCGAGGAGTAAATGTTTTAACTTCTATGGCACCCAATTGAGAATCTGCTCATGCTAATACCCTACTCTGGATCGATCTACGTTCTCTCTCCACGGCCTTGGCCTGGTAGTGGGTCGTTCCTTCAACCCTTTACAACCTATCTTGTTTGAGCGTTCTTAATCTTTCCTGTTCCTAATTTCCTGACAGCCAGTCTTCAGCCCCGCTGGAGCTGCTGAGATCGAATAGCACATATGTAAAAGGAATACATGACTTGATATATGTCTGTTGAATTGGAGTAGATGGTATAAGAAGTGTCACTGTTCACCGACAGATAGATAGGTAGGTATGATTAAATGGCAAACGGACACCCCCGCCTCGCCTCGCCCATCTCTTCGCCCAATCGATCCATTGTATCGTGGCCTTGGCCTTCAAAATTCTTGGGCCCAACGTCCGGGATGTAGTATCCCTGTGGATAGTAGCGGGCCTGTTCATCGCCAGGCACAGGTTTGCCCAGCAGCCAGGTGAACCAAGCGACGAGCCCCCAGCGGTTCCAGAAGGTAGGTTTGACGTAGTAAGGGGCAGCCGCCCAACTGGTGAGGAAGAAGCGGCCGTGCGAGTCTGGATGTTCGGTCCAGAGGGTGGAGCGCAGAAAATACGGGCGAGGGAGAGCTAAGTAGCGGAGGGCGATGATGCGGATGGTCAAGAGGGAGGCGAAGATGGCGGAGTAGACTGCTGGAGAGGGGTGGTACCTAAGTCTGTTAGTTCTCAACTTGCATATTCTCTAGAAGAAAAAAAAAAAGGGATGGATAAACATCATTGCAGTTCTAAGACGGGCATCCATCATAAAGGAAACAAAGTAGTAACCGATGTGTTTGAGCGGGGCGGGAAGCATGTACAAGAGGACCTCGGTCGTTTGGTCGGCGATGGTCTTGTTGCACACGTCCGGAACCATGTATTTGGCCTCGTAGGCTTCGGACCAGACGGCCATTTTTTCCAGCCAGTCAAGTCCATCGCGAAAGCCCTGGGAGGAGGAGGAGGAGGAGGAGGGCAGCAGCAGCGTGTAGCCGATTCCCAGGGAGTCGCCGATACCCTTCCAGAAGGTACCGAGGGCGCACTTTTCCAGCTGGGTGAGCGTGCGCCACTCATGGGTCTCGATGAAGCGGATGGGTGACAGGGCGAACAGACTTAGTGTGTAGAGCATGTCGGCCTCGCTGATCTTGCCTGTGCGGCGGTAGTCGCGGTGTAGCCAGAGGGTGCGTACCAGGGCGGCGCGGGCCCGCGCCGACGAGGGAGCGTTGCCCACGAACTCGGAGACCAGGACGGACGTGTCAGCGTAGCGTTTGAACGAGGTGTTTGGTTTGGATAATTGGCTGGTCTTCGCGAGCAGGCGTGAGATGGAGGGGATTCCATATGTCTGTTGGGCTTTAGGGTTAACGGGATTCCTCCATCTGATAACGAGGATTCTAGCCATTATCAACCAAGGCGGTTGCTCACTCTGAATAGTGCAAATTGGAGGCCCTTGGTGTACGAGAAGGGGAATTCCAGCTGCGCAATCGTCCTTTGGATCTCCCAGGCCTCGTCGCCAGTCATTTTGCCCATGGCTTCTCGCGCCGGATAGTAGTATTTCATCTCGAGACCGTTGACTCGATGGAAGCGCAGCAAAGATACCAAGGTCAGATACGGGACCAAACACACGAGAGCGTAGATCCATGGCTGATGCCTTGAGAGAAGAGTGCTGGTGTTTCCCCAAGTCCCTCCAAGACCGACGACATGTTGCATGACGGAATCCAGTCTGGAAAGGATTCCAGGATGTGGTAACGAGAAAAAGAGATACCCTGCTTCGATGGCTTTGATCGATAAACAAATAGTATAGGGTAAAGGGGAAATACGAATGGTAGTTCTGCCATAAGGTGGTGGTGTTGAAATTCCGACCACGCATGTAACCTTCCCTTGTTGCTGATAATCTCCAACCTCAACCTCGGTTCTCCTCATCTTCTTGACCGCCGCAGAACGTGGATATCCCTGTCAACCCCATGTTGTATTAATCCTTTCTAATTGGTAAACAGGGCTCGGAAGCTGCATTACACGCCAGTGATTTGTGGTGATAGATCCTCCTCATCCCCTCTTTCCCTCATGTCGACTGGCTATTCTGACAGGTAGTGTACAATATCAAGAAACGAACAGAAATCGAGCAGACGAGAAAAATCACATTGCCAAATTACGCCCTACCACGGAAATGCATGACATGTTCAACTATACCGTACGATCCCGGCTTTACAAACCCTGACTCCCTGCCCTGAGGTACTCCGTACTCTTCCGGTCTTTCAGCGTCTGAATGTCCACAATTCCATCATTCGGATGGGAGGGAAGACCAAAGCAGTGAAGCCAGCTGCCAGGCAGAGGCCTAGATCACAGCCTCCTGCGACAGCGCGGGCAACGGGGCCCGTGTAATAGATCTGGTCCTGGTTCGGAAGTCAGCGAGAACGAAGAAACCAGCATTTTTTCGTGGAATCGAGTCTCTGCAAACTTACCATGCCGATGATAGCTCCAGCCCAGCCGGCGAGGAAGGCAATCCCAGCTGCAAGGCCTAGAGGCAGTCGTCTTCGATCGTTCCAGGCAGACCAGTCGTAACCTCGGGTCCGACGGATAAACCAATGCTCCTCGAGAAAGATGACAAACCAGATGACGATCCAGTATCCGATGAGGGGAAGGAAGTTCTTGAAGATCTCATAGAGGGAATTGCGGCCTCCAATCGCGCAGGCGGCGTAAATAATCGTGCTGACGACCGTGAAAACCGGGCGTGGCACTTTTTGCCAGCCGTCCCCGAGCATCTGGCAGTTCATGCTCATCGAGTACGCGCCAGGGGCGTTGTTTGCAATAACTCCAAACGCATTGATAACCGCGCAGAACTTGCCAAAGCTGCCTAATGTGCCATATCCTGCCATTATCAGGCTCCCGGGAGAGTCATGGGCCCGGGGGTTCGACGCAACAGCCGTCCCGAGTCCTACTCCGACCAGGAGAGTCAAGATCATGGCTAGGCCCAGCCCCATACTTGTCATCGCAAATGTCTTCCATGGCTTGGTTTGGGGAGGGTAGTAGACGTAATAATCCGCTGCAACAGGCACCCATGCCAGACTGGTCGACAGAGAAAGGAAGAAGAACGTCACTCGGTTCGCGACGACCTGCTCGTGCGGGAGCTGGGACGGGGTGCTGAAGTCGAATTGAGGGCCAACCGTGCCAATCATGACGCAGAGGACAATAAGCTGCGGTAGCCAGCTGAACCTACAGAGTATATCAGATTAAGAGATTGCTTCATGATAGAAATTGAACGGTCCAATTGCTTACCTTTCATAGATCTGGAAGATCCGCATCCCACAAATGGCCATGACCAAACTTACCAACGCGACGATGATGATCCCAAACAAGACAGAAACAGACCCACCAGATACCTTGGATACAATCTGGCCTCCTAGTGTGCAATTGAGCATGCCGTATCCAATATTGGTCAATACGTTGAGAGCGCAGCATAGTATGTTGGGATAGTATCCCATAGACTGACGTGTGATGATCTAGCAGTTTTGAAGTCAGGAGAATCCTTTTTGAGAGAAAAAAAAAGAAAGAGAGGAACATACAAGAGTGCGGCTTCCACTCCGCGGACCCCAGATACTCATGTACCCCACGGCAAGGACACCGAGGAGGTTCCCAAAGACGGCCAGGAGGGCAGCGTCGGTGCCGCTGAGACGAAAGACCAGCACGCCCAGCGAGCCGGCAATGATGTTGTTCGGGGCCAGGCTCATGCTGAACCAGAGGAGCAGCATCTGCAGCGCCGAGTTGCCATCGTCCCGCTGCCGGTCTTCCCACGGCACGGGCTCAATGCTGCTTGACTCGATACAGCCGATTCTATGGACATGTCTCACCATTCGTTGCCACCGACTATCCTCCTTGCCCGCCAGCACGCTCGAGGAGACATTGTCTTCCAGCTCGAAGTGCACCACGCTTCGCAGTGAGGGCGATGCATGGATCTTCTCCGGTTCATAACAATGAGCCATGGCTAGCGCAGGCGATTGGGGGGAGGGGGGTGATTATCAAAGAGTGAAAAAAGGCCGTTCCTCTTCGGAAGCGTCGACCAGATCTCTCTCTCTCTCTCTTTCTCTCGAGGAAAGAAACAGACCGTGATACAACTACTATATAGGAAATTCTCTCTCCCCCCTTTCCCACCAAGGGGGGGGGGGGGGATGGGAAGGGACCTCAACTCGTTCCCCCAGAAGCAAGTTTACATCACCTTTTTTTTCCCCTTCTTGTTCTCAATGGTGTGTGTAACCTCTGCACGACTCCATGTGCAGCATTCCACAGACTGTTGCCGTCCGCCAAAGCCAAAGCCACCATTACACACGAAGCAATGCTTACAAGAAAAAACCACAGGATTGAATATCACCCAATCTCTAGGATATCAATCTAGTGCAGTGAACTTCTTTTCTTCTTCCTTCTTGTAACACAACCTCCTCAAAGGCGCCATCAATGCGAGCTCATCGGCGAGATATCCTTCCTCACGGGGGGGTGGACTTGGCTTTGTACACATACCAGATCGTGGATTTACATCACTGGTATGCAGGCAAGGAGGGCCGGAACTTTTTCCTTCTACTAAAAATGGTTACGTACGGAGCACTTCCTTCATAGCTGACTCGACTCGTGACTCGTGACTTGTCTGTTGTCTAGAATTACAAGCCCTGATACTGTCGTTATCCTATGTACCTGCACCTGTAGACTGTAGTACTTGTCGACAAGTTCGTTCCAATGACGTAGTAGTATGTGGTTACTAACTACTCTCTGCAAATAATACTACCCGGTATATAGATGTGGACGATGTTTCTAATCCTAGAATAGACAATACAACTAGAGCAAGAGCATAGGCTGTATCTATGCTTTTTGAACCCCGGAATCAACCGATGTGCCTCCAACGCCAAATACCTCCAAAAACATAGAAAATAACGGATGAAGGGGAGGGGAAAAAAAAAAAAATCTATCAACGCCATTACACCGGGCTAGTTAACTCTTCAAAGTCTAAACAATACCAAGGGTGAATGTGATACAGGTGGACATGAGATGAGTAGAAAAAAGGGGAAGTGAAAATGGGGGAAGGAAAAAAAAAGGAAAAGCTATTGCCTTGAATGGCTCGACCGCGACCGCCGCGAAAGAGATCTCCCCCCGCGACTAGACGGCGCTCTGTCGGGCGGCCCGTACTCGAAGAACGGAACCAGGTCCGGGTTCTGACTTGGGGGTGTCTTGGAGGGAAGCGAGTATCCCTCCCCGACGACGCAGTCGTCCTCGGCGGTGCCCGGGTGGACTTCGATCCCTTCGTGTCTGGAGAGGCCGCCGTGGGGGCCCATCGAGGGGGAGAAAGGCAGGGCAAGACTGGGGTTGTCCATCCCGCCTGCTGTGCGTTCAATAGGCGACCACCCTGCGATGCTGCCTGCCACGACACCCGCCATGGCGGCTGCGGGACCGAAAGCCGAGTTGGAGCGCGAGCGGGTTCGTTTGCGCGAACGCGACTCCGGGGTCGGTGGCTGCTGTGGCTGCATAAACTGCTGCAGGGGAGTCACGCTGCCGTTGTTATTGTTCTCGCCAGGACCGCTGATAGGAGTCACGGGCAGCGAGTTCTCACGCGAGCGCGAGCCACTGCGCGACCGAGGGAGCAGCTCCTCCGGATGCTGTAGCTTGTGGCGCAGGTTCTTGAGCCGGCCCCCGCGCACGGTCTTGAGGAAGGTGAGCTGGTCACGAATCTCCTCGAGGGCCGGGTTCCATTCGAAACGGCGCTGGTCCTCGTCCGAGACGAGCACCTCGGGCGCCTTCTTGCGCGGCCAGATCGTCGGGATCATCCGTCGCAGAAACTCGTCGGGGATCAGCCGGATGACCACCGCCACGGGCAGGGCAAGCACGCCCAGCACCAGTGAGACGGCCCACTGCGTGCCGTCCAGTCGGTAGACGGAGAAGGCTCGCCCGCCGACAAACACGATCATGACCTGCCCGGCCACGATGATGAGCTGGATACCTAGGAACCAGAAGTTCTTGAACATTCCTTCGAAGATGTTGAGATGGTTGTCGACGCGGCGGGAGCTGCACACAGTTAGTTTACTTCACAAGAAGGGTACACTGCAAATTTGCAGAATATGGCTTACTTGTATTGGTTGAAAACCTGCATCCAGACAAACGTATTGAAAACCACAGTCTGAAGCTGGTCCTTCTGCGCTTCAGTCGTATAATTGAAAATGCTTACGCCCGCAAAGTTCAGCACCAAGGTCACCACCAGCTGGTAGATGCTCTGGCCGATGATCATCTTCCACATAGTCAGAGTAATCAAAGGAGCTGACTTGGGCTCGGGGCGACGGTCAAGCACTTTGGGTGAGGGGGCGTCCGTAGCTATTTCATCAGTATCAACCCTATTTTTTTCCTTCTTGCTATAAAACAAAGGCCTAGAAAACATACCCAAAGCTAGAGCGGCGAAAGTGTCCATGATGAGGTTAACCCACAGAAGCTGCACGGCTGTAAGGACTGAGGTCTCGTCGCCACTTGCCACGGCAGAGATAAAGGTGAGCAGCACGGCAGTGATATTGACAGTGATTTGGAACTTAATTGTTAGATTTTGAGTGTGAGAGAGAGAGAGAGAGGTTGAATAAATACCTGGAGAAACTTCTTGACGGCATCGTTGACAGTACGCCCCCAAGCCATCGCCTTGACGATGGAGGCAAAGTTATCATCCATGAGGATGATATCCGAGGCCTCCTTGGCGACTTCCGTGCCGGTGATACCCATGGAGAAGCCGACGTCGGCGGTTTTCAGCGCCTGGGCGTCGTTGGTCCCGTCGCCGGTCACGGCAACGGTCTCGCCCAGTTTCTTCAGCTGGGAGACGAGGATCTTCTTGTCGTCCGGACTGGAGCGGGCGAGGACCTGCAGGCGTGGGATGATCTGGTTCATCTGGCGGGTGGACAGCTTGCGGAACCTGGGACCCTCGATGGCGATACCGCCGGGGGTGAAGATGCCGCATTCCTGGGCGATTGCCTTGGCGGTCGTGATGTTGTCTCCCGTGACCATCCGCACGAAGACGCCCGCGCGTTGGCACTGGCGCACGGCGTCCGTGACGCCCGCGCGCAGCGGATCCTGGATACCAAAGACGCCCAGGAAGACCATGTCCTTGAACAAGGGCTCGAACTGGGCTAGGTTGCGTTGGTCCTCCTGGGTCGGGGCGCCGCGCGGGGGCCACTGCTCAAAGTCCCGGTAAACCAAGCCAATCGGTCGCAGCGAGCGGGAGGCGTAGGCATCCATGGTCATCTCGAGGGTTGAGCGGTTCTGGTCGGAGAGCGGGGTCTCGGCCAGCTCCTGGGTCGGGTCGCGCACGATACGGGTCGATTTGGCAAGCAGGACCTCGGACGCCCCCTTGACGAGCATGCGGTACCGCCCACTGTCCAGCTTGACCACGACGGCCATGCACTTGCGGGCCGAGTCAAAGGGCACCATCTGCACGATCGTTGCGTTGGAGCGTTCCTCGCTGACGGAGCCCATGCCCAGGAACTCCCGGGCAAAGGTGAGCAGGGCTGTCTCCGTCTTGGAGCCGATGAAGGTCATGACACCTTCCTGCTCTCCTTCAAAGGCGGTCGAGTTGAGGACGATGGATAGGTGTAAAAGGTCCTTGACCGATGGAGAAAGCGTGGCAACAAATTCAGCGGCCGAGATGTCGTTGGAGCCCGCGTTGGCGGGGGGGGCCTGCGCCTGGCCGTTGCCCCCGGACCCCTGGGATAATGACTTGTCACCGAACCGTGAGGCGGTGCCGAGGGTGGCCGCGACGGCGGTCATGCGGTTCTCGGTCAACGTACCGGTCTTATCAGAGCAGATCGTTGTGGCGTTGCCCATGGTCTCGCAAGCGCGGAGCAGACGGACAAGGTTATTATCCTTCAGCATGCGGGTGGTAGCGAAAGCCAGTGCGAGAGTGACGGCCAGAGGCAAGCCCTCCGGGACGGCGACGACGATGATGGTCACGGCGACGATGAAGATTTGCAGGAACTCCTGGCCCTTGGCGTCGGCCCCGCTGATATCCTTGAGCTGTGCGAGGAATTTGATGAACAGGACGACGAAGAGCAGCAGGCCCGCGGCAAGGCCCAGTTTGGCGATATACTCGGCGAGCACATTCAGTTTGGATTGTAAAGGTGTCGTCTGACCTTCGTCCTGCAGAGACATCATAGTCTTGCCGTAGGTGGAGTGGACGCCCGTGGCAGTGACGAGAAAGGTGCCGACACCCTCGGAGACCTTGGCGCCGGAGACAATGAAGGGGTCCTGTTTGGCCAGAGCGTCATGGTTTTCCATGGCGCGGTAGACGTCGTTGGCGGCGGACTTGTGGAGCACGTCGGACTCGCCGGTCGCGGAGGATTCGTCACACTTGACGTTGTGGCCGTCGATGAAGATGCCGTCGACGGGGACCATGTCACCAGGCTCGAGGTGCATGACATCGCCGACCAGGATGTCATGGATGGAGATCTCCATGGTCTTGCCGGAACGCACCACCTTCACCAGGCGGTCCTCCTTCTTCTTGTTCAGCTTGACAAACTGGCGTTCCTTCTGCCAGTCGTTGGCGGCACCCACGACCACAACAATCAGGATGGCCACGATGATCGCGACGCCCTCGACCCATTCGACACGAGCCTCGCCGTCCGTGGCGGTGACGGACTGGTAGATCCCAAGAGCCAGAGAGATGATGGCCGCGACCGTCAGCAGGATCAGGACCTTGTCATTGTACGCGATCCAGGCGAGTTCCCAGATCGTCTTGATCTTCTTCTGGGGCAGAGTGTTGTCGCCGTAGACGCGTCTGCGGTCGACAAAGGGGCCGCCACCGGGCTGCTGCGTCAAACTTCCTCCTCTCGAGGGGGGTGGTGGTGGCGGCTGCTGCTGCTGCTGGGTTTCCGGCAAAGCAGCAACGGATTTGGGCGTTGCTGTTGTCAGAGTAGTATCATCGCTCGAAGCCGGAGAAGGCGCTGCGGTGGCTTCCTCAAAGCCAACGATGCTATCTAACGTAGACTCGTCGATGCTGAGTCCGCTCCGGATATCGGTACGAAGGCCCTTTTCCAGGCCGCGGAGCCCGCCAAGGGCATGAAACGCGCCCAGACTCTTGGGGTTGAACAGTTTGTTCAGCTGGCCGGGGGAGAAGGCGAATTTGTTGTCCTGGACTTCGAACTCGGCCTCGCGCCCAGGATCAGGCTTGAGGGCGTCCTCGTCGCTGAGAACGTTCTTGCCTAGATCTCGCGAAGACCGTGATCCCTGGGCGGTGGGCACGTAGGTCTCGCCGCCGTACGTACTTGAGGACTGGTTTGTGTCCTCGGACTCGATAGAGTTGCCGCGCGAGCGGGTGCCCGGGACGGACAGAAAGTTCGAGTGCGAGTCGGATCTTTTGTGGGTAGGCGAGGAGACATTGTGCGGGGAGGTTGGCCTGCTGGTCTCGCGATCGCGGCTGTGGCCGTCCGAGGAGCCGAAGGAGCGCACGCTGGCGGACGAGCGCAGGTCGGTCGGTGAGACATTGCCGCTGCTCAGGAGAGTGCTGGTGTCGGCCGCCTCGACATTGTCAGTCGTGACGCGTAGCGTCGAGTGCGGCGGGCCTGGAAAAATCTCGATGGGCCGGTGGGCGAGATCCGACGTTGGGCTCACGGCGGAGGTGTCGATGGTGATGGTCGGGGCGCGTTCTCGACGCAGAGGCGTGGATTGCTTGGACTCCTCCCCATCTCTAAGGTTGGACATGATGAGAACTCGTACCGCTCGCTAATATTTTCCCCCAAAAAAGACAAGGAAAGAGAGGGGGAAAGGGGGAAAAGGGGATATATTGTTTTCCAGAAATCTCTCGAGGGAGTCGAAGGGAGTCAAAGGAAGGTTGGGCTCAAGGCCAGCCAACACACAGGGTTCGCGCGGTTAAGGCAGACATAAGTGTGATCGGGGGTCTATATAATTGATTCGAGTGTCCTGTAGGCTACTATCTAGTTAGTAGTCTTCTCAAGCAGTTGTTGGGTTATTGGCATCACGTACCTAGGGTACCTAAAGTACCGACCACTCCTGGTTTCTCTGGCAGCCAACCCACGGATCCCGTCTAAAGCGAACCTGAAACGAGGGTCTGCGTTTTATCTCCGGCTATAAGGGTCGAAGATCGACGACAGACTGAGTGGAAGAGTGGAAGAGTGGAAGAATAAAAAGATCTTGGGGGGGGGGGGTGGGGATGGAATTGAGGGTGACCAGAGGAGGAACGTGTTTAGGGTAGGAAAGTTGCGTGAAGTGAAGGTGAAGCAGTGACAACCACAACTTAAGGTAGTTAAACAGGGGGCCACCAGTGATAGTTAAACTACCTAAAGAACTAGGCGAAGACAACGCCCAAGCTTGGAATTGGGAATCCAGTTGCCGCCACTCGAGAAGAAGCCGGATGCGATTGACTGTTCGAGGAAAGTTTCTCTAGAGAAATCGGTACGAACCTTAGCTGCCACTGCCAGCGCCTTGAGATACGGGGTTGGGAGGTGAGTTCTGACTTGTTCTGACTTACTAGTTAACTTAACCTACCTCCTACCTTAAGGTGCCTAAGTTACTACTACGCCTGATTCTACCCAACTCCCTTATACTACTTCTCACTCAACTTGCTGTTATCATGGCAGAAATCAATATGACTCTGTTCCTCGATGTGTTGGCTCTCCTCAACACTTGATAAATTTTACTTTTTTCTCAATCTGCGGCGGCAAATTCATGTTTTTGCTTGGCGTTGCACTGCCTCACTCATAGTAATAATGATGAAGTAGTGGAGATAGACTAGTCATTTACAGAGTACATGACAGACTGGCAGTACTTATTTAAGAGTTGAGATATATATGTATATATATATGTATATATTAATTGATTAGGAGTCTATTCTATAGTAATAATATTATTTATATTATAGTTATGACTCTAATGACTATATCCCTATAGAGTCCATCTGGATATTACATAAGCTACCCCTAAGTCTAGACCCTGTTCTTACTAGCCTCCACTATTGATTTACGCGTCTCTCCACTATGACTTTTACTAGACCAAATAGTAAGAGTCTAAATAATAACTAACATGTTATCATGTAGTATTCACTAGTAGGAAGTTGCGAGTTATTCAATGTAGTATCAACCTCACCCGTGTGGAATATGTTATGGGATTGATGTTACATCCCATGGTTCAGAGGTACCATCAATAGTCAAGTACTTGCTACCCAAGGTAATATCTTATAGAAGTGACTTGTAGTATATATAGAGAATAGATATCACTAGTTATTTATTCACTCTAGTCTACTGCTATATCTACTGCTATATCTACTATCTACTGACATAATAATAGGTATCCTTACTGAATTCTCATCGTCATCCACCACGAGGAGACCTTGACCCGCCCAGGCGATTATCCCGTCATTTCACCTTGGCAATGGCATTTCTTGCAAGATTCTCTCCTGCTGGACTTTCCTAATAGAGATGGTGTCAAGAGAAGATCTTGAAGTCCATAAGATATAGCATTAGTTTGGGGCTGAGTCTGGTAGTTGATTCTACTAAGCCTAGGTAGGTAGTTACCAGGTAACTAGTACATAGTATATACATATGTCTTAGGTGCCTGGGTGCCTTATTCTATGTAGTAGGAGGTACCAAGGTATTATGCTAATACTTCAGCTTGGTCAACCATCTGGATCCAAGGTAACCAGGTATCTACTTTGAGGATGTCTGCCTATCTTTGTTGGTTACATTTCTACTTCCTTCCCATATTCTACGCATCAAAGAACCGTTGATGCAAGCTGCCGATGCAAACAGTCAGTCCGCAATTGCTTGTCTGGATATAAAAAGTCCCTCATTCCCTTCTGTGGCTGTCTTGACTTCTATCTTACCACCACCATACAACCTTCCTCTCTTCAGTCTTCAAGAGACTATCTCACCTTTCAACCCAACCAAAAAAATGCCTCCCACCCCCGCTACTCGCTCCCAACATGCCCTCCACCACGAGGCTAACTTTCGTGCTGCTGTCGATGAGATCCGCCACGCGATCACCCGGGCTTTGCCATCCAAACCCCAGTATGATACCCTGCAAGCCGTGTCCCTGAGGTGGGGAAAACGACGATCTGAACTGCGCCGGCATCGAGGACGAGCTGTTGGGGGTACTCCGTGGCCGGTTTGGGTTCGAAACCCACAAGTTGGAAATCCCATCTGCCGACGAGCCTATGGCTATCCAAACCCTCTCAGCAGATCTGCTTGCTGTTGTGACAAAGTGCTCATCTCCAAGGTCACTATTGCTTGTCGTATACGAGGGTCACTCGAGTGCTTTGAACCTTCCGTCTGGCGGTTCAGAAGTTCTGATCTAGTAAGTGATGCTGACGCGTATGCTTATAAAAAAGATGATATTAGTATTAATGATATGACAGTGGAGCGAATACACCACAGGCCACCACCGTCCGCTGGAGTTTGGTAGATAATATGATTGGAGGATGTAGGGGCGATGTTGTTGTCATAATGGATTCCTGTTACTCCACGGCCGCGGCTCTCGACCGTCCAGGTCGGGAGTACGTCTTCGCATCGAGCTTCGAGAGCCCGACCCCAGCCTCGCTGCAGATCTGCTTTACGCGCAGGCTCATCGACTGTCTCCGGCAGGTCAATGGGAAGACAACAATCGCCCAATTGCATGCCCGTCTGCTTGTTGCAGCGAACCAACCTGGTCACCAGTTGCAAGTAACCCCGGTGTACGTGGCCAACTACCAGAAGCCATCGGTGACTCTGGAACCCTTGCCCACTGGGCTCATCTCTCGCCCAGAACTCCGAGGCTTGCAAGCGACAGGCCAGCTGAGCGACGGGAAGGTCCTGCTTTCCGGTTACCTCAAGTCTACGACCAGCATTCCGGAGGTCAACCAGTGGAAAGCCTGGCTGGCGCGCGAGATCCCCGAGGCAGTCGCTGACATTAAGATCGAGGCCGTGTTTCACTCGACCTCGTGCGTATGCCTGCTGACCGTGCCCACCGCCGTCTGGCATACAATCCGCAATGATGAGGCCTACAAGTTTATTGCTTTTGTAGATTCACATAACCTTCTAACGAATCAATTCAGTAATGCCTAATTGTCGTGTTATATAGCTTGATATGATAGACACTTGGTCAGAATTAACCATGGCTCGTATAACGTCAGACTGCTCTCCCCACCTGCTTACGGAGAGTACTTTCTACTACCTCTACTCTACTATACCTACTCTATCCATTCTACGCTACACTTCTATTCAATGGAATACGGTCTCTCGCCCGTCCCCTCCAACGCACTCACCCTCCTCTCCCCCTCCCCCTCAACACAACCAGCCCAACCATTCCCTCTCCCCCCCCCCCCCCCC